CTAAATGGTAGTTTTAACACTGTGGAGTCAGGAAAACATGTTTGTGTTCCTGACTCTATAGTGTTCTTTTAATATAGTGGCAGTACTATTTCCCTCCCTTCATTTTGAGAATAAATTTAGTAGGTCTAAAGCAGGTGGTTTTTCTTGATATTTACTGAAGATGTAGGTAGGAGTCAGCATTTATATAGGAATTTTTTTGTTTACTTTGCAGTCGGCTTTGTCTCACTAAGGAATACAGAACCCACTGTACTACTGCACTATATTAAGGAAAAACATTATTTACAGTAAGGAAAATTTTCAGCTTTTCCACAACCAGATCTAGGCAAATCGCTAGTTAATGGAAAACTCATTAATTGTTGCTGGTTCTTAAGGTAAAAATAAATCTCTGAACACATGCCTCACGCCCTGGGAGCGAAATCTTTTTTTTACCTAGAGTTAAAAATAAAACAAAGTTGGTCCTTGGTTCATCTATATAGATCTAGACTCACATTCCATGTTTGGTATGTGACATAAAATGCTATGTTTCTGTTGGTCAGCACAGGTAAGGTGTGTGTGTATTCATATGTCACTTTATAAGCAGATGTCTGAGCAATCTGGGTAGGTGTCTACACCAGACACAGATGTTCTGTGGAGGGGAGCTTTATACAGACATCCACTGCATTCCTCACCTGTAAAGCTTCATTAGCTTTTTTTACATTTAAAGGACCACTATACAGTGGTGTATCCTGGTTTTGTGCTGCCCTAGGCAGGACAAAACTCAGGCACCCCCCTCCCCCCGCGCCACCCCCACCCAACCCTTCCCCGCCCCACCTTCTAAATACACACACACACAGTCAGACACATACACACACACACACACACACACAGTCAGACACACACACACTCACACACACACAGTCAGACACAAACACACACACAGACACAAACACACACACACAGTCATACACACACACAGTCAGACACAAACACACACACAGACACAAACACACACACAGTCATACATACACACACAGTCAGACACAAACACACACACACAGTCATACACACACACACATACACAGACACAGTCAGGCACATACACACACACACACTCACAAATACACACACAGACACAAACACACACACAGTCAAACACACACACACAGTCAGACACAAACACACACACACAGTCATATACACACACACAGTCAGACACATACACACACAAACACACACATACACACACACATACACAAACACAGTCAGACACACACACAGATTAACTTTTTTTTTTATTTAAATCCCTCCCCCCAACCTCCTTACCTTTGGGAGTGCTGAGGGGGGGGGGTCTCTCTCTCCCTGGTGGTCCAGTGGCTGCCGGGCGGGCGGCTGGCGAGGGAGCACTTCCTATGAGCTGTCTGCTCAGCTCCCTCGCGCGCCGGCTGCAGAGTGAGACTGGGAGCCGGAAGATGACGTCATCTTCCGGCTCCCAGCCTCACTGTGCGGCGCGCGAGGGAGCTGAGCAGACAGCTCATAGGAAGTGCTCCCTCGCCAGCCGCCCGCCCGCCCGACCGCCTGGGATGTCAGTTAGCCGTAAGGCTAACTAGGCATTTGCCCTGGGCATTTGGGGGGCGGCGTTTTTTGCCGCCCCCTGAAGAATGCCGCCCAAGGCAAATGCCTTGTTTGCCTCGCGGCTAATACGTCCCTGCCACTATAGGCACCCAGACCACTTTAGCTCAATGAAGTGGTCTAGGTGCCAGGTCCCCCTAGTTTTAACCCTGCCGCTAAAAACATGGCAGTTTCAGAGATATTGCTATTTTACACTGCAGGGTTAATCCAGCCTCTAGTGGCTTTCTCCCTGACAGCCACTAGAGGCGCTTCCGCGATTTAGACAGAGTAAATTGCACTTATTTGAAGTTGGATGTCCTCACAGTCCTCCAGCGTCAAAAAAGAGGAAAGCATTGAGTAATTCTTTCCTATGTGCGAGTTTGAATGCGCGCGCCTCTGGCTGCTCATGCGCATTCGCAAACTTGCCAACTGTCCCAATTTTCACGGGACAGTCCTGGTTTTTGGCCCCTTGTCCCGTTTAATAAATGTCCCAGTATTCTGTCCTGTGTTTTAAAAATGTTCTCCTTGTGACATATTGGTAGGCGGAGTTATAATACTGCTGTCTATGCAGAGTGACCCCTGGGCGACAGACCTCCTCCAGTGCTGCTGTCAGCACTTCTGACACGTGCTAGATGGAGCAGGACAGCTCGGTTCAGCAGCTATAATTACCGGAAGCCTTCGGAGGAACAAGGAATGGAATGTGAATACTCTGAGAGCAGCTGTGGGAGGTAAATAAATAAACTTGTGCCCTATCCCCTTAAGGATATCCTAGTGGATCCGGCTCTAAATGCCGGCGGGCGGCATAGTGTGTCCCTACCGTCCAGGGGACTTACCTGATCGCAATGGGGGGACTTGCCAGGCATCCCAGGGAATCGCCCTGCGTCTGATCCGGTCGTCCTGGGCCATGATAAGCGAGGTCCTTGCGAGGACCTCACGATCACATGGACGAAATAGCAGCCGTCCATAGCAGTGCCAGCAGGGGGACTGCCTGGAATGACAACTTACACATACACTGTCCAAGTGTATTTTTTAATAATATATATATATATATTATCAAAATACACGTAGAGTGATATTAATTAAATATATATGTATAATTATATATATATATAATAAAATAAATATATAAATATGTTAAAAATGAAAAATAATAATTAAAAAATATATATAGTGATATGTATATATCACTATATATATATATATATATATATATATATATATATATATATATATATATATATATATATACAGGGAGTGCAGAATTATTAGGCAAATGAGTATTTTGACCACATCATCCTCTTTATGCATGTTGTCTTACTCCAAGCTGTATAGGCTCGAAAGCCTACTACCAATTAAGCATATTAGGTGATGTGCATCTCTGTAATGAGAAGGGGTGTGGTCTAATGACATCAACACCCTATATCAGGTGTGCATAATTATTAGGCAACTTCCTTTCCTTTGGCAAAATGGGTCAAAAGAAGGACTTGACAGGCTCAGAAAAGTCAAAAATAGTGAGATATCTTGCAGAGGGATGCAGCACTCTTAAAATTGCAAAGCTTCTGAAGCGTGATCATCGAACAATCAAGCGTTTCATTCAAAATAGTCAACAGGGTCGCAAGAAGCGTGTGGAAAAACCAAGGCGCAAAATAACTGCCATGAACTGAGAAAAGTCAAGCGTGCAGCTGCCACGATGCCACTTGCCACCAGTTTGGCCATATTTCAGAGCTGCAACATCACTGGAGTGCCCAAAAGCACAAGGTGTGCAATACTCAGAGACATGGCCAAGGTAAGAAAGGCTGAAAGACGACCACCACTGAACAAGACACACAAGCTGAAACGTCAAGACTGGGCCAAGAAATATCTCAAGACTGATTTTTCTAAGGTTTTATGGACTGATGAAATGAGAGTGAGTCTTGATGGGCCAGATGGATGGGCCCGTGGCTGGATTGGTAAAGGGCAGAGAGCTCCAGTCCGACTCAGACGCCAGCAAGGTGGAGGTGGAGTACTGGTTTGGGCTGGTATCATCAAAGATGAGCTTGTGGGGCCTTTTCGGGTTGAGGATGGAGTCAAGCTCAACTCCCAGTCCTACTGCCAGTTCCTGGAAGACACCTTCTTCAAGCAGTGGTACAGGAAGAAGTCTGCATCCTTCAAGAAAAACATGATTTTCATGCAGGACAATGCTCCATCACACGCGTCCAAGTACTCCACAGCGTGGCTGGCAAGAAAGGGTATAAAAGAAGAAAATCTAATGACATGGCCTCCTTGTTCACCTGATCTGAACCCCATTGAGAACCTGTGGTCCATCATCAAATGTGAGATTTACAAGGAGGGAAAACAGTACACCTCTCTGAACAGTGTCTGGGAGGCTGTGGTTGCTGCTGCACACAATGTTGATGGTGAACAGATCAAAACACTGACAGAATCCATGGATGGCAGGCTTTTGAGTGTCCTTTCAAAGAAAGGTGGCTATATTGGTCACTGATTTGTTTTTGTTTTGTTTTTGAATGTCAGAAATGTATATTTGTGAATGTTGAGATGTTATATTGGTTTCACTGGTAATAATAAATAATTGAAATGGGTATATATTTGTTTTTTGTTAAGTTGCCTAATAATTATGCACAGTAATAGTCACCTGCACACACAGATATCCCCCTAACATAGCTAAAACTAAAAACAAACTAAAAACTACTTCCAAAAATATTCAGCTTTGATATTAATGAGTTTTTTGGGTTCATTGAGAACATGGTTGTTGTTCAATAATAAAATTAATCCTCAAAAATACAACTTGCCTAATAATTCTGCACTCCCTGTATACCTAATATATAAATAAAAAGATTTCTATATATACATAGGTGTGTGTGTGTGTGTATATATATATTTATATATATATATACGAAGAATATGTATAAGGTGCACTCACAGGTCTTTTAAATAAGTGATAGGTTTATTCCAACGTGCAAATTACATATGCCACAAAATTTATGATGATCGACGTTTCGACCCACACTTTTTAATTCTACGTATATATTTATGTAATATTTTTACATAATTAAGTCATTTTATTAAATACAATTTGCCGGAACTGCCTGATAAACCAGGCAGAAAGTCCAGAGAATTTAATTTGCTAGCACTATATTTAACTGTGTAACTTTCCAAGGCACCATAAAACCTGTACATGGGGGGTATCGGGAGACTTCGCTGAACACAAATATTAGTGTTTCAAAACCGTAAAATCTAAGACTGAACTACCGCAATACGTGGGGCGCTTGCTCCAGCAAATACTCCCCCACAAACAGGCTAAGAACATCCTGGTGGATAACGTATACAGAATCCGCAGGCAGGGCAGACAGCCCTAACAGGCATCCAGCGATATCGTTATACAGCTTGTCACACACCTGGACAAAACGGCGATCATGGCAGCGGTCAGGGATTTGCCATTCCTGGCCTTCGAGAGGCACAACCTGACATTCTATAATGACCTCTCAAAACCCACCATGCAATGGAGGCAAACACTGCGCCCTATCACCAGCGTGCTGAGGCGGAAGAAGATCCCGTACCGCTGGGGCACTCCACGCTCCCTTCAGATCACCGCGGAGGGGATAACCCATACAATACACTCACCAGAGGAAGGCCAATTGTTTCTGACCCAGCAGGGCATCATAACACAGAGGGAATTCAGAAGGGGCAGCCCTCGGAGAACACAATGGGATGTGGACAACATCGCCCCATTCGAACCACGGAGAGACCCCCACCTGCCTGAGGCAAGTCCAGGGGACTAAAAACCGAGACAACCGACGCATAGCCTCGTGAAAGCATGAGACTTAAATCCTGGTTTGGGATACATCAACCTTATACCTTTATGATTAACATGTTGGAATACACAGAAAGTCTAGCATGTTTAAAAGTTACAGGACTTCCTACTAACTCTCTACGATGGCAGGCGCTAGGTAGTAAATGCTGCTACCTTGTTTGTTCGTGCTCTCTCAGGGTGGTTACTCTGGGTAATTTGACTTAGAATACCTAGTGTGTGTACATGTTATATGGCTTCCTGCTAATGACCAGAAGCTGGCAAGCGATAGGTGATGTGGGTCACTACCTTAAGGTGCTTAACTTGATTTCCTCTGCCTACAATCTCGAATTACATTGTCTATTGTTCACGCATAGGCGCGACCACCCACAGTAACGGCCTAACAAGGCTCTACAAAAGAACCTGCTAAACAGCGGTTAAACTAAGTATGGGCACCCCTGACGACCACAGTCAGCAGATTGCCTTGGTCACCCACAGCAGATTCCATTGACTGGCCCAATGCCACAAAGGTGGGGGACCACTGTAATTTGCCTCCCTAACGAACTTCACTTAGAAACCTAGTTAGTTAGACCATAGCCGGTTACTCACTGTGCTATAACATGTTAGCTAAGCACACACATGCACTGTTAAACTGTTACATGGTTATCATCTGCAATCATACTGTGCCTCCGCGTAGGCGAACATGACTTTTTGCTAGAATCTGCACAATGTTGACATATAACTTGCATTATGAAAATAAAAATATGCCTGCTGTAATAATACAGCTAGATCGGTACATGCGGGCTCCTTCCCCGGGCGGCGCACTTCTGAGGTCATACCAGCCTATTTAAATGACATCCTCCCTTCTGCCGTAACACCAACCATAGTACCCAGCGGCTACCCTGCTGACAAATTAACTACAGTTTAGCGTCTTCCCTTATCTTGATATATTATACTCGACTACGTTATTGTCAATCCATATAGTATGTCTCAAAAAATTCTACTGTTTTCTTGTTAAGCAACACTATATGCATCACTATGTTTATCTTTAAAAATGTGCAATACTACTACATGCCACAGTCTTACGCCTCTTGAAATGTCTGTATTTACTGTTGTGGCATGGCAAGCTTGTCTGTCAAACTTTTGCACAACAAAAATAAAGAATTAAAAAAAAACTAAAAAAAAAACGTAAAATCTATTACAATGACGATATCATCAGTGAAAGTGGCTTTTTTGCATTCTTCACACACAAACAGCACTGACACTGACGATATTGTTGTGATACATTTTATGGTTTTGAAACACTAATATTTGCTTTCAGCGAAGTCTCCTGAGTATAACAGTACCCCCCATGTACAGGTTTTATGGTGTTTTCAAAAGTTACAGAGTCAAATATAAGACTTGTGTTTCAGTTTTTTCACATTGAAATTCGCCAGATTGGTTACGTTGCCTTTGAGACCGTATGGTAGCCCAGGAATAAGAATTACCTCCATGATGGCATGCCATTTGCAATAGTAGACAACCCAAGGTATTACAAATGGGGTATGTCCAGACTTTTTTAGTATACACTTAGTCACAAACACTGGCCAAAATTGGCATTCAAATTAGTTTTTTGCATTTTTCACTCACAAACAAATATTAACGCTAACTTTGGCCAGTGTTTTTTTGTCAAAGTGGCTACTAAAAAAGACTGGACATTCTCCATTTGCAATACCTTGGGTTGTCTACTATTGCAAATGGCATGGCGTCATGGGGGTAATTCTTATTCCTAGGCTACCATACGGTCTCAAAGGCAACGTAACCAATCTGGTGAATTTCAATGTGAAAAAAATGAAAAATGTAACATGCTATATTTGACCCTGTAACTTCCCAAAACACCATAAAACCTGTACATAGGGGGTACTGTTTTACACGTGAGACATCGCTGAATACAAATGTGTATTTTATTACAGTAAAAGCAAACAGTATTATGACATTCACAGTTAAAATGTCAAGTAGAACAAAAAAAATAACAACAACATTTCTTAATTTCTCACATTTTTAAAAATATTTTATTCATATTAAATTATGTTTCATCGCTAAATATTTGATGTTAAATGAAAGCCCTATTTCTCCTGAATAGAATTATATATAATAGGTGTTGGTGAATTGTGGTTGAACAAACATATAGCAAATTCTGAGTTTTGTTTACATTTTATTTTGATCAAAACGTGTACATTTGGCTCAGTCCTTAAGGGGCTAATATTAACCCTGTAGATTCCTGATTGCTCTGTTTCTTCAGAGCTGAGCTATGGATTACCTTTGTGCTGGCTACAAATCCTTTACTCTTTCAGAGGTTGCTTGACATTGGCTTTGTATGTAGGGGAGAAGAGGGTTAAAAAACAAAAAATAAAAAAAGGTAAGCAGGGTTAAGAGATACAGAAGAAGGTGAAAGGCATAAAGAGACACAGGTTAGAAAGGGGAGTAGGGATTAGGAAACAAAAAAGGAAAAAATTCGAACTAATCTGGATGAAACTGCAGTGTGACCTATGAATAGATACAAAGTCTGATCACAGGAAGGGATCTGCCAGATTTTGTGATAGTATTTTCACTTCTGTAACACCTGTTATTGAAACTGTTGCTCAAAATAGCAAAAAAAAAAAAACAGGGTTGGCATTAAATCATTTATATATATATATTTAGTAACTGGATAACGTCTGTCAAATTATCTTCTGCTGGTATGGACCTGTAATATTCTACACTCTTTCATCCTATTCAATTTATGGGTCTGCAGGCAACACTGTTTTTTGTTTTATTTTACAACTTTAGCAAATGATCATAGGGATGAAAGATAGGACATGTACCCTGACCGCTAGGAGTGAAAACAAAATGTATAATATTAGATTATTAAAAATGTATCTTTATTAATGTGTCTCTTAAAAAAAAAAAAAAAAATAGTTATAGCAGCTATGAGACAAAATATGAGATAAAAAATGTATAACTCTAAGTCAAAGTATATAATAAGTGTGCACAGAGACAAGGACAATGAAACAAGCAATTACATCTATATTACATATATACAATGGTATGCCAGACTAAGTCTTGTCTACACAGAACCTATTACTAACTAATGTAAGTTATACAGTCTGCATGTAATAATGGCTCTTTGTTCCTGAAGTTATTGGCTTCATGCTCCCTTTTTGCCCTTTGACCCTCTATATATTTCCTCTCCCAGACTCCCACCTTCTCTTAATGATCCTAGGTATGGTTACAGATAGAGAGATATATAATTAGACATGCTGCTACAAATGTCTTGAGAACCCTACCCATGGCTGAGGGATTTTAATACTTTGGCATAGCCTGCAGGTTCACAATGGCAACTGGTGCAGAACTCTATTACACAACAAAACTTAATCATCCCCAGCCCTACCTCTGCTCCTCTCCTAGCCTCCACAACACCGAGTGCTGTAAGACCAGCCCATAATACTGCTCTAGAAGGCTGGGACCAGGTGCTCATTTCATGGCCTCAGCCCGGTCAAACTTCATTTGCCAATCTCTAAGGCTAAGTACATCATATTCTGGTGCTGGATATTTGGCTTATCTGGTGATGTATGGTTTATGTGTCTAGCTTATGTTTAAGCTATGTGTTTTTTTTAATTTTATTATTGTTTTATTATTCAGCTGCCCTGGATCCTGAGGACTTAATAAAGCGGGGAATTACATTATATTTATATGATCCCAGTGTGAAACCATGAATAATGCATTCTGTTTGTTTTTATCCCAACTATGATTAAGTGATGTTGCACATGAAACCTACGTTCTAATGGACCCCACTACCTGAAACTCCACAGGCTTAATATTTGTATTATTACACACAGAGCAGCAGGTGCCTCTGTATTACACACAGAGCAGGGGGTGTCTCTGTATTACGCACAGAGAAGGGGGTGTCTCTGTATTACACACAGGGCAGGGGGTGTCTCTGTATTACACACACAGCGGGGGGGGGTCTGCGGAGAGAGCGCCGCGGCAAGGGCCGGTCACTTAAACAGTGACAAGGGAACTATAGCGTTAGGAATACATATTTGTGTTCCTAAAGGCTGCCGGTAGACACAGCTTTCTGACTGAAGCACATCTGCACATGGTCTTTCTATATTTGTACTTGTACTCACAGTTAGTGATGTCCCGAATGGTTCCCTGCGGACTGCTGCTGATTGGCTGGAATGTGTCTGCTGACTGTGAGGTACAGGGTCAAAGTTTACTCAATGATGAGTCCACGGCGAACCGTTCGGGACATCACTACTCACAGTGTCACCACTGATATCCAACTCACATTAAAGTGATAAAATGTAACTGCTGATATAGATGCTGTGCTGCGAATATATCTATCGAATACCAAGGATACATGGTACTGTTGGTGGGAACCTGGTGTTATAAAGGTCTACTCAATAAAGAGAGAACTGCAGGGAATTGTGATGGGAATTTCAAACTTTAGATTGAAATAGTGCAGCTGAATGGGATAATTTTTCCAGCTCTCTAAGGCTACTTTGGACTTAAGTTTAAAATCCCCATCTCAATTCCCTGTAATTCTCTCTTTATTGAGTAGACCCTGTAATCTGCACTATAAATAGGTGGGAATTAATTATGAAGGTTTGACATAGTGGGCTTTGCAGCAGTGGGTGTGGTTAATTTTCATGGTAGGAATTGATAGCGGTGCTGCAAAGTGTCCCTGGAATTTTTTTTCAAATGTCGACAACTATGCATTCGGCTCCACTCAGGAGCTGACGTTGATGGAGGAGGAGAGGTCACCCGTGCTGAGAGAACCCGGCGCTGGATTAAGGTAAGAAAATAAATGGTTAATTAACCATTTATTCGCAGCGGAAGGGGCCCTAGTCTCCATTTAGGTGACTAGGGCTCTATAGCGTTAGGAGTATATATTTGTATTCCTAACGCTATAGTGTTCCTTTAAGTGAGGGAAATAATTTTTATAATGACTGTTTTAATTCTATTCATAATGATTTCCTTTATGTTAAAAAAAAAAGGAAGTAAATCTAAATGAGTATTACTGACTTTCTTTAATCCCATAAGGACACATGACATGTGTGACATGTCATGATTCCCTTTTATTCCAGAAGTTTGGTCCTTAAGGGGTTAAATAAGACTTCTTTGCCAGAGTTCTATTTTGGAATCCACAAAGAAGTGAAATACCCAGGTCTATAAACGGCTATCATGTATTTATTTTTATTTTTTTAATTCTATAACCCCCTTCATGGAATTAGTCAAAAAGGTATTTACCCCACTCCCTCTAGCATGTAAGCTCATTGAGCAGGACCCTCAACCCCTCTGTTCCTGTGTGTCCAACTTGTCTGGTTACAACTACATGTCTGTTCGTCCACCCATTGTAAAGCGCTGCGGAATTTGACTGCGCTCTATAAATATCATAATAATAATAATAATAATAATAAGTTCTTACAGTGCCACCTAGTGTACAAACGCAGTATGGGGACTTATCAAAAGTGAATATCAGGCGACACATGCTCCATTACCATGTCTTTTGTAACTAGACACTCCTAATTGCCATTTCAAGGCTCTTTTGATGGACTTGTTATGACCGAGATGAGTAATATGCACCCACAGAGTAGTCTGCTGCTTACTAAACTATACCTGTTGTGACGTTCAATATTTCCAAAGGAACTTTTTATTCCACGGTTACAGAGAGATAAACCTGTAAACTCGGACTTTGACATATGAAATCTACACACAAGCCTGATGGGCATACATCACGCAGACTAACTTCATCCAGTGCTAAACACATAGCACTGGCTAACACCGCTGCTCAGGCAATTACTGCAGCAGGCAATTTTTTGTTGAGTAGCATCTTTTCAGTAACAGATTCTGACCCAACATGGTTGCCAAGACAGATACAAAAAAAGGTGAATTTGTAAAAACTAAAGATAAAAAAAAATCTAAAATAATAGTTTCACTAAAATTACTAAACTAAATCTGCCTTTACACCTTTAAGTAAACTATTGATAATGCTATACTTTAACACCTAAATGAACCCAAGTATATCATTCTATAATTATATTTAAGCAAATTTTTTGATATACAGTGACAATTTATTGGCTGCAATTAACTTGATACAGGAACAGAAATAAAGCACTCAGTAAAATTATAATACAAAACAGAGTACATAGAAATTAAATATTAAAATAAGCAAAATAAAACATCCACTTCTCTGATACTTTTATACAATTACATCCTGTTATGTTTGTCCAAAATATTTACATTTTTAAATGACTTTTAACGCCTTTGTTTGTCTTTGTCCCGTGTGCTGTAATAAAATGTAAAATTATAGACTGAACCAGAATATATAGTCTTATTGGCCCATTCTTGCGTATGTGGCAAAATCTCATTGTCAAACAAAATCACAAGATTGCGGGAAGGTGTACTGATGAGTGAAGTTAGTTTTGTGTAGTCTCAATGAAATTACACAAGTTAAAAAAACAAGAAACCTTTTTACAAGAAATTATATTGTGATTTGGCATTGATCATACAAAGCCCTTACATATACCTCACAATATGATTGGGCAGTTATTTTCATGTTATTTTCACGTGAGACAGACTTTATGATTCATGGCATCTTGTGAAAGCCACAATTCCTGTGGTGGAAGAGATACTCAGAGCTGTGACAATCCCGGGACTGTGCCTGTTTGAGTGGTGCTGTCTGCAAAATGTTGAGTAAAACAATGCTGAGTTATTATGCTCTCCTTGCCCTTTGGCTAAGCCATTTTGGCTTTGATGATTGGAACACCAAGTAAGTTTATCCCTAATAGATGGACACAATATAGAGGAAAAATTGGGTTTGTTTCGATGCCTCAACAATCTGATTAGACACCGTATTCTGCATTTTGCAAATCCTAGTGGCGTTGAATTGTGTAGGCTACAACTGGTCGGTCCATGAAAGATGGCAAGGCTTGCACAGTATATGACCTCTCAGTGGATAGCAGCCACTTTCTGTAGGCTCCAGGGACAGAGTAATGTGACATTTCTGCAAAAAAAATAAAATGTCAGTGGATATTGTTGCATTCTTACCACTAACCTTTATAAAAGCCACTTATTTTATTCTACTAGTTAGACAGATTACAACACAAGTGCTCTGACACCACCTCCAATTTAAGTAGTCAATCACTCGGAATGGTTTGACTTCTTAGTTGGGGTCCGCGGCCCGCCGGCTGTCTCTCCAGCCACAAGTGCTCTGATCTGAGCTTAGACGGGCAGTGTAGGACTTGGCCTAGGAGAGTAAGAAGTCACACCGTTCGAACCAGTTAAAATATTTACACATGGCGGAGGCAGGGCACTCCTAGCATACTCTATGGTGCGTGAGTGTTCCTTTCACTAAACTTGTTCACTAATATCCCAATGTTTTTATCGTGCAATACATTTTTTTTTTTAAAAAACACCCTAAATTAGAAAAAGCAAATCTTAAAAAAATAAAATTTCTCCTCTCTCTTTAGTATATTCCCCCAATCGTATTTTGTTCCCTCCATTCTGTGTTCACTGACAAACTGACCTCACAGCGATAACAATTTTCATGGAAATTCCTCCCAAGACATTCAATTTTATAGGAATCCACATCGTCTCTGGGGATGATGGGTTTGTCACAAACACTACAAATAGGCGCATATTTCCTGGGAACAAACAAAAGACATTATTTTCATAGATACCTCATGTTTTAATGCAGTAAAGAATTATCACATTATTTCCTAACCACACACAGCATGTAAAATACAAAGGATGCCTCTTATGCTAACTGTTTTTAAAGGGTTACTCCAAATACCATGATCACTCCAGTGTTTTATTGTGGTAATAGTGCTCTGTATGTACAGTATGTTTCAGAAATAAACTCTGCAGAGATACAGCTCTTTGCTGCCGGATGTGTAACTCCACCACTGGTAGCAGCATTAGCCAGACCAGAACGCGCGTATATATGCCATAAAAGGCATCTGTCAACACATAGCACGCTGGCGACAGACAATCAATGACAGAAGCCTATGCACCCATGCTGCCCAACTCATCACCCCCACCTATCCTTCAGGACATTCCTTTCCCTCAAAGAGTAGCAGTGAGATGACGATTGGACTGAAGGGTTCACTGGAATGTTTTTTTTTTCTCCTTTTCAGAACATTTTATTTTATTTAAACATTGGTTTGGCTGAAATAACCCTTTAGTTGGCATGACCTCTTCCCCTCTCCCTGACTTTTTGTATGTTTCTTTTTTTGTCTGGCTCTGGAGAAAACATTTTCACCCACCCCCTGCATTGCCTGAAAGATGACATTGGCAGCCTCTACCCACCTATAATAATCCTTTGCGCAGTAAACATCGTTATATTCATCGACAGCAAAGCTCTCATCTGCAATCATGCGATTGCAAACAACACATGTGAAACACTCTGGGTGATAACCATTACCCATGGCACGCACAATATGGTGGGTGATGAGTGCCTGGCATTTGGCACATTTTTCCAGTGTTTCCTGTAGAAGAGAAGAATACAATTATTATTTTTTTTGTGTGTCTTTTTTAAGTGCACTATTTTTTATTAAAGCCATACTGCACTGATGGAAAAAAAACAAATGTTTTTAGTGGGCATATCTCCCAGAACGGAGTAAATAAATTCATCTGTCTCCTTCCAGTACATTGTGTATATAAAACCAGAATAGAGCCAAACACCTTTCTTTAATACTAATTGGTCTTACAGGAGAGTTCAGGAATAAGCCTGGGAGGTGGGTGAAACACGGAAAAAGTGAACGGAACCCGAAACAAGAGACTGGTTGCCATTTTTATGCAGTATCAAGTGTTATTCTGGAAACCCAGTTCCCAAAAAGTATGTATGTATCTGTTTGTCAAAGAGATTGTAGATACAATAGTGTGTGTGTTTGTTAAGCTGTTTTTAAGACTTGCCTTATTCTGCATAAGCACTGCTTAGAATAGATTTAAGGATGGTAATTACTAGTGGGTGTGAGACTTGCAACATATGCCATATGCAAGGAGCAGCATTTTTTTTTCCAATTTGTATTTTATTGGTGTTTTGAAATTCAAAATACAACGTTGTCATAGTATGAGAATATCAATAAAAACAACTTATCTTTAACTTCACTTAATAAACATCTGGTATGGGTTACCGTAGGTATTCCTATGAAGCGAGCTATTACTAGGGGTTATCATGGGTCAATAGTAGTGGAGTCGATCCAAACAATTTGGATATTCTACATGCACCTTTAAGCTGTGTCCAAAGTAAAATTCAGGGACTCTATGGGGCTGAGGCGGCTAACTCTTAAGTCAAGTGTTCTATGTCAGTTCTCTTCTTCTTAGTCTTACGACCACCGGAAGCTGTGATAGTCTCACAAGGTGGGTGCGGCAGCTACCCGCTTAAGTGCGGGGTTGTCTCTTCATCATAACCGGCATGCAATAGCCTTTTTCTGCCCTTGATTGCACTGTGGTTGTTGCTGCGTCTGGTTGCCTTCCCCTCTGGTCTCTCCCTTTTCTGCCTCTTGCAGGTTCAGCTGTCAGAGGAATTGCTCCTGGTCATCTGTGGAAGTCAGGATGATTGTCTGGTCTCCCCGTGGTACCACCAGGGATCCGTCTGCACCCAACCAGTATCTAACTGCAGCATCTCGTAGCCTTCTGGCCATTGGTGCCAGTAGTCTTCTTTCTACCAGGCCTGCGAACAGGAGGTCCCCATAGAAGGTCACTGTGTTACCCTCTAACTGCACATTACCACGTCTTTCATGACCGCTATAGTGTCTCTGGGTGATTCCGTTGCGGCTTGGCGGATTCTGAATGTGGACATTATCATGCCGGCTTCAGTGCTCCCCCGATTCCCATTACTGTTAGTACGCGATATATGTATGTCAACAGGGCTTCACCTCCAATGGTCTCTGGTATGCCTCGGATTCAGATGTTCCGCCTCCTATGCCGGGCCTCTTGCGTCGTGACAGTCCGCGTGAGCTTCTGGACCTGTGAGTTAAGGTCCTGCATAGCATCCCTGGAGTGCTGTAGATGAGTGTCTCTTGCGCTCTCAATGGCTTCCACATCAGTAAGCCTCTTTTGGATATCTCCCACCTCCTTTCTTGTGTTTCGCAGATCTGCCCTCCACACCTCCCGCATTTCTTCACCTAAGGTCACTTAGGTCCCTCTTCGTCACGAGGGATGAGTCCTCTTCCAATTCGGAAGCTTGATATTGGACCCCATCTTCTGCCGGAGGTGAGGTAAGGCTTTCTCTGTCCTTGTGGGAGTCTTCTGAGGTCTTCTCCTCGCTGAGTGCCTCGGGCGCCATCTTGGCAGGTGCTGGCGGAGTAGGCCTCGCAAAGGAGAGCCGAATGTCAGGTATTTTAGGTGGCTCTGGAAGGTGGTATTTCTTATTTTATCGCCCCATCACCGTTTGAGGGTTTTTGGTCTCTTCTGTTAGTCTCTGGTACTGAGCTCCACAAATACTGAAAGTTTTAAGAAGCCATCTTTGATTACCACCAACAGTAATAATATATCAGAGTCTGTCCATAGTGCAGACATACTGCACCAGAGTATGTTATGTTAACTGGCTAATAAAAAGCACAAAAAACTGAACGGCTCAGCCTCAGGTATGAGCATTTTAACCCCTTAAGGACCAAACTTCTGGAATAAAAGGGAATCATGACATGTCACACATGTCATGTGTCCTTAAGGGGTTAAAGGGGTCACCTTCTATCTGCCAAATATATGTATAATAATAATATATATTCCCTTGGAGGCACAAGGATAGCCAGTATACTAAAAGTAATCCTTGTTGTAATAGATACCCATATGATTTGCTGAAACTAAAGACCACTGGAATCCGCAGAGTTTGCAAAACTATTCTCAAACTGACTGCACTCCTGCCAAGCACAATAATTACTGTTTTGTGTAAAATTGGCTGCTTGAACTTCTGATTTTGGAACCAGTTCAGTGATGTAAGTGCATGACACCCACATTATCTGTGAGACATGCTTTTCAAAGCTAGGGCACCACTTATAACTCAAAATAGGGAAACATACTGTGATATTTATTAAAACAAAACAAAGAACAAAAAAAACATTGAAATTAAAATGGTTAGACTTGGTTCTGAGCCCGTTGTCACTCCAGATGATGTGTCCTACACATATCTCCTGATGCTTTGCCAGCATTATGGCTGTAAGACCAGTACCGAAGGTTGCCTATCCCTACCTTAAAAAAACCCTATGAGCACAATACACAGGGACGGCATTGATTCCAGAATGGATACTCTGTGCAAGTTGAACCCAGAATGGCAGCTCTGTGTGCATGCTGCATGTACCACCAGATCTTGAGATGGTCGTTCTATTCCTGCTCTCTATTTACTCTTTCGTACATTTTTGGGAGGGGTTAGAGGTGGGTAACAACTAGCTTGAATCTCTTGATGGCTGCACTCTATACTTGCTTTTGGACCCCACAATGACTGCTCCCCACATGTGCTGCCAAACCCCACAATGACTGCTCCCCACATGTGCTGACTAACCCCACAATGACTGCTCCCCACATGTGCTGCTGCATCAATCAATGACTGCTCCCCACATGTGCTGCCAGACCCCACAATGACTGCTCCCCACATGCGGTGCCAGACCCCACAATGACTGCTCCCCACATGCGCTGCCAAACCCCACAATGACTGCTCCCCACATGCGCTGCCGAACCCCACAATGACTGCTCCCCACATGCGCTGCAGAACCCCACAATGACTGCTCCCCACATGCGCTGCCAAACCCCACAATGAAAGCTCCCCACATGTGCTGCTGTAACCCGCAATGACTGCTCTCCACATGTGCTGCCGAACAATACAATGACTGCTTCCCACATGCGCTGCCAGACCCCACAATGACTGCTCCCCACATGCGCTGCCGAACCCCACAATGACTGCTCCCCACATGCACTGCCGAACCCCAAAATGACTGCTCCCCACATGTGCTGCTGTAACCCGCAATGACTGCTCTCCACATGTGCTGCCAAACACCATAATGACTGCTTCCCAGATGCGCTGCCAGACCCCATAATGACTGCTACCCACTTGCGCTGCTGGACTCCACAATGACTGCTTCTCATATGCGCTGCTGGACCCCACAATGACTTCTCCCCACATGCGCTGCCAGCCCTTAATGACTGCTCCTCACATGCGCTGCCAGACCCCACAATGACTGCTCCCCACATGCACTGCTAGACCCTACAATGACTGCTCCCCACATGCACTGCTACACCCTACAATGACTGCTCCCCATATGCACTGCTAGACCCTACAATGACTGCTCCCCACATGCACGGCTACACCCTACAATGACTGCTCCCCACATGCACGGCTACACCCTACAATGACTGCTCCCCATATGCACTGCTAGACCCTACAATGACTGCTCCCCACATGCACTGCTAGACCCTACAATAACTGCTCCCCACATGCGCTGCTGGACCCCACAATGACCGCTCCCCACATGCACTGCCGGACCCCACAATGACTGCTCCCCACATGCACTGCCGGACCCCACAATGACTGCTCCCCACATGCACTGCCGGACCCCACAATGACTGCTCCCCACATGCATTGCTAGACCCTACAATAACTGCTGCCCACATGTGCTGCTAGACCCCACAATGACCGCTCCCCACATATGCTGCCGGACTCTACATTGTCAACTCCTAATATGTGTCATTAAATCCTGAATTCTCTATTAATGTCAAACTCCTTATAAAGTTATTACCTCATTATTGTTAAGCCTGCCATAAGCTGAAACGTGATTTGTATTCCACACCAGATGCTTTTTATATCGTGTAACAACTTGTTTGTTATCACACTATAACTATAATATGTTATTCATTCAGGAAATCACCTGATATTTTCTTTGCTGAATATAATTTCTTGTATATAAAACATTGATTCTCTCATTGTGCTAAAATATGTGATGTGACGCTGGAGTTTGCTGGTTGTGTCTTGTTAGCCTCAGAAATAATTGTCTACACTGCATGTACCTGCTTACCTACTGACACCGAGGTAAACCGTTTTGAGAATGAGAAATGCTCTCTCTCTTATAAAGGACGTTGAATCTTGACTTGATTTAGCACATAATACATTTGAAATAACCATACTGCTAATTGGGATTTGTGTAAACTTTTCATGGGAGTTCAGTTTATATTTTTTAGACATTTAGATAATGAATTGTCTGTTTGTTTCAAAGAAGAATTCAGTCTATTCCTCCTACGGCGTGTAGGAAATAGAACAATGTTGTGTGTGTTTGTGGTTTATCAAAGTGTGAATCCTGCGCTTTCTACTCTATTCTATATTTCATTATATTACTCAAACAAGAAAGTGAGGGGTTACTGCTTTTTAATTATTTTGTTTTATTTTTATTTTCAATTTCTTAAAATGGACATATATTTGTATGTCTTTTTTGGTTTGAGATTGGACTTGAAAGTCATATTTGTAGGACCAAACTAACAGCAAAATATTGATGACTTTAGGGAAAAAAAGTATAGTAAGATACATCTGTCATGTCAAAATGCTATATTATCCATGAAGCAGAGTGACACAGTGCCAATAATCTCTGTGAAACCACATGTCGTTTACCTTATAACAGTGATCACAAATGGGCTGTCCATCCTTCTGGTAGTACAGCTGCCCGGCCAGGAGGCGGTGACACTTTCTACATGTGAAGCAGCTTGCATGGTACTGCTTCTTCATGGCTTCAATAGCAGCTACGTTTGGGAGGATAGTCTTATGACAGAAAGCACATATATCTGATCCTAAACAAAACAAAACACACATATATTGTAAATAAAAGAGAACTTGCAATGACTATCACTTCCTGGGTTAATGGGTTAGTAAAAGGAGGAAATTCGCATCCCATATTAAAAAGCATATGCCATTTGTGCATTATAACTAGAGGGTCCCTCCAGGAGCACCTTTTACATTAGTTTAGTTATTTATGCTAGGCGTATAATATGTCTAGATTTTCTTTTTCACTACACAGTGTTATGAATACAAACCTATATCCCTAATGCTTACAGTGCCCATGTCTCTAGTTCTAATCAATCATCTCGTGCTATTTCCGATCTAAAAATAAAAATGTTTACTTATCTTTTTCCAGTACAGAGACTCCTTCAGTGCTGATGGTCTCTCTGCTTCCCACAACATCATCCTAATCCAAGGCTTCTCATAGAGGAGCATTTGGGACCTGATGCACATGCTTAAAGGAACACTGTAGGCACCCAGACCACTTCAGCTCATTGAAGTGGTCTGGGTGCTGTGACCCTTTTGCACCTAGTGCATCAAGAAGGTCTTGCTGGTAAGGTATGTCTTTTTGCTGATGATACTAAGATATGTAACAGGGTTGATGTTCCAGGAGGGATAAGCCAAATGGCAAATGATTTGGGTAAACTAGAAAAATGGTCAGAGTTGTGGCAACTGACATTTAATGTGGATAAGTGCAAGATAATGCATCTTGGACATAAAAACCCAAGGGCAGAGTACAGAATATTTGATAGAGTCCTAACCTCAACATCTGAGGAAAGGGATTTAGGGGTGATTATTTCTGATGACTTAAAGGTAGGCAGACAATGTAATAGAGCAGCAGGAAATGCTAGCAGAATGCTTGGTTGTATAGGGAGAGGTATTAGCAGTAGAAAGAGGGAAGTGCTCATGCCATTGTACAGAACACTGGTGAGACCTCACTTGGAGTATTGTACACAGTACTGGAGACCGTATCTTCAGAAGGATATTAATACCTTAGAGAGGATTCAGAGAAGGGCTACTAAACTGGTTCATGGATTGCGGGATAAAACTTACCAGGAAAGGTTAAAGGATCTTAACATGTATAGCTTGGAGGAAAGACGAGACAGGGGGGATATGATAGAAACATTTAAATACATAAAGGGAATCAACACAGTAAAGGAGGAGACTATATTTAAAAGAAGAAAAACTACCACAACAAGAGGACATAGTCTTAAATTAGAGGGACAAAGGTTTAAAAATAATATCAGGAAGTATTACTTTACTGAGAGGGTAGTGGATGCATGGAATAGCCTTCCAGCTGAAGTGGTAGAGGTTAACACAGTAAAGGAGTTTAAGCATGCGTGGGATAGGCATAAGGCTATCCTAACTATAAGATAAGGCTAGGGACTAATGAAAGTATTTAGAAAATTGGGCAGACAAGATGGGCCGAATGGTTCTTATCTGCCGTCACATTCTATGTTTCTATGCTGCAATGTAAAACGCTTCCGGAATCCAAACGGACCTTTGGTCCATTATCTGACACGTCAGATTTTCCCCATAGGAAAGCATTGAATAATACGTTCCTATGGGGAGGTCTAATGCGCGTGCGCGCAACCATTGCCGCACACGGAGGAGCGTGGGCGGAGCCTGACCTAGGGCTGAGGGACATCAGCGCTGGATTCAAGTAAGTGGCTGAAAGGGGGTTGGGGCTTCTGGTACCGTATCCACTATAGTGCACTCTTGGAGTGTTCCTTTATTTGAACTTTGACACACATGGCTGCTGTTGACTCTAGCAGGCAATTAAAAGAGCTGGAAATAGGAATGCCTAAGACACATGTAAATGAAAATGTAAGCTCTTTTTTGGGGAGCGTGTAGGGAGGATGTGGCTAGAGCTGCATAAACAAAGTCATCTAACTCCTAAATGGCAGAGAATTTGGGAGTGTGTTCTTGTTGTGCTAGTACTAAATATGAATGTTGGTCACATGCTGGCTGTGAATGACTCTGTGACCGGGTTGGGAGAGCACTGAGATTTATAGGGTGAAGGAATGGTCAGAACAGGTGTTTCATTAATAGATAATACCAGGTCCATACCCTCATTATCTTGCTTCATGGTGTGGCCATTTTGGTTGTGCTTGTCTGACGCTGATCGTTCCGTCTTCTGCTGGGTGTGAGAAACTGGGACATTTTTAGATTTATTCAGTTCTATTGGATTCCCAGCGCTTGGTTTCTGTGAAGAAATAAGGTTGAGCAGTGAATGTGTATTTTAATATTGCAGGTGAGATATAAACTGGACATTACTTGGTTTACAAACACACTTGGGAAGTGATGTTCAGGGCAAACATTGGCATTTAAACACGTGGGTACCTGGAGGGCCTCTTCAACTGTTGTTCACTAAATGCTGATTTATTTTTCTCACAGATGATTTTGATTAAAATGACCAAATTGAAGCTAAATTTGCAACTCTCATATTTAAAGACCAGTTCGGTTGAAATTTAGTACACCTCATTCAGTACCATCCAGGGCCTGCTTTGAAATTCTTAATCCTCCTATGTGAATTCTGTATAAAATATAGGACTCACATATTTATCAGCCAGAGTCTAACTCCGTGAAACGATGCTGAACGTCCTCACACTTTGCAAAAGGATTTCCAGGGTATTAAAAATCCCCATAGGTCCCCACCCCGAACCCTAGAAGAAACTGGACTGCAGCCTGTCACGAGAATGAAAGTGAACTCCAGGCATATCGAAACGCTAAAACTGTACCTGATCAATTTCCACTGGTACGTAGATAATCGATGCATTGTATACAACATCTGAATGTAATACCAGCATGTACCATGAATAATACCCTCCCTACATTCTTTCTGTACCCCCACCCCGACATTGTACTCCATCTGAAACTTAAAATTCAAAATAAAGAATTTATAAAAAAAAAAAATCCCCATAGGTAAAAATTAATTCAGAGCTTCCCTATAGCAAAGCCCTAATGTGCACGTGGCTCGCTGGGCACGTGCATTAGGTTTCCCCACCGCCATGACGCTGTGGGAAGAACATTGCCGGTAAAAAAGATTTTCGTTCGTTGATGGTATATAGTTGGTTTTGTTGTTTCTGTCCTCGGTTAGGCCTTAATTGAAAGGAAAGCATTTTTTAATTCCTCTGAATTCTGAAAATTCTATCATATTTTAACTGCATTAGGTTATCTTTATAAATGATTTGATTTCTACTAATAACCTGCTTTGAAACAAACCCTCCTCCGTCATAGTACTGTATTTGCCTGTAATCTGGCCACTAAGATTCATTGTTTTCCGCCTCTTTGTAAAATGGAACAAACACCAAGCATTTGAAACATTTCCACAGTGTAATTTATTCTGAGACAAATGCTTTTCCAAATGCTACCAGTATGACAAAGCACATTATTGCATGTCAGAGGTGTCTTGAAAACACACTACGAGAGAACTATAGTTCTCTTGTACTCGGAGAGAAAGTCCTTGTGGGTATCATCTTGAAACCCAGGGGGCTTTCACATCCTGTTTTATTAAAGTGCCTTCTTATGACTTTAAAAACTTTAAACAAGACTTAAGGGGCCCTCCTACAAACCCCTAAACATCAGAAAACAGTCTGGACTCTAGAAAGTTGTGTAACATATGCGGGCCTTTACTTCCATTTGTATAAAGAAATATTTTTTTAAAAATAAAGGGACAATCCAGACCCCTAAAGCGCTTTATCTTGCTGAAATGTGTTGTGTAAAGAGTTGCAGATTTCAATAGAAACTGGCACTTTTTTGTAAATTACCTGGTTACACCCCCCTCTGTCAGACAACTGGTCCTGTTACTTCCTGGTTTGTTTAGCTCAGTGGAAATAAACTCAAGAGGTAGCGACTGCCCAGAGCACCTGCCTTGCAAAGACTTCTTATTCAGCTGCATTGGGAAGTCTGTGATTGGACAGCCACAGAATGGAAGGGTGAGGGTAGAAAGGGAGGACTTGCAAAGGCTGCAGACAAGAGATCTGCAGCTTTTACAACCTGTTCTTAGATATACTCTAATGAAAACATGCATGTATTTAAATGTACATCTTTTTGCATTGAAGGTATTTCAGATATAAAATTATTCCTAAGGGAATATGCACTGTAAACAATCAAAATTGGAGCGAGGCCAGAACCGACTGCGGGCATGCTCCCCATGCTCGGGAACTCCTCCAGTTTTGTTTGTGTTCCAGCTGGTACCCAAGGTGATAACTGGAGCACATCGGGTTATGGCAAGACATAAAGTGTAGCTGTGGGATCGTATGAAACTGTTGCATATATAATTTTTTAGATATTTCATTTACTTTTTGTTTTTTCTTCATGTCTCTCTTTCCCTCCCCTCGCTTTAAAATTTCTAATGTAGATGTTAGTAATCTAGATAGAGCTGATACTAGAGTGTTAGCGTGTATTACAATTGGCGACTATCTGCCTGCAGATTCAGAATAACATAACGTCTCTCCCATCTTGAACCACTCTTCTGCCAAAAAAGGCTAGTTTTGCTAAAAACTGGCCCCATTGTTTAATCTGGATTTATAAATATACTGACCAGGACTGGGCTTAGTAGAACAGAAAATTATATATTAATACTAGCCTATTAACGAGTTGTTTATATCAGCATTTTTATTGTGGATTTTGTAATTCATTGTTATTAATAATCCCTATAAGGCCAATATCATTTTAACATTTCATTCCTTTTCACATTCTGTAGGATTCATTCACTGAGCCAGGAATCTGGGTCTTACACATTTTACAGGGAAATTTAGCATTGCAAAGATAGCAAAAAAAATAGATTTTTGCTGAAAATGTGCGATAACCTGGCCATTTCTTTCACAATTAATTAGAAATCTAGATATATCTTACCTGGACCGAAGGGATGGGAGCCAAATCCAGCTTTCTCAGTTCTAAACTCAGCCTGTCTTGAACAGAAGTATCGAGTAAAGGAGCTCGAGGAACTTCATTCTGTGCATTCATTGAAACTGGAGCTGTGGGTTCCGGAAACGGAGCAGAATAAGCAGGAAAGGAATCTCTGAGAAACTGTTTTGGTGTCTTTGGTAAAACTGGAGGGGAAGGTGGAGGTGGAGGGAGATCAGAGCCAAGAAAGTCCTCGGTGCTGGGCATATCATCCAAGAAAATGGGACGGAATGATGGACCTTTACCAAAATCAGAACATAGTGACAAAATTAAACTATACATTGACACAATATCAAGATTTTTCAACAATCATTTATAAAGCATCAGTATAATCTACAGTGCTGGACAATTATGGGAGAACGTACAACGTACACAGACAAACACAATAGGTAAAGAGGGCTCTGCCCGTAAAGATCTAGCCATTGAATCTCTTTTATATAAAGCCCATGAGCTTACAATCAAATATAGAAATATAAGCTTGTTACATTGCCATCTGTAATATGTTCGTTTTCCATTTTACAACCTAGTGATTGGCTCTCTTTATAGGAGGCGTGCTATCACTTCACCTTAGGCTGAAGGCATGGGTGACTTTAGTACAGGGATGGCCCAAAAGCAGACTGATAACTAGAGTATCTGTTTGCTTGTCTTGTCATCCCCCCTCCCAATTGATAGCCTGGTGTTGATTAGAATGGGAGGGGTGGGAGCTCTCTGTGGCCTCCTGCAGAGAGGGAAATTCTGACAATCACTTGGAATTTATCCAGGACAGCGATGCCTTGAATTTTTAACACTGGCTGTATGTACATTGAGGAATGAGAAGCTTTTATCTTCACAAACAATGGCAGCGGAGGAGGGGCATTCAATAAATCATAGGGTCCTTTGCCTTTAGCCATGCTTTACATCGAGGATGGTAATCATAACTTTATTGCACACTAACAGAGCTCCACAACAAAACAGGGTGTATCCCACCTCAACCCTGAATCACAATGGGCAAAGTACTCCCACCTCAACCCTGAATCACAATGAGAAAAGTACTCCCACCTCAACTCTGAATCACAACGGGCAAAGTACTCCCACCTCAACCCTGAATCACAACGGGCAGTACTCCCACCTCAACCCTGAATCACAACGGGCAGTACTCCCTCCTCAACCCTGAATCACAACAGGCAGTACTCCCACCTCAACCCTGAATCACAACGGGCAAAGTACTCCCACCTCAACCCTGAATCACAATGGGCAGTACTCCCACCTCAACCCTAAATCACAACGGGCAAAGTACTCCCACCTCAACCCTGAATCACAACAGGCAGTACTCCCACCTCAACCCTGAATCACAACAAGCAAAGTACTCCCACGTCAACCCTGAATCACAGCGGGCAGTACTCCCACCTCAACCCTGAATCACAACGGCAGTACTCCCATCTCAACCCTGAATCACAGCGGGCAGTACTCCCACCTCAACCCTTAATCACAACGGGCAGTACTCCCACCTCAACCCTGAATCACAACGGCAGTACTCCCATCTCAACCCTGAATCACAACGGGCAAAGTACTCCCACCTCAACCCTGAATCACAATGGGCAGTACTCCCACCTCAACCCTGAATCACAACGGGCAGTACTCCCACCTCAACCCTGAATCACAACGGGCAAAGTACTCCCATGTCAACCCTGAATCACAGCGGGCAGTACTCCCACCTCAACCCTGAATCACAACAGGCAGTACTCCCACCTCAACCCTGAATCACAATGGGCAGTACTCCCACCTCAAACCTAAATCACAACGGGCAAAGTACTCCCACCTCAACCCTGAATCACAACAGGCAGTACTCCCACCTCAACCCTGAATCACAACGGGCAAAGTACTCCCACCTCAACCCTGAATCACAAGGGGCAGTACTCCCACCTCAACCCTAAATCACAACGTGGCAAAAGTACTCCCACCTCAACCCTGAATCACAACAGGCAGTACTCCCACCTCAACCCTGAATCACAACGGGCAGTACTCCCACCTCAACCCTGAATCACAACGGGCAATACTCCCACCTCAACCCTGAATCACAACAGGCAAAGTACTCCCACCTCAACCCTGAATCACAACGGGCAAAGTACTCCCACCTCAACCCTGAATCACAATGGGCAGTACTCCCACCTCAACCCTGAATCACAACGGGAAAAGGACTCCCACCTCAACCCTGAATCACAACGGGCAAAGTACTCCCACCTCAACCCTGAATCACAACGGGCAGTACTCCCACCTCAACCCTGAATCACAGCGGGCAAAGTACTCACACCTCAACTCTGAATCACAATGGGCAAAGTACTCCCACCTCAACCCTGAATCACAACGGGCAAAGTACTCCCACCTCAACCCTGAATCACAATGGGCAGTACTCCCACCTCAACCCTGAATCACAACGGGCAAAGTACTCACACCTCAACTCTGAATCACAATGGGCAAAGTACTCCCACCTCAACCCTGAATCACAACGGGCAAAGTACTCACACCTCAACTCTGAATCACAATGGGCAAAGTACTCCCACCTCAACCCTAAATCACAACGGGCAAAGTACTCCCACCTCAACCCTGAATCACAACAGGCAGTATTCCCACCTCAACCCTGAATCACAACAGGCAGTATTCCCACCTCAACCCTGAATCACAACGGGCAGTACTCCCACCTCAACCCTGAATCACAACGGGCAGTACTCCCACCTCAACCTTGAATCACAACAGGCAGTACTCCCACCTAAACCCTGAATCACAACGGGAAAAGTACTCCCACCTCAACCCTGAATCACAATGGGCAGTACTCCCACCTCAACCCTGAATCACAACGGGAAAAGTACTCCCACCTCAACCCTGAATCACAACAGGCAAAGTACTCACATCTCAACCCTGAATCACAACGGGCAGTACTCCCACCTCAACCCTGAATCACAACGGGCAAAGTACTCACACCTCAACTCTGAATCACAATGGGCAAAGTACTCCCACCTCAACCCTGAATCACAACAGGCAAAGTACTCCCGCCTCAACCCTGAATCACAATGGGCAGTACTCCCACCTCAACCCTGAATCACAATGGGCAGTACTCCCACCTCAACCCTGAATCACAACGGGCAAAGTACTCACACCTCAACTCTGAATCACAACGGGCAGTACTCCCACCTCAACCCTGAATCACAACGGGCAGTACTCCCACGTCAACCCTGAATCACAACATGTAGTACTCCCACCTCAACCCTGAATCACAATGGGCAGTACTCCCACCTCAACCCTGAATCACAACGGGCAGTACTCCCACCTCAACCCTGAATCACAACATGTAGTACTCCCACCTCAACCCTGAATCACAATGGGCAGTACTCCCACCTCAACCCTGAATCACAATGGGCAAAGTACTCCCACCTCAACCCTGAATCACAATGGGCAGTACTCCCACCTCAACCCTGAATCATAACGGGCAGTACTCCCACCTCAACCCTGAATCACAACATGTAGTACTCCCACCTCAACCCTGAATCACAATGGGCAGTACTCCCACCTCAACCCTGAATCACAATGGGCAAAGTACTCCCACCTCAACCCTGAATCACAATGGGCAGTACTCCCACCTCAACCCTGAATCATAACGGGCAGTACTCCCACCTCAACCCTGAATCACAACATGTAGTACTCCCACCTCAACCCTGAATCACAACATGTAGTACTCCCACCTCAACCCTGAATCACAACAGGCAGTACTCCCACCTCAACTCTGAATCACAATGGGCAGTACTCCCACCTCAACCCTGAATCACAATGGGCAATACTCCCACCTCAACCCTGAATCACAACGGGCAAAGTACTCCCACCTAAACCCTGCTTCATAACGGGCATTATAACCCGACAGACACTCACACACACGCATACATGCATACATACAGAGACACGCACAGACACATTCATACACACAGACACATACATACATAGAGACACACATAGACACATAGATATAGACACCAGAACCACTACATCAAGCTGTAGTGGTTCTGGTGACTATAGTGTTCCTTTAAGGATTGTATTTTTGTCGTTGAAAATTAAGCTATGTTTAAAAAAAGCTGGCTCCTAACTTCTTTAGCTGGCTCGGAGATTCCAAGCAAATTTGTCAAGTCCTGTGATACCCTCACACAATAATGGCCAGTGCATTTAACAGGAGAGTTAGCTGTGTGTATTACAGACAGAGAAAGCGAGTGAAAGTTAGCACTGTATGTTAAAGGTAGGATAGAAGTGTGAGTTTTACAGACTGTAGAAGAGTGACAGATATTTGTGTGTGGTATAACAGTGAAGACGTGATCACTGTGTGCATTCTCAGTAGGGTAGCAGAACTGGATAGCGCTGTGTTTTTTGCAGGCTGGACAGCGGGTGGATAATAGCTGTGTGCATTTTAGTTACAGTTGCCGAGTGGGAGATTACTCTGTATGGCATGGACTGGGTAGTAGAATGACACACAGCTATTTGGGTTCTGTGTAAGGCTGCAGGTGAGGGATAGCCCTTAGCCACTATTTCTCACATTTACACTGTTATAGACCTTACCTCCATTTTGAAAGTCTGCATGTTCTGCCCAGGATTGGTCTTGTAGGGGCTCTAGCGGTGGTGGTGATGGTGTTGGGGGAAGTTGTTGAACATGCTGCTCATGGGTGTGGGATTGTGTCTTGCGTGATATTTCAGCTCTCCATGGTGGAGCCAACATTATCTGGACTGAGGATACCATTCGTTTCCCTGACATCTTCTAAAATAAAGAAAAAAGTATTTAAGATATACTGAAAACACAACACAAACAGCAAGGAGTGATATTATTTTATATCATTATATATCCTATATATGCAAATTGGGTCCACCATCTTGCACACCATGTACCCAGCCCCTCAGGCCTGGCACTGCGCATGCACTTAACCCCTTAAGGACCAAACTTCTGGAATAAAAGGGAATCATGACATGTCACACATGTCATGTGTCCTTAAGGGGTTAAAGGGACACTATAGACACCCAGACCACTTCAGCTCTATGAACTGGTCTGGGTGTCAGGTCCCCCAGGTTTTAACCCTTCAGATGTAAACATAGCAGTTTCAGAGAAACTGCTATGTTTACATTGCATGGTTAATCCAGCCTCTAGTGGCGGTCTTCTGGACAGCCGCTAGAGGCGCTTCTGCGACGCTGGATGCAAAATTTGCATCCAGCGTGCAGAAAGTCCATAGGAAAGCATTGAGAAATGACTCAGGAGCTGATGTCGGCGGGGGAGAAGAGGTCACCAGCGCCGAGGGAGCCCGGCACTGGATTAAGGTAAGTGGCTGAAAGGGCCCTTCAACGCTACGGGAGGGGGGCCCTGAGGGTGGGGTTCTAAGGATGCTATAGAGTCAGGAAAACGAGTTTGTTTTCCTGACACTATAGTGATCCTTTAAGCCCTTCCATTGCAGCTAAATTTACCCAATGCAAACAGGAATGTGACCATATCTACCTTAATTGGCCTATTCATATAGGATATGTTTAGGGATAGATTCTGCACCAAATAAATTGCATTAGAAACAATGTCTTAACCATGAATTGCAGCAAATATGTGTCAATTATTAAAGACAGAATTTAAATAAAAATAGCTTGGCTCCTGCCTGATCCTGGCTTAAAAGCGATTTAACGGATGACAAAAGCCCTATTACTGGTCTAACTCATACTGGCAAACTTGTCTAGTATCTTGTAGGCAACATTGGAGTGAGATCCAGACCTCCACACTCTCAAACCCAATCAGTAGCAGCCACCATCTACTTGCGGCCTGGTGTTGTCTCGGCGGGAGAAGCTGCGGATCTCTCTGTCCGAGGCGGCTCATGCTTTCTACATTGTGGAACTATAGAACCCCGTACTCCCCCCCTCTGGGTCGGTGGGGGTTATCCCGGTCCCCACCAAGCAATGTTCACTTGCCTACCTGCGGCTCCTGGGTGACTCCTGCATAAAAAGTTCCCACGTGGACTATCTAAAATGGCTAACAGCGGCGCTGCCGCAAAGCATGTTGTACAAGAACCAACGTAGAGCTGGGAAGAGGGCTTCTTATGAGCATTTGATGCCATATGCCAGCGGTTATGGCAGAACCTGAGGAAACGGAGGAAGCAATTTGAAATGAGGGTCCATGTGGCTCAACCTGCTTCCAGAGTTCCTCCCTGGAAACCCTAAACTGATCTGAGACCCAAGTGGCATCAGCGAGCAGCACAAGGGCTCCACACCCGAGTTCCTGCCAGGAAACCCTCAACTGGTCAGAGACCCAAGTGGCATCAGCGAGCAGTATAAGGGCTCCACACCCGAGTTCCTGCCAGGAAACCCTCAACTGGTCAGAGACCCAAGTTGCATCAGCGAGCAGCACAAGGGTTCCACACCCGAGTTCCTGCCAGGAAACACTCAACTGGTCAGAGACCCAAGTGGCATCAGCGAGCAGCACAAGGGTTCCACACCCGAGTTCCTACCCAGGATCCCTCAACTGGTCTGAGACCCAAGCAGCATCAGCGAGTAGCACGTAGCAGGCTGCACACCCGCGAAAATCGTAGCCCCCTGGAGTCCCAGGGACTTTACCTTGTCAAGGGAAGGGTAGCCTATGGCTACAGGAGCTGGTGTGCTGCGGCGGGTTGTGGAATCCTGGAGAACTTCTATCAGCCTTTGCGCGTGCCTGATCTCTGCCTGTATGCCATGGGTATAGGATGAATGTACCAAATATCCCACAACTCCTACCCAGTACAGCCCCTCTGCTCACTTTACTATGTCCTTACACTCAGCGAGCTAAGTTAAATAGCTTTTGGTGGTTTCACTAGCTAGCAGGTTAACACTAATCTCTAACTCTTTAATCTCTCATATTTTGCAATGTTTTAGTTCAGTTAAGCTACCATCACCTTTTCCTTCTATTGTTGTCAGTACTTTATCTAAGCATATATGGACCAAGCATGTTCCTATGTCATATACTTTAAATACTATGCTATGCCTACCATTTCTGCTTCATATTATAAAATCGTGCAGACCTTCTACTTGCCATGTTTGGAAATGTACAATGATATTATGCTTGTGAATGCTGTTGTGGCAACACAGGCTCGTTGGTAAAACTTGCTCAACAAAAAAGGAAGAATTTAAAAAATAAATAGATTTAAAACAAAAATCCTATAAAACATGTTTATTATTATACAGAACTGCGAAATAAAAATGAAAACTGGAAAAAGTCTTCATCTTGTTAATCAATTATTTTGTGTATGGTAAAATGTTTTGAATCGTTTGCCATTTTACTGCCATTTACTGCTAAGGGAATAACTCCCTTAATGTATACTGTGTAAAATGATTATTTAAAGCAGCAGCACTTCATTGAAACATTCATTAATTACCAGCCAACGGGAAGTTATAAAGCGTGCCCCAGCTGCAGGCTGGACGTGTGGGTGTAAAGGCAGTAATAAACCCCATTCTGTTGGGCTGCTTAGACACTTTCTCACATTCTCTTCAGCCCTATTCCCAGGGCATATTTCACACAGAGCAATCCTTGGAAGTCCATCTCTGATGCAAAGTTCATTGTGAATTCTGAACTTTTGTATGAAGGCTCCTTCCTTAATTTCAAAGTTACTTTAGCCTTCTGCATGCCAGAGTGGTGTACATGTCTTGCACTACAGGTATATGGTCCAGTCTCTATAAAACGTGGATTTCGAGTGAAACCGCTAAATGTAGATAAATCAGTAGTACCATTTCAATCGTTTCCATGATAATTTCCTCAAATCTTGTCCTTAACCCCAGAGCTACTCTTCTTTTAAGGGGAACTGTCTCTTCTTTAGCATAAACATATAAGCATACGTAAACATACTATTAAAAATGACAGGTCTCCATTAAAGCGGCTCTGTTAACCTCTCCCCAATGAGCATGTTTTATAATGATAAAATGTTTATGAAATGTTTATAAAGTCTGTGTTGAGATGTCACTGAAATTCCAACCCAGCCAAAAAAAAATAAGACAAAGTAGGGACTTTTTTGTTTTTATTCTATACTTGACAAGAGGTGGAGCTACCTTTTGACAAGTTCTTATCTGTCACTAGTTGTGACTGAGGTGTAGAAGGCTCTTTCTATGGAAGGTCTCATGGTTCCCCTTCTTTTCTCTCTTTACACTGCCTCTCTTGGCAAACTCATTACTTCCTTTGGATTCCACTATCACCTGTACGCCGATGACACCCAGATATATATCTCTCCTTCCCTGCTGTCCTACGACGTGTCACAGCTTGCCTTTCTTCAATCTCTGACTGGAAACTCAATCTCTCTAAAACGGAGCTTCTTATTTTTCTTCCTCGTAATCCTCCTCTTTTGCCTTCCTTGCAAGTTGATGGTACCTGCATCAACCCATCCTTGCAAGCTTGTTGTCTTGGTGTTGTCTTTGATTATGGCCATATCCAGTCTATTGCTAAAATCTGTTGATTCCACCTTTAAAAAATAGCTGCTTTTGCCCCTTTCTGACGCAAGATCCTGTCAAGGAGCTTGTTCACGTTCCGGTAATCTCTTGCATGGATTACTGTAATTCTCTCCTAGTAGGTCTCCTCAAAAGCCGTATTGCCCCGCTACCAACTGCAATGTATGCTGCCGCCAGGCTGATCTTTCTCACCTGTTGCTCCTCCCATACCTCGCCTCTCTGTTGATCCTTACACTGGCTTCCTGTATCCTATAGGTGTCAATTCAAAATACTAACCCTTACCTATAAAGCTCTAACCAACTCGAGCCAATGTTACCTTGCTTCTTGGAGTCATAGGTATGTCCCTTCTCGGTCTCTCCACTCTGCCTGTGACCTTCTCCTGTACTCTGCTCGCATCCTTACTGCAAATTCGTACTTGCAGGACTTTTCATGGGCGGCTCCTTTCATTTTGGAACAGCCTGCCTACACCCATCAGACTCTCCCCTAGTCTTCAATCGTTTAAGCAGTCCTTCAAAACCCATCTGTTCAAAAATGCTTATGGCCTCCCAGAGTAACTTCTACATCACATATCTGTCTCTTGCTCTCTCCTAAAGAGCCACACTCCACTCTCACCTCCACTTCTGCTACTTTTCCATCTTGTTTGTTTGCTGTCCCCTTTTGATGCCCTCCCTACTGAGTCTTTATACTCCACTCCTCTAGATTGTAAGCTCCTTTGCGCAGGCTCCTCATCTATATATCGTTCCTGTATCATTTTGTAATTGTCTCATTTATTGTTAAATTTCCCCCTTTCATAAAATTGTAAAGCGCTATATAAATACCAAAATTATTAATGCTCCATAAACCTCATTGCGTCAGAGTACAGCGATGATGACGGCTCAAAACAGATGAAGCTCTAGGAGCTGAAGTGGACCTCAAGGAAAAAGAAGGTGGAGCGTGCAAGGGACAGGTTTAGGCAAGTAAAAACTAACCTCCCTTGTCTCCCACTTGAATAGAAAGCAGAGCAGTCATTATTTGGGGTCTATGGCAAATATTCAGATACAACCTACAAGGTGACAGAGCCGATTTAAGATCAATAGATGTTTTTTTTTACACAACGAAGAGTTGCACATAAGATGATCCAATAAGTGATCAATGTTACAGCCAGTAAAAACCATTAAGACTCCATTGTAGTTATAATATGTCTCTCTTTTCTAATACATTCCTAGAATAACGTTTTGAAAAAAAAAAAGGTATGGTCCATTCATCGTTATTGTCAGAATCAACAGATTGTCAATGCATTGCATTTTCTGCTATCTGTTTAGTGCTTAAACCACTCATCCAGTTGGAATTTCACCAAATCTGTTAACTCCCCTTATTATAAAATAGTGATTTAAATAGAGGCACCTGAAAAGCTTAATAAAACAACCCAATTCTGAGAGCAGTTCGTGGACTTTCTACCCTCTCTAAAGTGTAAGCTTTTGGGGGCAGACGATATTGCACCAGTGACTTCTAACTTTGGCATTCTATAATCTAGGTGATTGTGGACTATAGGTCCCAGAATGCTAAGTCAGCCAATGAACATTAGGTGTTCTTTAATAATGTTGGTAAATCCTCTATTCCATTGGGAAGCTGTGTGGAAGATATGGACGAATTAAGGCATTACCTCCCCCCCCCCCTTCACAAACCATTAAAGGGTTGTGCATGCAGCATTTGGAGTAAATGCTGCTGGGCACTGGGTGTGCCGGGGCGTGTGTGTTTGCAATGGGTGTGTGGTATAGGGCAGATATCTCTGCCTGTTACTGTTTACCAAAGACGTGCACTTTGCCTTGAGTGTATGTGACCAGTTCCTGCACCAACATGAAAGTGTTTCAGGCTCACATTATGGGAGTGGAGTGCTGACTAAGCTGAGCCACGCGTGACCTGGAAGATGTGTGACAATTATTCCAAGTACACATAGATTGCATGACATTTAGTTTCAATGAACTGTGTGCAGCATGCAGGTTCCCGAGACATCACCCTGAGATGGCTTGGTAATTATATTTTTACATTTGTTCTCAAAAATCCAGGAAAGGCCCATGTAATCTAACCGCAAACGTCAATGTTATGCAGACTTCTAAAAGGAAATTCATTTCAACGTTTCAACGTTGTTGTATAAACAACAGAACTATCTTCATCTTGGTCAAAGGTCTATTTTTTCTGTGGAGTGTGCAACGCTCCAGTGGTATCGGTATCTATGTATCATTTTATGTAAGCACTGAAAGATCACAGTCCATTCAAAAAGAAAGTTTTAATAATTCCTGCTGTTTATAATAAAGACTCCATCACTCACAGTCGCAGTCTTTCTGTAATGTTACTAGCGCAAAGCAAGCTATACTAGTAATATATATAAAGCATATCCTGTAACCACCTCAATGTATTTTATAAAACAAATTATCTCAATGGAACACAGAACGTATAAACACATTATGCTCTTAACAGGAAGGAAGTTAAATTATCTCCAACTCTACTGTGATTTTCAAACCGCTTCCAGCTTCCATTTTAATTATACGGATACACAATAGTAATGACTTTCCCTTTTCGCCTGATTTATGTTGAAGGATGTATTAGTATCTGATTTTAATGTCCATGTCGTACACAAACTCCCTGTGGTAAGATGGGGATTTTATCACTGTTGTCCTGTACAGACTGGGTTCCACACTAAGCCATTTGATTTGTGATGTGCAATCATTGGAAACCCACCGTACATGCCTGTTTGCTGCTTGCTACCCAGTCCTCAGGCAATGAATATAGTGCTCAAAGGATGAAGAAAAAAAGGGCTTCCTGCAACTTTAAACCACAAGACAGGTCACCTTTACATATAACTCTGTCCCCCCCCCAAAGCCCACCAATAGCAATGCTGCACATGGGTACAGCCAGTGGTCTCTTTCTATCAACCCTAAATATAAGAAAGACCAAATCCACTTAAAACACAGCCATTTCAGTATATCAATGATATAAGCTAATTATAATCATTTAGCACATTAGGAGTATAGTCAGACAGAAAGCCCAGTGGGTCCCATGTCCAGCAGCCATCCTTCAGGGAGCATAGTAAGGAATCCTGGCAAAGCAGAGTAACAGAGGAGGTAGCATACCTGACTGTGCAGTGGGAAATCCCTGTATAATCCTGAGTGAGTGTATATGCAGAGGTGGGTGTGTGTCCTTCCTTCTATCTTCTCAGAACAATAGCTGAGCTATGTCTGCTTTGTTTTTTGTGATCCAGCCCTGCTGTGCTTTCTACAGGGGTCAGTGAGTGACACAGACCCTCCTACTGACATCACAGAGCCCCTTCCTCCCTCCTTCCCTCTCTACCTCCTTCCAACCTTGTCCTGCCCCTCAGCCCTCTCTTTACCATAAAAGGTGGAAGCTTCAGGGTGCAGCAGGAAGTCCTCCTTTACCTGCCTTCTGCTGCAGGTAAATCTTGTTAATGTTTATTTACACTTTCTGATTGCATTCCTCATAAATAGTTCAGAGTGTGTGTGCTCTAGACTATGTTACCCTATTGTGTGTACAGATGCAAGTTTAACAGTTTGTTCAAACTTTATTTTTTTGCTCAGATTGATGAAACAAATATACCATGGTGACTACATCACTACTAGAATCCAGTAAGCATACAAAATGAACACTTTCTGGCTGTTTTATCAGTGAAATGTAAATGGTGATCTGCAAAGTTCACTTCATCTAAAATACAAAGCTCCAAACATAACCTTGAGCAGTTCAATAGGTGAAATAACAAACCGTAAAAACAAGATAAGTTGGACATAGGGGAACAGCAGGCAGTGAGGAACCTGCTCAGACATTAATTTTCAGTCTAATATAAGAGGAAAGTGTATTTCTGCTGGGAGAGTTTACTATAGTGCCAGGAAAACAAAGGTGTAAGTTGTTGCTGAAGTGCTGGTTCAGGCGCCGCCTCACTCCTCTCTCCGCCAACGTCAGCCAGTGGGGGAGACTTAATGCCCATGTGCTGCGATGGCTGCGCTCACATTATTACTTACCTCATAGGAAAGCATGTATGTAAAACTATGGGATTTCACGTGATGCTAGGTGTCCTCATGCATAGCGTGAGGATGTCAATCGTCATTTAGGCGGCCGAAGGTCGCCCAAAGCCCTGAAAGTCCCCCTAGTGGCTGTCTGGTAGACAGCAAGTAGAGGTGGAGTTAACCCTCAAAGGTAATTTTTACAGTTTATTAAAAACTGCTATAATCACCATTACAGGGTTAAGGGACCTGAGACTGCACCCAGACCACTTCAGTGAGCTGAAGTGGTCCGGGTGGCTATAGTACCCTTCTAAAGGAATATTCTACCATCAAAATTAAGTTTTTATGGTGCCCAAAGGTACCTGGCACTGGCTCCCTTTAGGGGTTCAACCAATAAACCATTTAACCCCAATGTCTCCTTTCCAGCACCAGAAATCTCCACTCCCTCTCAACATCTGGAAAACTTGCTGCAGACAGGATTGTAGAACTGCCGCAGACAGGTGTGCCGCCGATTGGCTTGGAGCGGTTAGCTGATACTCTCAGCCAATCGGTCAATTCCTATTCACAAAACCACTTGAGAAACCTATGTATTGTTCTCAAGCTTTCCAGCAGGCAACTGCTGGAGGGGTTAAGTAATTTTTATCACTTGAAAGGAGACTTTGTGGTTAAACCATTCATGAAGGTAAGCCAAAGCTACAGACTTCCTGACACCATAACAACTTCATTTTGATGACGTTGTTAGTGTGCTGGAGTGTTTATTTAAATGTTGTATGACATTGTTGGAGGAGATGAAGTGAAGCAGGTTAGTGAGGTGTGAGGAGAGAAGGGAAAACGTTAATGTTTCATTGATTTGCCCTTAGTGATTAAAGGAGTTTCGGCTGGGGGAGGATGTAATGGAGTCACTGGAACAGTGCAGCCCCGGAGAAGACTTGAAGGGGAGAGTGGAAAGTACTGGTATGAGCAGAGGACAGTTGTAGGGTGGAAGTCCTGAATGGAGCCGTACATTTAATATTGTCATTGTAAGGACTGACAGTTTGGCAGGTGCGAGAGAACTGCAAGATGAGCCCTGCTGCTGCACTGCAAGTACCATAACTACTTATTGCATTTCTGGCAATAGTGCTAGGGTATTCGTGCAGAACCTACAGGTTTTGTCGTAGCTTTTTCAAATGGTGTAACAAATACGGAGGATTCCTCAGCATCGAACGCCAACCTTTCATCTTGGGCTTCACATGATACAGTTTCATGTTCTCCATAATTTGTGCAAAATAATCATACAGGAAGGCGGACTTCAGGTGAAAGGGTTAATGGGGATTCTATGCCCTGATCACACAGAATATGTGTAACACACAGCCTTCCAAACCTTAGACTACCTTTGTGCAAAGCGATGCTTTTCAGATTGCTCGACACAGGGCTCTCGTGGATCTTAGGAGCCGGCTGTCCATTTATTCTTTAGACAGTCTGCTCTGTTATCTCCTCTTTTGTTACTATAAATACATTTGATACACACACTACAATGTGACATGTGATTTACCAGTGAAAGAGATAATAAAAGGTCAGTTCACAAACTGGTAGCAGTATACCCCACATTCTCAAAATATCCAACAAATTAAAATAAAAAGTCACCATTGGAGTCCTTTAAATATCCTGTACATTTGTGACATTTATATCAGACTGAACCCCAAAGGTTGTGTGGACACAATGATTATAAGTGAGAATGTGAATACTACATACATAAATGTGTCACTTATATGCTGGCATAAAAAGACTCCTTTTTTATGTATAAAATGGTAGCTCCGTCCTTTAAAACCATTGTACAGCGCTCTGCAATTTGCATGAAATAACATTGATTTTAGTAATGACAAATATTTTCCCTCCCTGCCTCCCTCCCTTGTGTGTATCTTTTTTTCACGTTTGCCGTGGTCTTCTTTTCACTGTTAGTCACTTGTTATGTTTGATGCATTTTACGCTTGTTTACATTTATTTTATTTACATAATGTTACCCATTCGCTGTTTATCAGTTTTGCATGTGTTATTATTATTGATGATTAGTTATGCATACTTTGCTGCCATGAATATTTGGTTGTGTATGTTATATATATTCTAATTTTGAGATACCTTTCACGTGTTTTCCTTTTGTTTCAGCTTAACCTTGGGCTTTGGTACTCCTCCAGGAGTTGGGAATTTACCTTTGCATCTTGTGATCAGATTAATTTGATGTTTGTTTCCATTTCTTCATTGTTGAATTTGACTGGTTTTATGTATTCTTGATGCCCTTTTTTTACATCAAAGAAAAAAGGAGGTGCTTTTATGTACATGCCCTTATATTCCCCCCTTTGCTCCTCCCTTTCACAACCACACATGGACCGTACCTTCCCTACCCTACAAGCCTTCTCCGTCTTCCCCTTCCAACTATCGTCCCATATCCCTGCTTGCTTTTTCCTCCAAACTTCTAGAAAGACTTGTCTTTACTCATATGACTCACTTGATCCTCTTCAATTTGGCTTTCGCCCCATCCACTCTACTGAGATTGCTTTAATTAACGTTACAAATGACTTAATCGTAGCTAAATTCAAAGGCCACTACTTCATACTTATTCTTCTTGACCTCTCTGCTGCCTTTGACACTGTTGATCATGTCCTCCTTCTCCAAACTCTTCAATTCCTCGGCCTGTGTGACACTGTCCTCTCGTGGTTCTCCTCCTATCTCTCCCAACGTTGGTTCAGTGTCTCCTTTTGTAAGGACACCTCCTCCTCTCACCTTGTCTCGGTTGGAGTCCCCCAAGGATCTATTCTTGGTCCCCTTCTGTTCTCTCTTTATACTGCCTCTCTCGGCAAACTCATGAACTCCTTTTGGATTCCATTATCATCTGTATGCCGGCGACACCCAGATATATCTCTCCTTCCCTGATCTTTCCCCACGGTCCTGCGACATGTCACTGCTTGCCTTTCTTCTATTTCTGATTGGATGTCCTCCCGCTTTCTGAAACTCAATCTCTCTAAAACGGAGCTTCTTATTTTTCCCCCCCATAATGCTAATCCTCCTCCTTCACTCACCTGCAAGTTGATGGTGCTTGCATCACTCCATCCTTGCAAGCTCGTTGTCTTGGTGTTATCTTTGATCCTGGCCTCACCTTTGCCCCACATATCCAGTCTGTTGCTAAACCTTGTCAATTCCACCCTTAAAAATATCGCCCGCATCCGCCCCTTTCTCATGCAAGATTCTGCCAAGAATCTTGTTCATGCTCTTGCAATCTCTTGCATTTATTAATGTAACTCTCTCCTAGTTGGTCTCCCCAAAAGCCAAACTGCCCGCTACAATCGGTTATGAATGCTGCCGCCAGGATGATCTTTCTCACCCGTTGTTACTCCCATACCTCACCCCTCTGTCGATCCCTACACTGGCTTCCTGTATCATATAGGTGTCAATTCAAAATACTAACCCTTACCTATAAAGCTCTAACCAACTCTAGCCCCTCTTACATTGCTTCCCTTATTCATAGATATTCCTCTTCTCAGTCTCTCCACTCTGCCGGTGACCTTCTCCTGTCCACTGCACACACCCTTACTGCTAATTAACGCTTGCAGGACTTCTCGCGGGCGGCTCCCTTCTTTTGGAACAGCCTGCCTATCCCCATCAGACTCTCCCCTAGTGTTCAATTGGTCCTGAAGTTCCTCAAAACACATCTATTCAGAAATGCTTTTGGACTCCTGGAGTAATTTATCTATACTTACCCAAGTCTGTCTCTTGCTATCCTAAAGAACCATACTCCACTCTCTCCTCCAGTTATGCTACTTGTCCACCTTGTTTGGTGGCTGTCACCCTTGCTGCCCTGTTTGTACCCCACCTCATCTACCTGTACCCCACCTCATCTAGACTGTAAGCTCGTTTGAGCAGGGTCTTCATCTACCTATTGTTCCTGGGTCACTGTGTAATTGCCTCATGTATTGTAAATCCCCCCATCCCCGCCTTTTATAATATTGTAAAGCGTTGCGGAATTATTTGGCGCTATATAAATACCAATAATAATAATAAAATAATAATATTACCTCCTACTCATTTTTTGATTGGTCTGTGATTTTTCTTTTGATTTGTGCTGCTGTTGGAGCTAGTAAAGAGTGTTTATAGCAATAGGAAGTTATAGGAAATCACACATATGGTAAATTACCACCACACACTGTTTAGTAAATATGTGACTTAGTTTAAAATACATTAATCGGGGGAGGTGAAAATCTGCCTGTACACACCCTGGATCATTCTGCTCCCTGCCCTAAGGCCACAGGATAAGCAGGAGGTCTCATTAAAGCACTCCAGGATACAGAGATTAAGGTTTTGTTAAAATGCGGTTTGAAATAATTCTATTTATCCCTGAAAACATTGCTCCCCCTCAACACTGTAAGGGTTAGCACACCAGCAGGCATTTAGCATTTAAATGTAAAGGAAACTTGGAGGTCTGAGTTTAATACATGTTTCATGATGGTCTGTTTGCAGTAAAAATCATTATTATTAACAGAAATATGTTTTATAGGCACATTAATCATCCCATGTATGACAAACTGTGTTTCAGCAAGAGGTAGGGGTCTGTCAGCGGTGATTGCGATCAGACACAAAGTGTATAAATCCCTCTGCTCAGAGTTATCAGTCATTGGATCCATTCATTTTATATTTCCTGTCCCACTGTCGGTTGTATTTACAGAACCGTCTAAAGCGTGGAATTAAAACTGAGGTTCTTGGGATCAGATATAGGTTGCTGAACATATAGGATTCTCTCTTCAAAAGGAGGTTCTGCACAAAATAGTTTTTAGTTTTTTTATTTTGTAAAACTCTGCTCCTTGTATCCATCCTCATACAGCAATGGTGGTGTTTACACAGGCCTGTGAGGGGTAGTACTGTACGTAGCAACATGGGATTACTTTGAGAGCTTTCATACTGCTTCTTGGTATTATATAAAATATGTGTCATTGACTACAAAAGTGATATTCACCCACATTGCTGATGGCTTCACCTCAGTCAGCATGGGAGAGTTACCCTTTACTCTTCTGTCAGTTTAAAGGGAAGGAAGGAAATTGGCAATATTACCCCTTGGCATCTACAGTATCCCTGTAAGGGGGCACTTCACTGCATGTGGGGGTTACATTGTGTCGCACCTGTGATGTAACATTCATCATTATAATCAGTGGTCGAATGAACACGCCACTAGAACAAAGTGGCTAAATAAAGGCTGAACTTTTAATAGTGAATACTATACTGGTGTTGTTACCTAATTTTGTGGGAATCTACATGCACAGTCGCTATAGAGAACTGCCCGGCAAGTTAAGGAAAGTTGGTGTTATTATTTGCATCGATTGATTTCTAAACACATTTATTGTAGTTTAAAGACACATTACTGGGAGCATTATTGCTGTGGAGCTCTGTTATACACTCAGACACATTACTGGGAGTATTATTGCTGTGGAGCTCCGTTATACACTCAGACACATTACTGGGAGTATTATTGCTGTTGGGCTCTGTTATACACTCAGACACATTACTGGGAGTATTATAGCTGTGGAGCTCTGTTATACACTCAGACACATTACTGGGAGTATTATTACTGTGGAGCTCTGTTATACACTCAAATACATTACTGGGAGCAGGGGCGTATTAGCCGCGAGGCAAACAAGGCATTTGCCTTGGGCGGCATTTTTCAGGGGGCGGCAAAAAACGCCGCCCCCAAATGCCCAGGGCAAATGCCTAGTTAGCCTTGCGGCTAACTGACATCCCGAGCGAGCGGGCGGGCGGCGCTGGCAGGCGGGCGGCTGGCGAGGGAGCACTTCCTATGAGCTCTCTGCTCAGCTCCCTCGCGCGCTGCAGAGTGAGGCTGGGAGCCGGAAGATGACGTCATCTTCCGGCTCCCAGCCTCACTCTGCAGCCGGCGAGCGAGGGAGCTGAGCAGAGAGCTCATAGGAAGTGCTCCCTCGCCAGCCGCCCGCCTGCCAGCGCCGCCCGCCCGCCCTGCAGCCACTGGACCACCGGACCACCAGGGAGAGAGAACCCCCCCCCCCAGCACTCCCAAAGGTAAGGAGGTTGGGGGGGGGATTTAAATTAAAAAAAAAGTTAGTGTGTGTGTTTGTGTCTGTGTGTGACTGTGTGTGTGTTTGTGTCTGTGTGTGACTGTGTGTGTGTGACTGTGTGTGTGTTTGTGTCTGACTGTGTGTGTGTGTGTTTGTGTCTGTGTATGTGTCTGACTGTGTGTGTGTGTTTATGTGTCTGACTGTGTGTGTGTGTGTATTTAGAAGGTGGGGCGGGGGGAAGGGTTGGGTGGGGGTGGCGCAGGGGGAGGGGGGCGCCTGAGTTTTGTCCTGCCTAGGGCAGCACAAAACCAAGATACACCACTGACTGGGAGTATTATTGCTGTGGGGCTCCGTTATACACTCAGACACATTACTGGGCGTATTATTGCTGTGGAGCTCTGTTATACACTCAGACACATTACTGGGAGTATTATTGCTGTGGAGCTCTGTTATACACTCAGACACATTACTGGGAGTGTTATTGCTGTGGAGCTCCGTTATATGCAGATGTACCAACAATACAGAGCTCCTGGAAAAGAGGGACATTAGGAAAGAAAAGAGCGAGAGAGGGGTTTGGGCCCACAGTAGGGAGTGTTTATACTAAATATGAATAGTTGGGAGATATGTTAGAATGATTCTTTAAGGTTGATTAACCATGTTGAATACAACATTTCTGAGAGTTAGAGTTAATGTAGGATAAAAAGTATATTTGGGAGTTAATTGATCAAATTTTAGACTTCTAGTCAGAATTTGGGTTAGGTTCACCCTAATTATAACTAACATTACCCCTAATTATCCCTGTAGCATCCTCCCTAATCCAAAGGATCACAGTAACCCTATTTTTACATGCGTGGCAGGATTTCACTAAGGAGCCTTCTTCAAACACTCTGGGGAACCAAACTGAGAATGACATTTGCAGATGAGTAATGAGTAAATATTTTAGATTGTAAGCTCTTTTGATCAGTGGCCAAACTCCATCTTGGAGTCAAACTTGTCTTATTGCCCCACCATTATAGAGTGCTGTGGAATATGTGAGCACTATAAATATTAATAATATATCCCGCTCACTATAAAATCTCAGGATTTTACTGGTCTGTTTTTTTTGGGGGGGTGGGGGGTTAGAATGATTTCATACACATTCACAAGAGGCCTCTCCAGTTCTCTGCAGCTGTGGAGTTTTCATATTACTAACAGTTATGTGACCCATGTGTAAAGCCGTGCTACTTTGTGGCTAAACATGGCAAGTACTTTCCTGCTGAGTTACCATGTTTCATTCATGAGACAGGCAGGATGTTATCCCATGGATTGCTCAACTCAGCAGTGTCTTTGAGCCTGAGTCAGCTCTGTCTGGGTGAAGCTCTCTCCCCCATCCTGCATTCTTCTGGGCCTGGGAAGAGCCTGCAGGCAGCCGGCATTGTCACTGTTTTAGCTTTGATGCAGCATTTTGTGTGCCAGACACAGGAGCACCCATTACCTTCCATAACAGGAGGGAGCAATCTCACCGTCACATCCTCTGTTCAGCCCAATATTACTGCACCTTGGACTAACTCTGTAAGAGAAAGGGTTTTTAGCCATGAACGTTGCTTAAATTAAAAAAGGAAATTGCAAAATGCAGCCCAAAATAACATTGCTTCAATTTTCCAACTCAGCTGTGTTTCCAGCTTGGCTATGTTGGTATTCATTTTATTGTTTGGTTTTCGATTCTCGCAATAAAACTCAAAGTATAATGTGACGTCAACATGAGGCTATTTTTTTTTCTTTTTCTTTAATGTGACTTGTTACACATTGCTGTGAATGTTAAAGGATATTACCCAACAGTGAGAGAGCAATGCCCTGATTGCTCTATTTCAGTGGTAGTCAACCTTTTTCTACCTACCGCCCACTAATGCATCTTTCTTGATGGAAAAATTTCCTTACCGCCCACCAGTTTTCGCGCAAGCGCGGAATATTTTTTAGAAAGGAGGTTGTTTTAAAAAAAATAAATAAATGTACGTACACTTATCTTTTTATTTCTACTTTATGCATGTTTATAATGTTTTTAACTTTATAAAGTTTAATTAGAAAACAATAAAGTAAATTGAAATTAGCTTTACTAGTGAGATCCTTGAGGCTGATGCTGCGAGACTAAATATTTGATATCTGGTTCGATTTTCGTAAGGAACAAACGAAGGTCTCCTCTTTCGGTGATATTCAGACGGTTTCTCTGTTTGCTCATAATATGATTAACAGCACTAAAGCCTGATTCTACAAGATATGTGGTAGGGAAAGGTATCAATAAATTGAACATCATTTTCCACATATTTGGATATAACGCAGGCATTTTTTTATTTTGCCAGAGTTTTTGGTATCCACCACTGCCAAAATTACATTTACTCTCTTCGTCATATTTAAGTTCTAATAGTTCTTCTTGGCAAGTTATATCAACTTCAGCAACATTTGCTGTAAAAGGATTTATCATCCAGTCATGCACCTTTAAGTTCAAAATATCTTGAAATCGTTTTTCCATATCCAATTTGAGTTCCTTGAGGTGACTACTGAACCTTTCAATATCCCCCGGACTTACATCATTGTTTATAGAGGACAATTCAGGAAACTGATGAAATTCTCTCTTGAAAATATTATGACGGAGAAGATCAAGCTTTTCGATAAATAATGACACAATATTTTTGCAACTTATAAGAGTTATATTGGCTCCTTGAAGCTGCAAATTAATGTCATTAAATCTCTTGAAAATGTCTGCCAAATAAAAGGCATCATTCTTTACGTTTTTTAACTGTTCATAGAGACCAGTCTCATTATCACTTTCAAAAAACTGTACGACACTATCAAATAATGCAACAAAACGAGTCAAGCATGTACCCTTTGAGAGCCATCGAACTTCTGTATGTAAAAGTAACCTAATAAACTGCTCGTTATTGTCCTGGCACAGCTGTCGAAACATTCTATCACACTTGGCATTAGATTTTATCTTATTTACAGCTTTAATTATAATACTTAATGATGAATGGAGACTTGTACTTAAATGTTTTCCTACAATATGTTGTCTGTGTACAACACAATGAATACACAAAACGCTTGGCACTTCTTCCTTCAAGTAAGCAACAAACCCACGATAGCGGCCTACCATTGATGGTGCTCCGTCAGTAGCACATGCAACAATATTGTTCAAGGGTATATTGTTTTTTGCAAAGTATGATTTCACAGCATTAAATATTGATAATCCTTTTGTATCTGTAATCAGATTGACAGTGAATAGCATTTCTTCTTGCAATGTATTGTTTTCATCAAGGTACCGTACATATGTCATCAGTAGAGCATTATTATCTGCAATGACAGACTCATCCAATTGTATAGAAAATGACGAATTTTGGAGAATACCTATAAGTTTATTTTCAACATTAGCCGCCATTTCATCAATGCGTCTCTTTACTGTGTTATCGCTAAGGGGCAATGTTTTTAAAACTTCAGGTATATCCTGATGCATTACTGTTGAGATAAATTCTTTGATAGAGGGTATTATCAAAGTTTCTCCAATATTATGGCTTTTACCACTTTTTGCAATTAAGTGTGATATACGATAAGCTGCAGTTAATCCATCCTCATTCTTTGCATGTTGTTTTTGAAAGGATGTAGCTATTGTTGAACGATTTTGAAATCTTTTATAGATTTCTTGAAAATATTCAATGGGCTTATCTTTATCTTGCGAATGCTTTGTAGTAAGATGTTCTCGCAATCGACTTGGCTTCATTGCTTCATTAGATAATGTCTTGTGGCACAGTAAACACATTGGAAGCTGTTTATTTGTAACAGATTCAATGAAACCCATCTTCAGATACTCTGGTAAATAGCCACGAGCGTATTTCTTTTTTTCAGACATGGGTTCTAAATTTGTTTCACAATTTAACAACTACTTTTACTCTTACGTTTTGATCTGCACTCCACACAGTGCTTTTTTCCCTCCTCTTTTCCCTTTTATTACTAACACCAAAAACAATGCTGTATTAGGTGCCAATTTTTATTAATATCACCATCAAAAGAAATTCCTTTTCCTGCCTGCTTCTTTACCTTCCTTATAGTATATCACTATATTAAGGATCTCTTTTTCCTTTTTTTTATTTTCTCCTTCCCTTACTTATTTTTTTCTTTTATTTTATAAGATAACAAAACTTAATTTATGAGCCAGACTAAACACTGCTTACTCTCCTCCTTTATTTTATCCCCTTTTTTCTATTTTTCTTCCTTTTTTTATCTTTTCCTTTTTATCTCCTTTCTTTTACCTTCCTGAGCGACAAAAGTAAGGCTGAGCTAGTTAGCCCACTTATTATTATTAGCCAACAATTCTCTTTCTCTCTTTGCCCTTAACTTTTCTTTTTCAACTCCTCTGCTCCGTTTCAGCCTGCTTCTGCCTGTCCCTGCTATCAGTTTCCACTCCTCCCCTAAACAATTCTCTTTCTCCTGCCTATAACTTTTCTTTTTCAACTCCTCTGCTCTGTTTCAGCCTGCTTCTGCCTGTCCCTGCTATCAGTTTCCACTCCTCCCCTAAACAATTCTCTTTCTCCTGCCTATAACTTTTCTTTTTCAACTCCTCTGCTCTGTTTCAGCCTGCTTCTGCCTGTCCCTGCTATCAGTTTCCACTCCTCCCCTAAACAATTCTCTTTCTCCTGCCTATAACTTTTCTTTTTCAACTCCTCTGCTCCGTTTCAGCCTGCTTCTGCCTGTCCCTGCTATCAGTTTCAACTCCTCCCCTTCCTCTTCCCACGTGTTTGCGTGCGCTCGCTCCCGCCCGACAACTTCTCACACAAAAGGAGGTTGACTGATGTGTGCGCTCGCGCCCGCCTGCACCGCCCGCCCACTCGCTCGCGTTGGTTTCTTGATGTGTGCGCTCGCTCGCGCGCCCGCCCGCTCGCGCGCCCGCCCGCTCGCGCGCTCGCTCAAAAGGAGGTTTTAACCTCCAAAGTCCCTACCGCCCACCTGGAATCCCAAAACGCCCACTAGTGGGCGGTAGGGACCAGGTTGACGACCCATGCTCTATTTCATACTATACATATTATGTTGTTTATACACTAAACTGTAAATTGTATTGAAGTGATCATGGATTTTGAAATTCTCGGGAAAAATACATGGAACATTTTCTGCTCTGCTGTTTTGTCCCAAAATGTAAAATTTTCTTGTCAGTTCTCAACATCTTCCCCGTAGTGGTTTCACTGTGTATTGAAGCAGATGTTGGAGATCTGTCCTCTAATGGACTGGGGGGTGGACCAAATAGACATCTTTCACATCTTCCAGTCACCACTGGCTGTTTGTTGCTGCAAGCATTGTGAACTGACATTGGCATGTTGATTACTAGCCACAGGCTTCCCTCACATTTTAAACCCTTTCTTTGTCTCTCTCTATCCTAAACTAATTATATTCTACAACACACTCCATCTTAAACCCAAGGTATTTCAGAGCTATTTTCATCCTCACACAAGCATGCTCCACAGGGTTCTCCATCCTCAATCCAGGGTATCCTATAGATCTCTCTATCCTACATTCAAGGATTCCCATAGCACTCACCATCAGCACTCCCCCTCCTAAACCTAGGGTATTCCTCATGCCAAAAATTAGCCATCAAAATACTCATTACATTTAATTGTGTGGCAAAAAAATATTGTCCTGAGATATTGATAATTAGTAAAATGCAAGGTGTCCTGTATTTTATTAGCCTGCTTTAGATATATACTAGTGTAACATTCATTACAAACTTCCCATGCAGTCATTGGCTCAAGATGAGGGCGAGGGATGGCTTCCCTTCTACCTAAACACAATATGCGTTTCCAACCAAATTATATGCCTGCTGTTCCAGAGAGCTTTAAACAAACGCTAGCTTGCAGCCATGGCTATTAAAATATACACAACCGTCTTCTATTTCACTTTAGAGGAGGGGGGGAACTGAGTCTGTATGTGAAATGTGCCTTTTTGCCAAAAATAATGGATGACTTTAACCCGACCTGTTTAACCCAACACTTGAAACACATTTGATTTTCTCATTGAGTCACAGAAATGATCTCATGTCTTTATCTGATCCTCATTAGCATCGCTCATTACATCATCCTTTAAGTATCTGAAGAAACTCTTGGGACAAGTACAGCTTTTCTCAGCAAAACACTTTTCTTCTTGACAGGAATACCAAGTTTAAATACCTTAGAAACCATAATCTGTACAGAACTTAACTATACAAATCCCCTGTTTTTGGGTCATATGTGACATCTACCTATATTACGTTGATCATGTGTGAACCCAGGCCCAAATAATGATTACCGATTACACCATATAAAAGAGTTTGTTTAGGAAATGTTATAGGATCGCCGAATAAGTCACTCTCCTTAAGTTCTCAATCTATCAGAGTTGCTGTTCTGATACCAACAAGGTTTAACATTCATACTTCCAAGGTTGATCAGTTAATATTATTAAATTGAGTATCAACACCTGGACATAATTGTAATCCTTTGAAACACGAAATGATCCTTTTATCATCAAATACTTTGGTGTTTTTGTGACTTTTGCAGCAAGACAAGGTTTATTTATATGGCGTTTGTCCCTTAGCTGCCTTTTTAAGTCTTCCTTAAAAACCGTCTATATTCAAAATAACCATGTTTATTATCATATATAAGAGTGTGAATGCCAGGTATATATTTGATAACCGCTTGATAAAGCCCAACTTGGGAGAAACGCGATGTGGATTGTTTTTACTTGTATTTAAAGGACCACTATAGAGCCAGGAAAACAAACTCGTTTTCCTGGCACAATGTAGTCTTTAGGTCCCCCCCCCCCCACCCTCATGGCCCCCTTCAGCCACTTGCCTTTCTCCATCGCCAGGCTCCCTCTGCGCTGGGGAACTCTCCTCCTCCTGCTGACGTCAGCGCCGAATGCGCATGCGCTGCAAAAGCCGCACGCATTCAAACTGCCCATAGGAAAGGATTACTCAATGCTTTCCTGTGGACGTCAGTGTCTTCTCACTGTGATTTTTACAGTTTCTCTGAAACTGCTATGTTTTCAGCTGCAGGGTTAAAACTAGAGGGACCTGGCACCCAGACCACTTCATTGAGCTGAAGTGGTCTGGGTGACTACAGTGGTCCTTTAAGAAAGGTCTGTTTGCTACTTTATTTTGGTATACACCCTTTTCATTGTTTTTGTTATTTTTATTGCCTGGCATTCTGTTTTTACCTCTCCAGTGAGGATCTCACCAACAATCCCAGGTGGGGATTATACATCTACAGTGAATATACTGAGTGGGCTATCTGCTCAGAAAAATGTGAGTGCATCTTATATATATATTTACTCCTGGTTTATTACTTTTATACAGTGAGCACTATTGTCGCTTTTTATTTCTGTTTTTGCTTCTATGTATATCCTGCTGCTAGGATACCTGCCGACTACACCCTCCATTGATATCCTATAAGTGGGGGATTTACACCATTGTATGTGCATTATACTAGAGCTGGTCTTAGCTCTACTACATGTGAGTAAATTGGGATTCTTTTATATCCCTTTTAAGACTTGCTGCACTATTGGAGTCTTTTTTTTTTTTAATATATATATCTATGGACCCTGAGTATCCCTGTGACTAGCGAGCTTAAGGTTGAAGATACCACCCTACAAGATTTTTTATTAACTCTCACGTATACCTACCACAAAGACTTTCATTTTGAGAGTGCTGCTATTCCCCTTTGGATACCTGTTTTATTGTTTTTATTGTTTTTATTGACCTTGTTTTATGCCTTTGATTAACTTACCCGCGTGTCATCCAATCTGACTTCTATCTCCTACTTTTGGCGCACCCTATTGCTTGTTTTTTTTCTATTACGGTTTAATGGTTTTTGGAGAGAGTTTTTAGGTGTGCTGCCTTCTACTACGTTATTTAGCGCTGCCCCATTTCCTCCTTCTTAAAAAGCGGCTGCTTGCAATCAGTGTTATGACTTCGCAGACCGGATTCATACATGTCAATGACTGGAATGGCACCCATAACGCAAACTATCGGGCGGTGAGGCACATTAAATATGTCTGAAATGTAATTAGATTATTTAGATTATTTCCAGCATACGTGAAATGGAGCTTCTGCGACTATTTTCATTTTCGTATTTATCTATCTTTAACCCATTGTCCTGTATGTCTGCCTGTACTGTACACCCAGACTTATTGGCTGATAATCTGCACAGGATCAAAGCCCCCCTCACATAGATTTCTCTAAACTGACAGACAATTGGACCAGGTTGTATTATTTAGGATCAAATTTGCACAGCTAATAAACCAAACGTCTTAAAGGTTGGCCTATATTTTACACAGGAATTTATTTATAAAAGTGTGAATTATGGAAAATAATAAATTAAGTTACAAATCTGGCTAAAATAGCTAAGTTAAGGCTATAGCTGGGGTTTTTGATTTAATTTGAAATTTGGTTTTCAATTCACTTACAATCATTGTTTGATGAATAATCCCCATAGCAGTACTGAGGCGATAAATGTATGTGTTACCACAATAAACAGAAAATAAAAGGTTAATACATCATTAGATTTGGATACATTTTTATAGAATTAATTTGACAAATTACACCTTTTTACAAATACATTACTTTTTCTGGCCTTTTTTGGCAGCTTCTTGTGCAGATTGAAACCCTGATGTATCCGCCAGATTCCTGGAACAACAAGAGCCTTCTCCCCAGAGACTACTTCAGTTTCTGCTTAAATGATATTAACCCTTTGGTGATGAGGTCTGTTATACATTTTAGTTTAGAGGCTGGCAGCCCCCATGGGCACTGGAGGCAGTGAGTTGGTTAATATATGCAAATTGTTCCTTCCTCTGGAAAAAAATCCATTCTGATTACATTTTGGTTAAAAACAACAACAAAACATTTTTTTTTTCCGAATACAAGATGAGAACCACATGCAGCTTTAAAGAAAATGAATATTCATCATAAAAAGTGTGCCGTTTACAGAAGCTTGGGGCTACTTTGTCATCTAAATGTACTTTGTTTCTTCTTTCATTGTCTGGAACTATAATGAACATGTTCTAATTATCGTTCACCATGATTCTTACATTGTTGTAATTTCACTATACTAAAGGGTTGCTCTAAGCACCATGACCACATTCGTGCTTTGAAGTGGTCATGGTGCCTGGATTATTTATATCCACTGTTTTACTATGAAATGCTGCACATACATAACTTAAAACTCCAGTTTGGGCACCATAACAACTTTATCAAAATTAACTTTTTATGATGCCAGGAGGTCCATGGAGCAGGCTCACCTTTAGGGGTTAAACCGTTCCTGCTCTATCCCCAAAGTCTGTGTTCCAATGCCAGAGCGCTCTGCCACCTGAGTCCTTCCACTATTTAAAATCCTAGCTAACAGTAGGCTGCAGTAGTGGTGCCACTGATTGGCTTAGCGCGGTCAGCTGACGCTCTGAGCCAATCCATACTTCCCTCTTTCATCAACATGCCAAACAGTGGTGCCCCTGACGGATGCGGCCTCAGCCTTTTGTTATCTAGGATTTCAGATAGTGGAAGGAGAGGGGGCATTGCGATCTTGCGATGAAACACATAATTTGAGGTCAAAGGACCACTATAGGCACCCAGACCACTTCAGCTCAATGAATTGGTCTGGGTGCCAGGTCCATCTAGGATTAACCCTTTTTTTTTATAAACATAGCAGTTTCAGAGAATCTGCTATGTTTACCTATGGCTTAATCCAGCCTCTAGTGGCTGTCTCATTGAGTAAGTATGACACTGTGACATTGCCGACAGATATTACAAAATAAGTGGGCATTTTTATGAAGATGTGCTTAATGAACTTAAGAGTAACGAGTATATTATATATGTAAGTCTATCAGTGCTAACTTTAAGTATTTAAGTTAATACTGATATAAGTACAGCAGGCTTAGTAGCGCATGTCTTATAAAGATAACTAATCGTCGGTATGGGGAAGTATGTAGATAAATTGCATGGTTGCAACTGTGCATCAGGCCCACCTGTTATCCAAGTTGTATGAGCTATGTGAGTTTTCAGGTTAACCTTTAAAGGCGAGTGTCAGCCCACAGTGTTTCGCTTATGTATGTCTGATTGTTCATTTTCCTTTGCTCTATCCTATTTCCTGTGTGTTTTCCTGCAATTATAAAGGGTATATTCCAAAAAACTAAATCAATTTACAGGGTTACAGTTATGAACGTTGTGCCTTAAAGTGCGGGAAGAAGAATGCAGCGAAGAAGAAGCAGCTCTTCTGTTTATCGCCACCTGGGAGCCCCTGGGTTCTTATGATTTATCTTGTGGGAAAAACTGTGTCATTAACTATGGCGTATGGCCTACTCCATTCTACTGTTAGGCTTTTGTAGCCGTAGCCCAGACTCCATATTAAGTTTGTACCAAGTATAACTCCCTCTAGCGCTCCAGGTAATCATGATGTGATAATATAAGAGAAGGGGAAATAAAAAAGATGGGAAGTGTGCCCTCGGGGTTGTGGATGTGCCTGTGAGATAGGGCCCTACGTGAAGATCCCTGGTTAGGTCCTCTTGTGAACCCCAGGGATCTTGGTCCAAGCATGTGCGGCCAGGTTATATAAATAAAAAATAACACAAGTAAGTAATTAAGGAAATGAAATTAAGTAAGTAAAAATAACTTCCTGCTTTAGGTGGGAGCTATCCCTGCCTGAGTGTGTCACATGTGAGGTGTAGTATGAAGCCTCTGCGGGGCCCTGCCTAGTGCATCAACATCAGGCACCCGTGAGTGCCAACATATACATTAACACCCGGCTCCGGGTAAAGCCCCCCCCCATGAGCTTCCAGGTATAGCGGGCATTTGAGGTAACCTAGTCCATGAGACACCCCTCTCCTAGAGTCCACTAACTGGGTGGCCTCTGCACCTCCACTGTCCCGGTGGAGTCTCAATAAGTAATACAGGGTGCCTCCATGGGCCCCCTCCATCGCCGGCCACTGCTCCTAAGCTTAGTCCATGCGGCCGCGCAGCCACCTCTCCGCTGCAGCCACCCACAGACCAGCCCGGCCAGGCTCACAACGGGAAGCAACATTCTCCAGGTCTCCGGATCTCCTATAGATGGAGGTCACTCCTGTCCGACCCTAGACAATCCGGTAACTATGATGCCACTGCATGTAGGCAGTCCTCTCGGCGCTTCTGAGTGATTTCTGGGAAGACTCCTGGGTGAGTGTGTTAGGAGTCGTTTAATCCGTTCTGTGACAAGGCAAGTAGGGGGCTGCACAATGTATGTCTTGTCTCCCCTGTAGTGGCTGAGTACATACTGGCAGAGCTGCATCCAACCTCCCGCAATTGCAGGCTGGTAACCGCAAGCCTGTATATGAAAACTTGCATCTTCAAAACAGGAAACAATTTAAACAATTTAACAGGTGACCGGGATGACCCTCCCGATCCTGGGGGAGGTGCGGGGCCGCAGCGTGTTCTCTCCGGTCGCCTCTTGCACGTTAGGAGAGACAGGCGCTTTCATATCATGCTCGTTCACTGAGCATGTGCAGAGTGCTTCCAGGCACAGCAATAGGCTGCAGATTCATGCCATCATGTAGGCCCGAGTTTTCAGCTTCCTCACTTTTGTAAGATCTGCAGCCGCCGGTTGGTCTCTTTGTGATGCTGGCAGGTTACTCTATTCAGATATCTTATTTTGAAGGGTCAGTTTGTGGGCAGAAAATCAGTGTTTATTCAGGCTTAGGACCGGAGCTGCATGAGATGGCTTCCTTTCAGCTCCACGGTCCGGCCCCGCACCCTAGAGTAACCTTTTAACTTATAAATGCTACATATACAGGAAAGGAGACTGATTGCAGAATAGCTTAAGGTCACTACGTCGGGAGGTTGAGGAGAAAATGGCTTGTAGTTAGGTCGACATCATAATGGCATAAGGTCATGAGGAACGGATGCTGGGGTAAGAATGGCTTTGAGTTAGTGGGGACTGAGGCTGGAAAGAGAATGGTTAGGATCAAGAAAGAATGGAGCTTGGTGAGAGTGACTAAGGATCAGTGAGGAGGGGTGCCAGGGTAAAATGGCCATGGGTTAGTGGAAATTACAATGAGAACAACTGATAGTCAGTGGGATGGAGGCTGGTGTCAGAATAGCCAAGGGTCAGTGGAAGGGAAGCTGATGCGAGTGGCTCGCAGTCAGTGTGGAGGAGGCTGGAGTGAGAATGGTTCTAAATCAGTGGAGATGGAGGCCTGCAGTAAGAAGATTCCAGAGTCGACGTGGATGGCAAATAAGAAAAAATGGCTAGGAATCACTGAGGAAAGGGCTTGATGTGAGAATGGCAGTCGTCATTGAGGAGGAAAGCCATGGTCGGTATGCAGGTAGGCTAGGGTGAGAATGGTCATGGATCACTGGGAAGGTACGGGAAGTTAGATTAGGTGTCAAAGCAGAGGAAGCATTGGAATTGAATTATTGGTGTCTCGGGGGAAAGTTTTGTTCAACAGTTTCCCTATCGCTAGTTTACCAACTACATTCACATTCCTCTCATTTCTTACAGGCTGGTCAATCACTCCTTCTACTAAAACAAACACAAGGAACTTGTTAAACAGCCATCACAGCACAGTATGGAGAGCTGCAATCTCCAATACCCACATAGAAAAAGGACTATACACACTACGTTCAGTAGTATTTTAAATGTGAAGATTTATTGTCAGGTGAGACATAGACATACAATGTTTTGGCCTGGCAGCCTAAATCGTGTATAAACATACACACCAATAAAAACCATATGTATACCTGTAGTCCAAAGGTGATAGGTGAAGTAGAGCTGAAATTTTCTCCCAAACAAATTGCTGCGCACAATGCAGGCACGTCAAGGGTTCGGGCGTGTGTAGCCGTCAGAACGCAGGTAGCCATAGTAACAAGGTTTAAGGGACACTTTAGTCACCAGAACAACTACAGCTTATTGTATTTGTTCTGGTGAGTAGAATCATTACCTTCAGGCTTTTTGCAGTAAACACTGTCTTTTCAGGGAAATGGCAGTGTTTACTTTGCAGCCCAGGGATACCTCCACTGGCCACTCCTCAGGTGGTTACTAGAGGTGCTTCCTGGAGCAGTGTTGCGTATTGTGACTGACAATCAGTGTCTTCCCCCTCTGCATGCAGACACTGAACCTTCCTCCTAGATATGCATTGATTCAATTAATCTCTTTGAGGAGATGCTGATTGGCCAGGGCTGTGTTCGGCCTGTGCTGGCTCTGCCCCTGATCTGCCTTCTTTACTGTCTCAGCCAATCATATGGGAAATATAAAAACAGAAAATACAGGTCGCGCCACAAAAAATGATATGATATAATAAAATCAATGCGTACTTACATAAAATTCATAACTAAGAAAAAAGTCCTAATTAAAAGGTATATGGATAAAAATAGTCCAAGTTGATTGAAGAGATGAGTAAGTTTGGTAGATCTTATAGGTTCTAAGATAGTCAGATGTCCAGATGACGTTGAAGCAGGCTATTTAAGAGCTGGTGCCAGCTCAGGTGTGATCAGCATTCCTCCCAATGGGGGATCAATATATCCTACCAGTGGGGGATCAATATATCCTACCAGTGGGGGATCAATATATCCTACCAGTGGGGGATCAATATATCCTACCAGTGAACAGATATATCCTACCAGTGGGGGATCAACACCACTGAATGCTGTTCACACCTGAGCTGGCACTAGCTCTTAAATAGCCTGCTTCCACGTCATCTGGACATCTGATGGTCTGTGAGGGAACATCATACCCTTAGGTTGCGGCCCACTCTGATCCAACAACTGTTCAATCATATGGGAAAGCCTTTTGATTGGCTTTTGATCAACACTTCTGATGATGTCAGCCAAGCAGGCAGATCAGGGGTAGAGCTAGCAGCAGCAGCAGGCTGGAATTAAAGTAAGATTTTACAATATTTATGGGGCAGGTTGGCTGTCTTTGGTGTTTTTAACACTTTTGGTTCAGGAATACATGTTTGTGTTCCTCACCTTATAGTGTTCCTTTAAGCAAAATGTGGAGGTGATCAGATGTACTATATTATCACAAATGTGACTATAGTGGCTATTTTATGTACATAGAAAGGTCTGATCGATCGCATAAAACATTTAAAAGCCTCATACATTTAGGGACACACTTGTCAATAAGCAAACAGTGACTGTAGACTGTCTTGGCAAAGAGAAAACAGTTATTGTAGATGTCTTTTTTAGTTAGCATAATATCCCAGATACAAATATAAATACACATCAATATATGTTGCAATATATGGAAAAAAGACAAGGTGGTCAAGAAAACAGAAACTAACAAAATAATGCTTATATGGTCACCACACTCCTATAATATACAATTCCAGTCTTTAAATGTGGATTTACCCATTCCACACCCAACATCCCCAGTGTGTTATCATTTAGCTTGAGAGGATTGTCAGTAAAGAAACCTGGACCAGAGGGAAGAAGCAGAGTTAAAAGACCTCTACTGGTCAGATCTATTAATGCAGCTGTGAGGGCAGGGATTATTCTTTGCATTCATCCATACAGACATTCATACTGTTCATGCTGTCATTAGTGTCCTATATTTATTTCTATGTATTTCCAGGGCCAGCTCGGAGGAGTTGTATGGCCCCTGGAAAGTTACAGGCTGCTGAGTACATCTTGCCTAACCTTCTTGGAGACTTGTTTTCAATGAAAGTCATAATGAAACCAGGCATGCATGGGTTCTGTGCTTTAGTCTCTTAACAATGACTGGAGGTGTCATTAGAGCACTCAGCAGGAAGGGCCTGACTACTGTAGGGTAACTACAAACCATCATTAGAGCACTCAGCAGGAAGGGCCTGACTACAGTAGGGTAACTACAAACCATCATTAGAGCACTCAGCAGGAAGGACCTGACTACAGTAGGGTAACTACACACCATCATTAGAGCACTCAGCAGGAAGGGCCTGACTACAGTAGGGTAACTACAAACCATCATTAGAGCACTCAGCAGGAAGGGCCTGACTACAGTAGGGTCACTACACACCATCTTAGAGCACTCAGCAGGAAGGGCCTGACTACAGTAGGGTAACTACAAACCATCATTAGAGCACTCAGCAGGAAGGGCCTGACTACAGTAGGGTCACTACACACCATCTTAGAGCACTCAGCAGGAAGGGCCTGACTACAGTAGGGTAACTACAAACCATCATTAGAGCACTCAGCAGGAAGGGCCTGACTACAGTAGGGTCACTACACACCATCTTAGAGCACTCAGCAGGAAGGGCCTGACTACAGTAGGGTAACTACAAACCATCATTAGAGCACTCAGCAGGAAGGGCCTGACTACAGTAGGGTCACTACACACCATCAAAGTCTCTTCCTCACTCCCTCTTTCTACTTCTACTCAAAGTTTCAAACTGCTGCAACTCATCAAAGTCAGTTCAAATAATCTGTGTAAATGCCACTTCCAAGTGACAGCAGAGGGACTGGGCGGTAGGCTGGCATTCTTTGCAAACTACTCAAATAGTTTGACATAGACTCTCTGCACCATACCCACTACAATGAGCCCTAGTAGCTAGGGTGCTTAGAGTGTCCTTTAGGGTCATGCTACCAGTGAAAACTGTTTATGTCCTTTGATAGTATAGGTCCTAAAGTAGAACTAATCATTCCCATTTCTTGTCACCAGTGATGGCGTCAGTGGTGAGTGTAACTTGAAAATGTTTGTGATCCATGTTTGAGTGGTGTCAAAGTTTTTTTGTCATATGTGGACTTCACCTTTATTTTTTGGCCAATGCATTTTTAACTCTTTTTTTTTAACCAATATGGCTTCTATGCTAACAGCAAGCACTGTCTTCTAAAGCTTTTTTGTGTTTGGATGTTTTCATTGCATTGTGACATCTGACAGAATTACTGTTAAACAGTAATTATATATATAATTCACAAAACACTGCTTGGCTCACCACATGGCCAGCTCTGAACTATCATTTCATCTGAAGCTCACACACAGATGTAATTTCAGAGTCTCTCCCATTCAGACCCTGATGTGAGAGGGCTCATGGCAGCAGGCTGCAGTACCAGAGGTGGATTTAGAATGGTTTTATGTGGCTGTCCAAAGGCACAGACAGATCACTATCTATAGTCTTCAGGTGCGTATTGCGACCATTGATGTAAAACAGGGGTGGGGGGTGACAAAAAACTCTCTCTCTCTCTCTCTCTATGATTTCCTATAAACATTTACTGGTTTAGTCATTATACTAATCACAGATGCCGAAACGTTCTTATTTAAAAATAAAAGTTTTAAAAGTAGACGTGAGGTTTTGTTAGCATGCTGGTGAGTTCGTAAAAACACGTTAATGTCTCTAGAACACAGACATGAGTGGCTTCCCCAAGTCACAGTTTACACAGTGAACTGAACATGTTCTCCATCAGTTCCTGTGTTTTCAGAGTTGAAAAGTAGTTTGTAGCCTACAGTTTTTCCAAGGGTTGGCCGGCCTCATAGGAGTCGAGATAATCCCAGTAAGTCACACTGTGCTGGTGAATGTAACAAACTCTTAGAAGCACCTTATCTTTCTACATTAGTCTCACTTCTCTGAGCACTGTTTTCTGTTGTAAGTCTGGAGTTTTTGGAAATGGGAGATCTTCTAGGATTTGAGTTTCTCGATGCATAGTCCTAGGATAAGAAATCCAAAATAAGATTGTATTATCAGGTGTTAGATATAAAAAATACACACCGCTGTAACAGCTAATAATTATTTTGTCATCTTCCCTCTCACCTGTTCTCTGCAGATTTCCAGCATAGTTCCAGCATGAAACAAGCACCACAATTCTCCAGTCAGTGAAATGAAGATATGCAAAATATCAGCCCACCTGCCTACTGTCATCATAAGTATGAGGAGTCCTCCCATCCGTACAAATACAGTCTGATATGCCATCTGCTGCGTGGGATTCTGATGCTGTTCCTCTACAATCAAACATGCAACATAGTTTTATAGTTATAGAAAGATTTGACAAGTGGGGACTTATAGACAAAGATGCCCCCGATACCAATTGGAAAAGCCAACCCATAGTGCATAAACAGGTAATAACCCCCATCCCACACCAAAGAAACTAGTAAATCATAGAACCCCCAACACACAGTGACGAGGAGTAAAAGGAGGTTGAGGAGGGGGAGGAACAGTAGAATAAAAGTATTGGAAAGAACTGATCTAGATGAGTCACAATAAGTATTCTGGACTAGCAGAACCATAGGTCTGTAGAGCCTAGATAATAATGTGGCAAAAATCTAGAAGCGTCAAGTAGGACAGAGGGCCCATAGGTTGGCCTCACCTTGCATGTAAATGACAAGCAGAGTGTAACAGATGGTGAGTGGAGTCCAAAAGCGGACAGCCTCGGAGGTGCTGAGGAAATCTCTGTTTATTACAGCCACAGCTGCCAGGTCAGACACTAGAAAGGCAATCTTGAGAGCCCGGCCCAGGACAGCGGGGATATCCTGCCATCCAGCCAGCAGCGACAAGCAAATACCGCAATACCGCTCTTTACTGTGCAGCTGATACATGATTCCCACATGGCGACACATCCTTCGTGTCTGCCAGACAATGAGTGCCGAAAGCCCCACAGCCAAGAGCAGGTTCCAGGTGCGATGCGGTGCCCCCTCATGGAGGTAATCAAGACTGCAACTAACCCCACATCCCAGAGAGAACTGGCAAAGGAGGAACAGCTGGGAGCTCTGAGAACCCTGGAGGAACATAATTAAAATGTCTGAATGCAGTAGGATTAATTCATATTGTGGCTGTCTGGCAGTCATTCCTGTAATGTGAAGTATAATCTGGCAATTTAATAATGAGACACACCGGGTTATTCACTCAAATGAGAATTGTTAGGAATTCAAAATGAATTTCATATTGTAATGTAAATAACTAAATTAGAAACAAATCTCCAAGTGTATTCTGTTTTCAGTTCAGATATTGTTACTTTAAATTAACATTGAATTCAATGTTCAAGTTCTCACTTTAGTGACTTACCCTGACAGCCCTGAGTTAGTTGTCCTGTTCATGACGCAATCAAAGCCCAGTCTGGGTCAGACAAAGCCAACTGGTTTAGTAAACACCATAGGATTTAATACTTAAAAAAGTATGAAGTAAATCAATTACCCTGCAGACTAATTATTATAATAAATTAAACCCACACGCATGGTGAAGGCTCCTAAGCATACGGGTTTCATTTATTATAATAATTATTCTGTGGGGTGACCCCTTTAAATGTAATTGAATTACTTCTTACTTAGAATGAATGCTAGCTTTTTACCCTACAACTGTGTCACTACAGCCAGTATGCTCTGTCTGACCTGACCTTCAATTACCAGCATCCCTACTATTTTATGGATTCTTAGCGAATAATGGAAATATTACCAAACCTTATTGAGAGATAGGATCATTGAGACAGCTCGAAGCGAAAACTCCAGAACCACCAAGGCACCAACTCGAGGCCCCAGTACAGAGTATATGAAGGCGAGAAGCACAAGGTGCAGTGTATCCTGAAGTCGAGATTGGCAGCGTAGCTGCTCAGACTGTTTCTGTCTGTCAGGGTCCCTGTGAAAAGATAGAAGCATTACCATAAACTTGCCATCATGGCTCAAGAATGTAGGGTCAGAAACGTATTAACCGATGATATATCTATAAAATCTAGGTTAAACCGCAACCAGAAGTGAATAGAAGTATTCCCTAGATAGAAAATCCAAATAGGGAGTACAGAGAAAAACGGGTTATAAGGGTGGCAATACGGGCATAACCCTGCATAAAGCACAAAATATACAAAAAAGTGAAGGAAGAACAACCCCGTGATAAATCAGGTTGTTCCTCTTCAAACCACCCCAAACAGATCAACGTCTAAGAAAAATAAATAAATTTTATTATTAAGAATAGGACCAAAGAAACCTAACAACTCATATATGACAGTGGACTACAAAGTTCTAGTGGAAACAACATGTATCAATCACTGTTATATGTAGAAAATAAAACTCAGACAAAGTTAAAGCTACATATGATACTGTGAACACACATTGAACCTAACAGAAGGTCAGAGAGTGCAGATTGAATAAACTTGTATGAAAAGAGTCAATTAATGAGGAGGACCATATAAATAAAGAGGAAGTTCAAATGAACCTTCAAGCTGAAAAAGTCAGTCTCATAATAACTCCATATTATACTATGTGGTCGCCCCGGTGTATATAAGCACTGAGTAAACTATTAATAAAAGTCCACTGAAAATAAATGAGAGAAAAGTATATTCAAACAAAAACAAATAAATCAAATTACCTAAGGACTCACAGATATAACACAATACTGTCTATAAACTGCAAGGTTCCAGTATAAATGGAAGTGGTCAAAGCACTATCCCATATAATAGTCTAAACTCAAAAAGAGTTAGTGCTGAGTATGATTGTATATATGAAACCTGCAGAAAGTCAGAAAGTGCATTTTAGTAGACTTGCATTGGAAATCGAAAGGATAGGGAAGATATTATAAGCAGAGAGGGATATAAAAAGTGGAGATGGATATAAATATAAATATAAAGTAAGCCTAAATAGGACAGACAAAACTAAATAAATCCACCTCACAGTAAATCCCTGCTAGTTAGTCGTCCCGGTATGTAAAACCGATCAACCCCAAAGTCACTATATCATAAGAGTACACTAAGGTATAACAAGTGTTAAGAATACATCGGAAAAAATAGGCCCACACTAAGGTATAACAAGTGTTAAGAATACATCGGAAAAAATAAGCCCAACGCGCGTTTCGGCGGGTAAACCGCCTTTCTCAAGAGCAAAATATAATGTATCAAAATAGTTCACCCCCCCCCCCCCTTTTCCCATCTATATAGCCGTTACTGACCGCCCATAAGGTAGTAATCAGCTGGCAACGTCCAATCTCCTTGCTTGCCGGGATTAATCAATGCGCATGTCCCGCCAAGGTGTCCGCGCATGCGCACCAAACTTAGAAAAAAGGGGAGACTCTCTCATAGTCAGAAGTGCGCATGTCAAAATATCAGTGGTGAAGCAGCGCACAAAAGTGAACCGCGAACTCCCCACATACTACGTACACATAAATGAACAGGCTGTCACAGAAGTTTCCCAGTAGATCCTGATATAGGCTAAATGCCCTTATATGAGGGTAACAAAAAAAGGGAACACATTATAGTCATCTGATCAAACCTGTGTATTTAGATACAGAACCTCCGTAGCATTCATATGTCTATTGGAGGAAGAATATCCCTACACATACAGGAGATTCATAAGGATAGGAAGGAGGAGGGGGAAATGAAAAAGAAAATAGGTCATAATAGTCTTAAAAAATAAAACAAAATATATATATTATAGACAAAAAAGTGATAAAAGTAAAGAATTTCCTTTAAAAAAAAATTAATTCAAGAAAGTATTTCTTTCAAAATATTTTTACATAGAGCTGGTGATAATGAGAACAGGATGGGAGGATAAGAGGGATGTATATAGCCCAATAAGTCGTATATTTATATGAAGGGGGCAAAAGAAAAGCCCTCATTCAGACCCAAGGGTTGGAGGGTTTTAAGTTCATATATCCATCTAGACTCCCTCTGTCTAAGTGTTTTATCAAAATCCCCCCGTCTAGGGGTCCTTTTTACTAATTCCAATCCACAGAATTTAAGATTACTAGAGTCCCCATGATGGAATTCTTTAAGGTGTCTAGATATAGGTGTCTCAAGGCGGTTCCTAGGAGATCTTACATGTTCCATAATTCTATCTTTAAATGCTCTAAAGGTTTTCCCTACATATTTCTGTCCACAGGTACATTGGAGCAGATATACAAGGCCTTTAGTATTACAGTTAAAGAAGCTTTTAACTTTGAAGGAAACCAGTTCCTGGCTGTCACTGACAGTCTTGGAGTTCTTAAGAATAAACTTACAGGCTACACATTTACCACAGCCATATGTGCCCGTTGGTGGAGTCCCCAACCAGGTGGCACGTGGTTGTGTTCTAATAGAAAAATGGCTGGGTACCAGTAAGTCGCGAATGTTCCGTCCCCTCCTAGCTGTAATATTGGCATGTGGGCTTAGAGCCCCCTTAAGATGTACATCATTCAATAGTATGGGCCAGAATCTCTCAAGTGACTTCCGTACTTCTGGCCACCCCCTATCGAATGTTGCAATCATACGGATGATTCCAGTATCCTTCTTAGTCGTTTTATCAGTATGGTCACATAGTAGTTCACCCCTCTCTGTTTGTAATGCATTCTTATAGGCTCTTTTTAAACAGCGGTTCGGATAACCCTTCTCCTTAAAATGTTGTCGAAGTTGTTTCGCTTTTAAGATAAAGTCCTGGGTGTCACTACAGTTTCTCCGAAGACGGAGATACTGACCCACCGGAATACCCTCTTTGAGGGGTCGTGGATGGTGACTAGTCCAGTGTAGGAGGGAATTGGTTGCCGTGGGTTTTCTGAACAGTGTGGAGTGGAATGTACCATCTTGGCTAATACTGATAGTTACATCTAGAAAGTTTATAGATCGTCCTCCGAATTCAGATGTAAACCGAAGATTTTGATCATTACAGTTAAGTAGTCCTACCATATCTGAAAACTCTCGGGGGGTGCCATGCCAGACAATCAAAATGTCATCAATATAGCGACCCCACCATAGGACTTTAGGTAGATATTCTTTCAACACATCTGAATTAAAGATCTGGTATTCCCACCATCCAAGATGGAGATTCGCATATGAGGGGGCACAAGCCGTCCCCATAGCGGTTCCCCTTACTTGGTGGTATACATGGTTGTTAAATAGAAAGTAGTTGTGTGACAAAATAAACCGCAAGAGACGTAGAAGAAAAGCTGTATATAAATCATCTCTGGGGGCTTCCTGATCAAGAAAAAATCCCACATGTTCAATTCCTCTATCATGAGGTATGGAGGAGTAGAGTGATTCAACATCTAAGCTACATAATTGGACGGAGGAGGAAAATTTAAGACTCGACAGTTTATTTAGAGCTTGCTTGGTATCCCTAATATAGGAAGGTAATTTTTCAACAAAAGGTCTTAACACTCTGTCTATATACAGGCTGCCATTTTGTGTTAAATTATCAACCCCAGAAACAATTGGGCGTCCTGGGGGTGTCTCTAGGTTCTTGTGAATCTTAGGTAGGCAGTAGAAGGTTGCTATTTTAGGGTGACGAGAAAAAATAAATTCAAACTCGTCACCTGATAGCAACCCCCTACTGCGACCATCCTCCAATATTTCCCTATATTTAGACAGAAAAGCATCAGTAGGATCGTGTTTAAGGACTGCATATGTCTCAGTGTCCCTAAGGACCCGTTCGGCCATTTCCAGATATTTATCCACATCCATCAGTACGATATTTCCCCCTTTATCGGCGGGTTTGATGATGATATTAGCATCATCTTGTAAAGTTTTTAAAGCTTGTTGTTCCCGTCTAAGGAGATTATCCCTAGAATGGATGCGGAGAGATTTCAAGTTAATCTTTTCAATCTCTATTTTGGCCGCCTCTAGGAACAACTCAATGTTCCTAAAGCCCGCAAAATTGGGTGTATAGCGGCTCTTTGGTTTTAGGCCGGTACGGTTCGAGATAATATTTGAGTCATTTTCATCTAGAAGGGTTAATAGGGTAGTGAGACATTGATAGTCTTGTGGTGCAAGTCCAAGGTCACGAGCCTTCCTTTCATTCTGAACAGAATGGAATTTATGTAGGGCCAACTTTCTAACAAAAAGATTAAGATCCCTAATCCAACCAAACTTATCAAAAGAAGGTGTGGGTACAAATGAAAGGCCCTTCCCCAAAACAGCCTCTTGATCAGTGGTCAAAGTGCGAGAGGACAGATTAATGATCCGGGTCTTGCATGCTACTACCTGAGTGTCAACTAATATCTCCTCCTCCTTCCCCCTCCTCTTATGTTGCGAGTCTGGTATCTCATTCGCTGACTCGGAAATTCCTCCTGGTAACCTGGGGCTAAAAAATTAACTCCCTTCTTCAGGATTCCTCTAGGATTAGAATTTACTGTGGATGGGTTAGATTGTAATTGTGGTTCAGCTGGGATATTTGAGACTTGGCTCCCAGAGTCTGTATCTGAGGAGTCATAGTCTGAGGTTAGACCATTATCAGACGTACGTCGTGTTCTACGGTTAAAAGATTTATAAACATTCCCAGTCTGATAATCATTAGAGTCTCTTAGGAACTTGTTGTGCTTCCTAAATTTCACTGATTCTTGGTATTTATCCAGGTTTTGTTTCAACCTGGATTCCAGAAAAGTGAAATTTGGGTCATTTTGGAACTGTTTGATCCCATTGATTTCTTCATCTAGATCAGTGTTGATTGTTTTAAGTTGTTCTTGTTCAAATTTGCAGATAATCTGCATAAACGTTTTAGAACAGGATCCAGCCGCAGCTTCCCACTCCCTCATCAAATCTGTATTACCAGAGTAGGATGAGGGGATATTCATTACTCTAAGACCTCTTGGTATCATTTCTTTACTCATATAGTTCTCAAGAGATGAAATCTCCCAGCATGTTCTAATCTGTTTCTTATATAAACTATGAAGTTTATTAAAAGATTTATTGATATTAGGAGTAGTAGTATTTAGATCTAGTTTTGTGTTTGAAAACACATTTTCTGCATCTTTACACCAAACATTACCTTCAATTTTATTTGATAAAAAACCAGCCATGTTTGAAAAGTAAAATAAATAAATCACTCTAAATAACCCTGGTATTGAAACCTAAGAAATAATAATAATAAATAGAAGTATTCCCTAGATAGAAAATCCAAATAGGGAGTACAGAGAAAAACGGGTTATAAGGGTGGCAATACGGGCATAACCCTGCATAAAGCACAAAATATACAAAAAAGTGAAGGAAGAACAACCCCGTGATAAATCAGGTTGTTCCTCTTCAAACCACCCCAAACAGATCAACGTCTAAGAAAAATAAATAAATTTTATTATTAAGAATAGGACCAAAGAAACCTAACAACTCATATATGACAGTGGACTACAAAGTTCTAGTGGAAACAACATGTATCAATCACTGTTATATGTAGAAAATAAAACTCAGACAAAGTTAAAGCTACATATGATACTGTGAACACACATTGAACCTAACAGAAGGTCAGAGAGTGCAGATTGAATAAACTTGTATGAAAAGAGTCAATTAATGAGGAGGACCATATAAATAAAGAGGAAGTTCAAATGAACCTTCAAGCTGAAAAAGTCAGTCTCATAATAACTCCATATTATACTATGTGGTCGCCCCGGTGTATATAAGCACTGAGTAAACTATTAATAAAAGTCCACTGAAAATAAATGAGAGAAAAGTATATTCAAACAAAAACAAATAAATCAAATTACCTAAGGACTCACAGATATAACACAATACTGTCTATAAACTGCAAGGTTCCAGTATAAATGGAAGTGGTCAAAGCACTATCCCATATAATAGTCTAAACTCAAAAAGAGTTAGTGCTGAGTATGATTGTATATATGAAACCTGCAGAAAGTCAGAAAGTGCATTTTAGTAGACTTGCATTGGAAATCGAAAGGATAGGGAAGATATTATAAGCAGAGAGGGATATAAAAAGTGGAGATGGATATAAATATAAATATAAAGTAAGCCTAAATAGGACAGACAAAACTAAATAAATCCACCTCACAGTAAATCCCTGCTAGTTAGTCGTCCCGGTATGTAAAACCGATCAACCCCAAAGTCACTATATCATAAGAGTACACTAAGGTATAACAAGTGTTAAGAATACATCGGAAAAAATAGGCCCACACTAAGGTATAACAAGTGTTAAGAATACATCGGAAAAAATAAGCCCAACGCGCGTTTCGGCGGGTAAACCGCCTTTCTCAAGAGCAAAATATAATGTATCAAAATAGTTCCCCCCCCCCCCCCTTTTTCCATCTATATAGCCGTTACTGACCGCCCATAAGGTAGTAATCAGCTGGCAACGTCCAATCTCCTTGCTTGCCGGGATTAATCAATGCGCATGTCCCGCCAAGGTGTCCGCGCATGCAACCAGAAGTGACTTGTAAAGTGAACCAGTGAAAGTTAGGAAGTAGGTGGCAGACTGGTCAAGGGTGAGGAAAGAGTGCAGTAGGAGGGGTGTGAGTGAGAGAAAATCACTGGGGGTCTCGAAGAACATGGCCACCTACCTAAAAGACTCCTACAAAGTGATGAAGAGGAGGGAAGACAAGTAGGGGTATAGCAGGAGATGAGTGAGAGATAAGTATATAGGTTGGGGATAGGGTAGTTATGGAAACAGGTAGGATTGTATAATAAGAGTAATAGTCCATTGGGCATTTTCAAGCATCATTAATAACCTCAGACAAAAATAATAATAATGAACTATGGTGTAAACTTACTGTATTTTCTGGCGTATAAGATGACTTTTTAACCCTGGAAAATCTTCTCCAAAGTCGGGGGTCGTCTTATACGCCGGGTATAGGCTCTATATGGCTGCCGGGGTTGCTCACTTCCTTTCAGTCCGGCCGGGAACAGGTAACTGAATCTCCCGTATCGCGCGGTACCCGGACGGACTGACAGGACGAAGAGGAGGTGAGAAGAATGTAGGGAGGATTGGGGGCGGGGGGAGTAAAAAGAATGGAGGGGGGAGTAAAAAAAATGGAGGGGGGGAGTAAAAAGAATGGAGGGGGAGGATTAAAAAGAATGGAGGGGGGGAGTATAATCCAGCAGGCATGGATTATATGCCCAAACAGCCTGGCACATACCTGGGCTTTAAATGCTATTTCAGATTATCATTATTTAATGTCTTGCTGTGGTAGCTCTGTCTGCTCACTGTACATCATGGCTAATTTTTATTTGGTGTGCATTGGAAGAGGGGTAGTCTTATACGGCGAGTATATCCCAAACTCTATATTTTAACTGGAAAAGTTGGGGGTCGTCTTATACGCCGGAAAATACGGTAAGTAGAATATTTGTTGTTTTTATTATTTGCTGTTTGTTAGCACAGCTTAAGAGATTTCAGTGAGGCTATAGTATGAATACGAGACCAAATACTGTTGTGTGGGTGCCTGGATTGTTTCTTTAAGTCAGGGCTGGGCATACAGTAGGATCCCCAGATATTCTAGAATTTCCGAGTGCCATGATACTTTGCCAGTACTTGGAATGGCAAAGCATCATGGACGTTGCAGTTCTACAACATCTGGGGATCTATAATTTGCCCAGCCCTACTTTAAGTTGTGATGGTGCCTGGAATCTTTCGTTAAAGGACCACTATAGGCACCCAGACCACTTCAGCTTAATGAAGTGGTGTGGCTGCCAGGTCCAGCTAGGGTTAACCCGTTTTTTTTTTTTTATAAATAGGTTAATCCAGCCTCCAGTGGCTGCCTCTTGACAGCCGCTAGAGGCGCTTGCGTGCTTCTCACTGTGAAAATCACAGTGAGAAGACGCCAGCGTCCATAGGAAAGCATTGTGAATGCTTTCCTATGGACTGGCTGAATGCGCGCGCGGCTCCTGCCGCGCATGCACATTCAGCCGAAGAGGAGGAGAAGAGGGAGGAGGAGAGCTCCCCGCCCAGCGCTGGAGAAAGAGGTAAGTTTAACCCCTTCCTCTCCCCAGAGCCCAGCGGGAGGGGGTCCCTGAGGGTGGGGGCACCCTCAGGGCACTATAGTGCCAGGAAAATGAGTATGTTTTCCTGGCACTATAGTGGTCCTTTAAATTGTGTTAGTGTGTTGAGTCCCTTTTAATGATGGCTGGGCTGGTACCTGTTTCATGGAAACCATTTTCTTGAATTTACAGAGCGTGGGGAAGAAAGCAGAAAGCTGCTGGCCCTGACACCTTCAGGAGTGGTCCTTCCGTTTCATTGTCATTTAGAGGCCGAGAAAAGTGAGGTTGTGGCCCACTGGCCGGTATTTAGCAAATTCATAATAACCCCTGCAAATTGTCAGATAAACTAATGCCTAACACGCAGAACTTAGGGTTTTCTTTATTTTCTACTTAAGACGTATTACCGGGCCTTAGAATGGCCGGATTTAACGTATAAAAGGAAAAACCACAAGACAGGCTGTGGACAAGAACACAGAAATCACGGAAACTTTGAGCAAGCCAAAGGTCTAGGAATATAGAAGTCAGAATAGTCAGGGGCCAAGCCAAAGGTCAAGGGATACAGAGATTGGATAGTCAGTAGGAAAGCCAAGGTCAAAATACACAAGAATCAGTACCAGAAACGCGCTCTCGGATAACCAGAATGGAAGCCATGACAGGGCACAGAGAAATGGACAAAAAAGGTTTAAATAGCCTAAGGTGCTCCCTGATTGGCTGCAGGGAAGCATGTGATAGTGAACGTGTGTGTGTGTGACATCACCCACACGTTCCAAATGGTTAGGCACTAGAAGGGTTAATAAAAAAAAACTTAAAAGGTTCTAACTTGCATCGGCCGGTGTCTAATGTTTACAGACGTCGCAGGAGGAAGTAAGCGATAGGCGGCATTCCCATTACCACGTGGGAATGCCACCACAACGAGATGCGCCCGCTGGGTCCCAGTCTGCAACCGGGCATGAGCGGACCTGGCAGATAAGGATTCGGCGGCATTTCCCTTGTGATGTTGGAATCCCGCTGCAACGATGCTTGCCCACCGGGACCCATACCGCTCTCTCTGGCAGGAGTGGACCAGGCGGGCAGCGTGACACCAATCCAGAATTCCTCAGCCAATAGGTAATTTGTCTGATGCTCCCTGTTGCTAGTCTAGGCCAAGTAATGGAAGAGGTAAGTAAAAGGGGGGCAGATAATTAATTTTGGAAAGCGAGAGAGGCTCTGTAGGGGGTATAACTATAGAGTAGAAAGGAAACATAAGGAGAAGGTGTGGAGTAAGGTGAAGGAGACTGTGTAGGGGTCTAATAAGAAGAACATTAAGGAGAAGAGAAGGTGGTGGTGGGGTAAGGGCAGTGGTGTATCCTGGTTTTGTGCTGCCCTAGGCAACAGACACACTCACACAGTAACAGACATACACACACTCACTCACATTAACATATTTTTTTATTTATTTAACCCCTCCCCCCCCCTCAGCCTCCTTACCTTTGGGAATGCTGGGGGGGGGGGGGGTGGAGGGGTTCTCTTTCTCCCTGGGGGTCCAGTGGCTGCTGGGCAGACGCACTTCCTCTGAGCTGTCTGCTCAGCTCCCTCGCGCGCCACAGAGTGAGGCTGGGAGCCGGGTCGATGACGTCATATTCCGGTTCCCAGCAAGGCTAACAAGACATTTGCCCTGGGCATTTGGGGGCGGCTTTTTTTGCCGCCCCCTTGAAAATGCCACCCAAGGCAAATGCCTTGTTTGCCTCGCAGCTAAAACGTCCCTGGGTTCTGGGTGAAGGGGAGATGGTGAGAGCAGGATGAGGAGTAGAGGGGGGTAATGGAGGATAAGCATTTGCATTGTGTTTGGGTTTATTTTTATGAAGTTTAAGGAGTTACAGGACAAGGTGCTATTAGACAAGTCTGGTATAACTGAGAAAAAAGACAAGATATCGATGTCATCTACAATGAAAACAGGGCGATAAGGCCAGAGATTGTGCTGTACAAACCATGCAGCCTAGCTCGACACTAGACATGATACTAAAACATGCACTCAGTGTTTGGCACCACTGTATATTTGCTACTGTGCTTGATAGGATACTGAGAAATGTAGTCAGTATTTGGGTGCCAGTGTCCCTGGTAGAAGTGAATGATTGCTGCTTACTTGAGACACATGACATAGAGATGGACCTTCATGAAGTTGTAGAGGACAGACACTGCACAGGCCCCTACCAGACCTGCAATTAAATAGGAAATGCATATTAGAATAACATTGGATATGGAAGTCTTTTTACACGCACAACATCACATTAAAGCAAGTGACTGACTTTCTTATTTTTAAAGATTATCTCCCCAGTACCTTCAAGTGGCTTTACTGGCCACTTCCCATTGGGATCCTTGTCCCTATATCTTCTGCATTGCCTCCTCTTACTGAGCTCTAATCGCCAGAGGTTATAAAAGGGTTGGTATCGGCTTTCCACTGTGCTGCTACAGTAACAATTTATGGATGGAACCTTGGTGAATATTAGGGGATCATGTCTTACCTTGTAGCAGAGAGTCCACACTGCCCCACAGTGGCCAGGGCACCCCAGGGAGGAAAGAGGCTATGTAGGAGAGGAAACCCATGTTGAATTAGTGTCCCAGAGAATACAGAATGGAAGCAGTGACAGCCTAAAGGCCAGCTCTCTGTGGCAATGTGCACTCTTCCTGTCTGTTATAGAGGAGTAAAGGTCAATCCTGGTAGAACAGCTGATAACAGCCTCACAAGGAAGGGAGGGCAGACATAAACTCGCAATGTGCACATCTCAGGGCTGGGGGGAGCCCGGCTGAGCAATTGTCCCATGAACCCTTGTGTAACTATTAGAATTACTTTTGTGGGGTGCATATACAATATTTATAGTCACTAATGAACTACTTGTGTTTATGTCCCCTGGCCTTTAGAGGGTAACTAATTCCTTAGGAACTATGGAGTGTGCTCTTTTATACGGTGTGAACTCTAATTCAACTTTCTGTAATCAGACTTTGATAATATAAAGAAAATATATACAGTGAATGTGATAAGACTTCTCAACAAAAATAAATATTCATAGCAGAAGCAAAATCATAAAAATGTCATGTTTTACACTTAATTACAGCCTTCTCAAATGTGACAGTTCCTCATTCCCTCACCACCTCACCCCATTACACTCAATTAAAGAGTTTTACTGGATTGAGGAATGCAGTAAAGGTAAGTATGAAATATACCTACCTGCCTTTGCATCACTTCTGAGTTGAGGGCAATGTCATTCGTTACCCTATGAAAGTCCTGCTGTGCTCATGTGTGCTCGGCATCTGATTAGGAAATGATTTACAAAAGGAAACACAGCATTAATTACAAAGAGCAGTATGTGTGCATGCACCTAATAGTGCCTACATTCATGGCATTCAAGGGTTTAAAATCATTCCGTCATAATGTTTCAGGACAGCCTGACAATCAGTGCCATTAATTGGCAATCTCCCTGGAATATCACTATTTCTGATTGCCACCATCTCCACCGCCTCATATAAATTCCCATTAGCCACCACAAGCCTGGTCACCATAATAAAAGCAGATTAAAATGGATACATGGCCGCGGCGGAGCCTAGTTTCTGAGCTGAGGGGACGTGCAGATCCTGAGCTCCTGAAATATACTCTGATTTTAGGGTGTTACTACCTGCAACTCGGCACAAACACCGAGCACCATCTAAATCCGGGGTTCCCAGAGGACCGACCAGAGCCTTGCGAACCTACAACTGGCTGGTAACCTGAAATAATAGGCTGGGGCATACCGGGGACGGAATCAGGGAGAAACGGCCGATCTCCTTGTCCTAGAAACCCTGGGTCGGCATCACTACACTCCTATCCCCCCCACCACAACGGTGGGGGTGTGGCAGAACCAGCCTCACCACTGGGCATTGGAGAAGACTGATTGCCAGCCTCCTGCCCTGTGACTATGGCCCCATGTTGAAATGCTTGATTTTCCTCTGCAAAGACCCGAAAGCCGTGTCATTCGGTACTTTCCCTATGTGAGCAGTGTTACCCCAGATAGCTATGCCATGGAGCCCATTCGTATAACGAAAGACTATGTGAAAGACTTTGGCTCCATGGCAATTGAACTGTATGTATGTGATCTGAGCGCCATTCAGTAATAATGTGCGCTCAGATCTAAGCTATCTGGGGATATGTTGAATGTACCTGTTTTATGCAATAGCTGCACAGTTATATATATTTATGTATTTTATTGTCTTTTGCTACCATGTGGCTAATGGAGTTTTGCCTCTGTCCTTGGAGATAATTGGATTACTTCCCAATTATCTCCAGGATAGAAGACTCTGTGGAACCGGTTTTGGGCTGAAAAGCCATGCTTCATTTGGTCACAAAGGACTTCGATCTAACTTTTGACCCACTGGACCAATTTGTATGATTTTGACGTATGTTTGTAGTATGCTGATTCTGAAAATGTAAGTTTTATGTGAATGTGATGCATACTTTTAAAGTTATGAATATTGTGTAAAACTGTGTATTTTCCTTCCCCTCACAGGCAGAGGGGAAGATTTTGTGTGGGAGTGTCTGAGTGTATTGTACGTGTTTATTGGTTGTTTTACAAAACCCTGTGGGTGGTACTAATGTGTAAGAATGTGTATATAAGAACAATAAACCCACAGCTCTGGCAGTTCTACTTCACCCTCAATTTGGAGTGCCGTCTCTTATTGGGGGAATCTGCTACAAGGGATTGCTATGCTTGTCATACTCTCTTGCTAAATCACTACTAAGCTCTTGTAAGAGCTTGTTACTGCCTTGCTCTCTGGAGGAGTCTACGGTGGTTATGGTGTCTGCTGGAGTGCTTGTAGCCCTCAGGAAGCGCTAGGAGCATCCTTCAACTGAGGTACCTAGTTGGGGTGCCAAGTGATCCGTTACAGAGGGTTATCCCTGTCCCCACTGAACTAGCTTGGGCTACTCGCCCCATAGTCACCTTGTGCTCCGGGCTGCGATTAGCAGTAGTTTCAAGGTGCTGGGCGCACAAAATGGCGTCTACCCCTCAACCCACAGAACGGGACCTAAGTCCATCTCAAGAGCCCCACCACTACTCTATAGAGTATACCCTACAAAAGCTTGATGCAATCTTCGAGAGCTTCTGGACAAAGATTTAAAATCGCACATGAGCTGCTGTGCAGGGAAAGCAAAATGAAACCACAGGAAGCATGCTACCAGAGCGACAGGGTCCTCCTCAGGGTGATCCTGCTGTGCCAGCGCAACCTCTCTGTGCTGTGCGCCCTCCTGGGCCGAGAGCCCCACAAGGCATAGCCTCTACGCATCAACCACGTATGAGGAAGAAATCCCGCCGACAACAGCACTCACCACCTGGACCCCCATATCTCTCTGTAAGGAAACAGGACTTGGCAAGTAGAGGTGCCCAAATCGTGGACACTCAATGCCAACCCTCACACACTCCTGGGACTGGAGGAACACCCTACTCAGGCGCTACTCAGCTGATACCCACCTGGATTTTGCTCATAGCCATTTGCTGTCTATAGGCCTACCGCTTAAGTCTTCATGATAACTTCTCTGGTTGCCCGGCGTTTTGATCTACTGTTTTACTTACTTTCGATACGTCTTATATATATGTTTTTCTGCTCACATGCCCTGGAATGTTACTCAGGTAGTCTCAGTGGTACTCCTATCTAGCTCCACTGTCAGTCAGCCTTATTACCAATTGGACATGCTTAGACTTGCCTGAATACCTATACCACACATAGACAGGTTAGCCAGGCTGGATATATCCTGTATTGCAGTTCCCAAAATTGAAGCTGACCTATTTAGGCGTGTAATCTCGTCTATTCTCATACTTATTCCAGTGTCTAGATAGATTTTCCTATTTTGAAAGTCTATGACATAATCATGATCTAGCTAGATTTAATAAGTATGTTCCTAATCCTGTTATACCTTGTACCTTATACAATGTGTGCATGCTAATTTTAATGCCTTATTGCATGTCAGCTATGTATCCTGACTCTTTTTTCACTTGCTCGGGGCATGACAAGTCTGGATGTACTTATCTGCGCTACAAAATTAAAGAATAAAAAAATTGGATACATGGCCACAGACTTTGTTCAGAGTGTCACATTATTATATCACTATTTGTCGTTTGGTTGTATATTTTGATATGGTCCAGGATTTTGCTTATCTATAGATATAATCCTCAGGCTGTCTGTTGGATAAGAATATTTCTCTCTCGTTGTCCTCTACCTCCTTCTTTTCGGGAATGTTTGTCAGCTGTATCTTAATGAGATTAACTTGCTGAGTGTGTTTTACTATATCAGTTCACCAAATATTTACTGTCTCAAGTGCCACATTCTGTGTTATTGAGGTATCACACAGCATTGCCCTCTGACCTCACTGGGTGACATCTGCAGCAGGGTGTCCAGGGGTCAGGCTGAGCAGATATGCTGACTGATGTAACATGTGCCTGTTAAATCCCTCTTGGTAAGAAAAGTCAAATAATTGCATTTTGTAAAAACTAAGGATTAAACAGCTCTGTATATTTGCTCTGTTCTCTGCAGTGCATGCAGTATGGCAATGCTGGCTTTAGGGCCCAGGAAGAAAGTTTGAGGTCACAAACCATACTATACTTGCTAGTACATTCTGCTGCCACTAGATGGCATCTGTATAACATAAACAGGAATAGAATGAAGTTACATGTATTCTCCTTTAGCTTTCTTGTAAAGTTGCATGCTTTATCTGTTACAGAGGTAAATGAAGGCTCTCTTCATCTTTGTGTGGCATCTGTGCATCACCATCAGGACAATTCACCCCTCACTGCCTAACAGTGTTCCCTAGCTGTGAGCATGATGGTCTGTCTGATCCTCACTTCATATGTTTGCAATAGGTAAGACCTGGAGCAGTAATCAGCCACTATCACTAGGAATTATGTATTATAGTTCACATTCACAAAGTACGTTTAAGGGGTCTGTGTGTTTTCAAGGGAGTCTGCCAGCACGCTTTCCGGAGAATTTCAGGGCTTTCTACTTGAAAACCACAGGATTTTCTGCGGAAAATCAGTCTTCATACGATTACAGCTAAACCGTAATATTGTGTCGTTTATGCAGCTAATCGTTGTTGTACACCGTTGTTGGTGCATATTAATGCAGTATGAAGGTATTATGTATAGAAAGATAAATGCCAATAATAATAATAGATGAAACATTTGTATATTTAGTGTTTATTTTTACCCTTACATATAAATTGAATGTTATTTCTTTTTTGAAAGAGCGGCATATACAGTACAAAGGGGATCATTCACTAAACTGAGCAAAACGAAGATCCAAGCTTGCCAATAGATTAGAATGTGGATGGTATTGGGAAAGGCATCAAGTCATTAAAAGGGGGCTGGTACAAGTCAGTTTTATCCCACCGTCCAATCCCCTGTTCAACACGATGGTGGTTAAAATATGGAGGTGGAAGCACTTACTAACTCCATTATCCAGCACTTTCCCAATACAGAAACACCAGTCATCCTTTAAATCAAGCATGTCAAACTCAATGGGGCCAAATAAACAAGGATTAACTTTATGTGGGCCACAAAAAAACTAAAATGTACATTTTCATAGATACGTCAGTTTATTTTGAAAAGTAAAGTATTAAAAAAACAACAACCAGGGGGCAGGGCTGAGCCGCCGAGTTGAGCGGTCGCAGGGCGGATCAGCTCCTGCCAAATATGTCCTATTAAGCCTGTAAATCGTGCTTTTGGAGGGAATATATTGCCAATAACTGCGACCCTCGATGTGCATGGGCTACCAGAGCTGGGGAGAGGCTTGCTCTCAGAGTTCTAGTCCCTCAGAGGAGAGGTCCCTGCGGCATCAGACGAGACCTCACCTGGCGGTGAGTGGAGTGGACGGCCGCCGCTCCACTATCCTACCCAACGGAGCCCGACAAACTCGTGGACAATCTGCGGACCCGGTCCTGATCCCTTCCCCTCTGGACCAGGGGGGTGATCCCGGTCCTTGCTTTACAGCCGCACACGGACAGGCTTGAGGCCTAGATCTAAGATGGCAAGGCCATGTGCTCGGGAGCCGAGCCGCAGAGCCTGAAGCGGACTACGGACACCATCTGGCTTGACACATAAAGCAACAAGTACCAAACGGCCCACCCCACACAGCAGCTACTAAGTCCAGAGACACACCGAGTGCATAGCACCAGTAAACCAGCTTGACGCTCCACTCCAGTAGACGAGACCGCTCGCCCTTCATCTGAGATGGGTGCTCACCGGGAGGAATCCTCCACAGCCTAAATGCATACTAAATATGAAAATGTGCAAGCAACACCGTACTCCTGATTGTTACATATAACTAACCACTTTTATTATTATTACGCTAAACTTCGTATTAATCGTCTATAACGCTTAATTAATATAAAATGAGGCTGTCATTCATAGGAGATGTTGCATTGTGTCATTCTACTAAACCCCAGTCCCCCCCTCATCTACTAAGTCTTAGTCCCCCCGTCTACTAAACCCCTGCCCCTGTTCTCACTCACACTCATTGAGAAACACTCACTGACAGACATACACACGCACTGACATACACACAGAATCACTCCAACACACACATGCACTCACAGACACACACATTCACTGACATACACACACTAACTGACAAACAGGCTCCCTCACAGACACACTCACTCTCACAGACACACACAATCACTCAGACAGACACACAGGCTCCCTCACAGACACAGACTCACTGACAGACACACACACACAGACAGCCATACACAGACACAGATAGCCATATATACACACAGCCAGACAGCCATACTCACACACACACACACACACACACACACAGATAGCCATACACACAGCCATGCACACACACATACAGCAATACAAACACAGACAGCCATACACACACACAGCCATGCACACACACACATCAATACACACACAGAGACAGCCATACAGACACACAGCCATACACCCAAACACACATTTCCCCCAATTGGATTTCTTACCTGGGGTCTAGTGGGGCTGCTGGGCAGGTGTACGTTCAGGCAGCAGGGGGCGGACAGGCAGTGAGGGAACGCTGAGTGTAAGCTCTTTCTGCTCAGCTCCCTCGCGTGTCACAAAGTGATCCCGGGAGCCGGAGTGACGTCATATTCTGGCTCCTGGCATCACTGCGGTAAGCTGAGGAGGGAGAGCTTACACTCAGTGCTCCCTCGCTGCCAGCGGGCCGCAAACATATTAGTTGTGGGCCGCATGCGCCCTGTGGACCACGAGTTTGACATTTATGCTTTAAATGAACAGAATGCTATCCAACGCTTGCTTTTTTCACCTTAAAGTATTTGTTGTTTTTATAGTTTCATTGTACAGCGCTGCAGAATCTGTTGGCGCTATATAAAGAGCAGCAGTAACATGTCACTACAACTAGCAGAGTACCTCCTACATGTGCCCATTCTGCAAGGTCAAATGACCTCCTGCAGACTGACAGCTTGAGCAGCTCAGGAAGGTAAATACGTGGGATATTTAGGGTTACTCTTGTTTCATGGGCCTCAGTCCCCCTGGCATTTACATCCCTGTAACAAGTTTTAGTTTTGGGGATTAAATTTACCTTTTTTTCCAACTTCCTTATAATTCATTTGCAATTTTTGGCAACTGTTCTTTTGCTATGACTGTTCTGTTCTGCAAACACCTAATTCCTCTCTAAGGGTGGAATGTATTAAACTTCAACTTGTAGTGAATTGAAAACCAAACTGCAAAATTTAGACACAAATAGCTGATCTGGTAAAACTCTCCAATTAATTTATAGCCATTGCTCGGCTGTTTTAGCCTGCTCTGCAATAAACACCTAAGTATATATGAGGTTGATTCAGGTGTTTTTCCTTCCCATATTCCTTTACCATGCCCATAATATAATACAGATTGTTGATACTGCCGTTAGAGAAGAGCCATTTCAATCAACAGCGGTTATAAATAATTCCCGGAATCAGGTGGGGGCAATGTTTTATACCCCCCACGCAAGCGTGGTATTTATAAAATAGATGTTTACAAGATCTAGTTTCTTTGAGTTCAGCTGCTCTGTGCATCCAGACTGCGCGTGGCCACAGCAGGACCAGCTTTTAATAGCTCCTGGAAAGGGCCTTTGTGGCTTTATAGGGAGGTAACTGCATTATGATAGTGTTAGGAGGGGAGAAATGATGGACCATTGCAAGGATGAGGTAGGAGAAAGTTGTCTTTGGAAGTCTTTGGCTTCTATCGGTGTGGGGCCCACAAGGTATTTCCTCTTATAGAACTCTAAGGCAAAATAAGAAGATTGTATTGCCAAGCTCCCTTTCTCCCAAAGGTTGTGTGACCTGCCCTCCTTTGTCCTGTCAGTTGAAATACCAGCCTGAGTGCAGGCAACAAAATTTTTTAATTCTCCGTGTATTCACTACATAGAGAGAGATAATACATGGGAATGGTGGTGGTAGGGTTATGAATTAATAATTATTACCCAGAGTATTCACCATGTAAATACAGTGCGTTCCCCAACGAAATACACACAAGGAGTCCCATGGTTTTCCACAAGTAGATGCTGATGCGGTAGAGACTGAGATGGTAAACAGATCAATTCCCAGGATATTCCCCAATTTCATACAGGTAAGGGCATCAATAACGGATGAATTCACTGCATATTACATTAAAAAAAAAGCACAAGCATTGTTCATTCTTAGTTTTTTAGTCAAAACATGCAGACCTTTATATTTAATTTTATTTTCAATTTGAGGAATGTGTTACACACGGTACAGTATGAGGTACAAAGTTGCTTTAAATCAGAGTTAAATCAGGATATCCTGAAATAACACCACCCTCTGAATATTGAGCTGAAATCCTGATGAGGGGCTGTAGATGGAGAATCTGGCCCCAGTTGATAGCTGGTGGGAAGCACATTCAATCGTCAGGCTTAGTTCTCCCACTTACATGATCCTGGAGGTAGTGAGAGTTGCAGGATTAGATGTTGATACCCCTTAGGCTTCGGCATCCTTATTACTAGGGGGTTGTCTGTTGAGATCTGTTGGGTTGGTTCCCTCTTATTTTTCTAGTATATACTCATCTCCAGATCTTCAGTGGAAATTAAAAATGCCACACTATACGTCACCCTGATGTTTTAATCACCAGATTGTTTGGTCAAGCTCACGAGTTATCAACCCCCAGTTTGGCATATAAGTTCCCTTCTGCAGTAGAATCAGTGGTGCTGATAATAATATGTCAATTTTCTCAGTTCTTCCCAAAACAGCAGGCTAAGGATGGTGTGTGGCCCCAGCCGAACGTATGCAGGAACAATCCCTTTATAAAGAGCTAGAATCCCTTCTTTATGTATTATCTTCAAAAAACAGTCCAAGAAGCCTATGTACAATCTCCCCTGCAAAAACACAAGCACATTTAGTCACCTGATTACAGACAGATTAATATATGTTTCAGTGGTGCTAGTTACAGTAAGGGGAGGGTGTTACACCATCTACCATATAGGGGGAATGTGTTATCTTTCAATGTTTTAGTAGTTACAGTAAGGAGGTTAACAATGTTGATTGTATTGGAGGGGGTGAACTGTGTGAGGAATGTGAAAAATCAACATGAAATTTAGTTATTTTTTAACAGAATAACCAAATTGGTTCTTCATCTCAGCTATTTTTCCTCCTTGTCAATTTGACCAAAATTTGGGAATTCCTTTGTCTATTCTCCACAATTCTCAGATTACAGCCAATAAACCCTAAACCTAGTTTAACAGTGGTAACAGAAGCCATTTAATCAGTGTTTAAATAATGCCATAATTTGAAATTTAGTCCATCTAGGTCTAGATAAAGGAATATGATGATATTATAATAATTTTACATAAAACTCATGTTCTGGATTCCATTATGTTTTAGTCTTCCGAGCATGACTAGAGCGGATACTGGCATGTTAAAGAAGAGCTCACCTTGCCGGTTACATCCACAGGTTGGTTATACAATCGTGTACTGACCACATCAAACGGCATCATGGCGATGGCTACACCAACACTGCTGATCATTCCACCAGTCAGTGCAACCAGCCAGCTGTCTTCGGAAAACCACTGGAAGGAGAAGCCAACAGAGGTAAGTCCAGAACTCCACGCCCCCCAAATTATATCACCATGGAGAAATGTATTGCTCAGCCCTCTGACATGCAAGACGAGAAATGACTGTAATACGTTTTGCAAAGTAAAAACGATTCCAGTAGAGCCTTACCTTTTGCCTTTTTACCCATTCCTTGGCACTCGCAAATGTTGCCAGCTGGACAGCAGAGCCCACCATAACTCTGGGTACCGCTCCATTTACACCGCGCCATAGTCCCAGAATCCCTTGCTTCCTATAGATTGTTTCAAAGGCACTGCTCACACTCTGGAGAAGACAGGACCTATATTATTAAAACATTCACTAACACTCAGGACCCCCACTTACAACACAAATTAAAAAGCACTTTCAAGACACAACAACATGATGATTTTGCTGCAATAATCCCCATGTATAAAACCTGCAGGCCTAGAGAACCAGATTCTCCCTGTTGGTTCAAACTCAGCAGACTTAATGATAAACCTACTTTCCTATGTGACATGAAGTGCTAGTACGATGACTTCGAATTTACTTCGTTATGGTTTCAACATCTATAATTACAGCAAACTTGCATCCTACTGATGTAACTTACATGAACCATCATCTGGTCCAAGGGAGGGTAATACGACAAGCCACTACAACAGCTGCAAGACAATAGGTGCTTAATAGTAGACCAAAATGTTTTCTTTTTTGCCATTCTAATAAGCCTTATATCAAATTTCTGCCATTCTGATAACCCCTCCCTCACTTTTCTGCCATTTTATCAACCCTGCTCACTTTTCTACCACTCTAATAGCCCCCTTAACCTTTCTACCATTAACATCCTGTACTCTTAGCGCTTCCATTTTCAATGACCTTACTGAAGATCCCTCGGCTTTGCCCAGCAAAGCGTTCACATTACTGAACTCCGCTATCAACGCCGGTGTGCGCATGCTGTGTTTGCTCTTTATAAGCCAGGCCATGACTTGCACTATGACGTGTAAGGATTAACACCGATGTTGGCTGATGTAATTATATTGTGAACGCACAGCCAGGAGTGATCAATTGTATTATATAGAATGGCAGTGTTAGGGAGGAAACTTGACAAGGCCTCCAATGGACTGACAGTTTTCTTCTAACTTCAAGCAGTATTTTATTTTTTTGGGAACCCAAGTAGTTTTTGTTTTTGTTTTGTTTTGTTTTGCAAGCAAAGGCCTGCACACGGTTGTGGCGTCAGTTAGTGAAAGGAAAGGCTTGGCTGCTGAGGTCTGGATTAGTACGTTTACTTAGCTTGTTATAGACATCGACTCAGAACCAGAAAATTGTTTAGTGAAAACTCAACCATGCATCCAACAAATGTGCACTTGTTAGCAGATGGCTGTGCTTTTTCTTTGTAATATCCTAAGATTTACAATGATATCTTAGTAATTTCTGATCTTTTAGGTAATAGAGTGTTTTAGTCCTTTCACATCCATCGTTCCATGTGATGTCACTGTGTCCCAGCATTCTAATGGTTTGCTGCTACCTGTTTACTCTTTGTACCACTTTATAAAATGATATTAGAAACCCAGACCAATAATTAGAGACCTGGGATAGTATTATGACCTGGCCTCCTTTCTAGATGTACCACTACAGAATCATAGCATCAGGGAACAGCAGGGAACAGCAGGGAAAGCCATCGAGCAGCGTATCAGGGCTCACACAGTGGAAATAGTGTGTGGCAGAACCCGGAGGGCAAGCAGCAGAGCAAGGCAGGGGAGCACAGAGGGGTATATACAGAACGGCTAAACAGGACAATGGCAGCCCAATATCACAGGAAGGAGTCATGAAAACTAAACAATGTACACCAAAATATTTCAAATATGTGGCTTTTGTTAAACTGTCCTACAGGGTGCAAACGGCACTGAATAATTAAAAAAAGTATTGTTTAATATGCACACTCTGCAAATGCTGTACAATGCAGCAGTTGTGCTCTGCAGTGTTAATATGTACACTGTACCTTCTATATTTTCTGTATACAATGTGGCAGATTAAATGTTATGCATACTTCTCTGTCTTATGTTATGTGGCAGTGGAATGGTTAATAGACAAGGCTCTGCATTTTACAATACTGGGTTTATTGATCAGAGGGAGTGCTCTGCAGGTTACAGACTAGACCAGTCAGGATACAGCAGCCAGAATCCACCCGCAGGACTTTGGAATAAAATGAATGCTTAAGCAAGGCTCACTCTGCCAAGAATGATCACACCCCTCCCCAACCTTCACTGCCAGGGACCAGTCTCACCCCTACCTATCCTTCACTGCCAGGGAGCAGACTAACCTCTGCCCATCCTTCACTGCCAGAGACCAGTCTCACCCCTCCCCAACCTTCACTGCCAGAGACCAGTCTCACCCCTACCTATCCTTCACTGCCAGAGACCAGTCTCACCCCTACCTATCCTTCACTGCCAGAAACCAGTCTCACCCCTACCTATCCTTCACTGCCAGGGAGCAGACTCACCCCTGCCCATCCTTCACTGCCAGAGACCAGTCTCACCCCTACCTATCCTTCACTGCCAGGGAGCAGTCTCACCCCTGCCCATCCTTCACTGCCAGAGACCAGTCTCACCCCTACCTATCCTTCACTGCCAGGAAACAGTCTCACCCCTACCTACCCTTCACTGCCAGGGAGCAGTCTCATCCCCTACCTATCCTTCACTGCCAGGAAACAGTCTCACCCCTACCTATCCTTCACTGCCAGAGAGCAGTCTCACCCCTACCTATCCTTCACTGCCAGGAATCAGTCTCACCCCTACCTATCCTTCACTGCCAGGAAACAGTCTCACCCCTACCTATCCTTCACTGCCAGGAAACAGTCTCACCCCTACCTATCCTTCACTGCCAGGGACCAGTCTCACCCCTACCAATCCTTCACTGGCAGGGACCAGTCTCACCCCTTCCTATCCTTCACTGCCAGGGAGCAGTCTCATCCCCTACCTATCCTTCACTGCCAGGAAACAGTCTCACCCCTACCTATCCTTCACTGCCAGGGAGCAGTCTCATCCCCTACCTATCCTTCACTGCCAGGAAACAGTCTCACCCCTACCTATCCTTCACTGCCAGGGACCAGTCTCACCCCTACCAATCCTTCACTGGCAGGGACCAGTCTCACCCCTTCCTATCCTTCACTGCCAGGGAGCAGTCTCATCCCCTACCTATCCTTCACTGCCAGGAAACAGTCTCGACCCTACCTATCCTTCACTGCCAGGGAGCAGTCTCATCCCCTACCTATCCTTCACTGCCAGGAAACAGTCTCACCCCTACCTATCCTTCACTGCCAGGGAGCAGTCTCACCCCTACCTATCCTTCACTGCCAGAGAGCAGTCTCACCCCTACCTATCCTTCACTGCCAGGAAACAGTCTCACCCCTACCTATCCTTCACTGCCAGGAAACAGTCTCACCCCTACCTATCCTTCACTGCCAGGGACCAGTCTCACCCCTACCAATCCTTCACTGCCAGGGAGCAGTCTCACCCCTATCAATCCTTCACTGGCAGGGACCAGTCTCACCCCTACCTATCCTTCACTGCCAGGCAGTCTCACCCCTACCTACCTATCCTTCACTGCCAGAGCAGTCTCACCCCTACCTATCCTTCACTGCCAGGGGAAACAGTCTCACCCCTACCTCCTTCACTGCCAGGACCAGTCTCACCCTACCTATCCTTCACTGCCAGGGACCAGTCTCACCCCTACCTATTCACTGCCAGGGACCAGTCTCACCCCTACCTATCCTTCACTGCCAGAGACCAGTCTCAACCCTACCTATCCTTCACTGCCAGGGAGCAGTCTCACCCCTTCCTATCCTTCACTGGCAGGGACCAGTCTCACTCCTACCTATCCTTCACTGCCAGAGACCAGTCTCACCCCTACCTATCCTTCACTGCCAGGGAGCAGTCTCACCCCTACCTATCCTTCACTGCCAGGGACCAGTCTCACCCCTACCTATCCTTCACTGCCAGGGAGCAGTCTCACCCCTTCCTATCCTTCACTGCCAGTGACCAGTCTCACCCCTACCTATCCTTCACTGCCAGGGAGCAGTCTCACCCCTTCCTATCCTTCACTGCCAGGGACCAGTCTCACCCCTACCTATCCTTCACTGGCAGGGACCAGTCTCACCCCTTCCTATCCTTCACTGCCAGGGACCAGTCTTACCCCTACCTATCCTTCACTGCCAGGAAACAGTCTCACCCCTACCAATCCTTCACTGGCAGGGACCCCTACCTATCCTTCACTGCCAGGGAGCAGTCTCACCCCTACCTATCCTTCACTGCCGGGAAACAGTCTCACCCCTACCTATCCTTCACTGCCAGAGACCAGTCTCACCCCTACCTATCCTTCACTGCCAGGGACCAGTCTCACCCCTACCTATCCTTCACTGCCAGGGAGCAGTCTCACCCCTTCCTATCCTTCACTGCCAGGGACCAGTCTCACCCCTACCTATCCTTCACTGCCAGGGAGCAGTCTCACCCCTACCTATCCTTCACTGCCAGGGAGCAGTCTCACCCCTACCTATCCTTCACTGCCAGAAACCAGTCTCACCCCTACCTATCCTTCACTGCCAGGGAGCAGTCTCACCCCTACCTCTCCTTCACTGCCAGAAACCAGTCTCACCCCTACCTATCCTTCACTGCCAGGGACCAGTCTCACCCCTACCTATCCTTCACTGCCAGGGACCAGTCTCTGTATACACCTTTTTATAATAAAAGTAAAAAAAGTGTATTATTTTTACTTCTATTTTTAAAGTAAAGTTTAGGTAGGGGGTAGTTTTTCTCTAGTGGCCCACTCTTATTTTCTATGCTGTGCACACTTATGTTAACCATCTTTTCTTTATAATGCCATACATTGGGTTATGAGAGGGAATAGGAGAATCTGGCATGGCAGCCATCAGTCAGTTTGAGGATCTTACCTGGTGATTGTGCTGGTGTCCAACTGCGATTGCAGCCACAGTCTGAGCCTGCAGATGAGTCTTTACCTGCACAAAACAAATATGTATTAAAATGAAATGCAGAGAAATGTCTGTCTGTCCTATCAGTAAAGCCATCTGTGAATCATACCAGGTATCGGATTCTGTCTCTTACATTAACGAAAATAAAATTATACAAATTATTCAAATAAGCAAAAAACTTTATTCTCGACTCTGGGACAGTCAGTCCGATTCTACTCCAGTGTGGTTGTCAATCCTGATGAATTTTCTCTAATCAGATACTTTTTCATAGAGAAGCATTGAAGGCACATGTCGCATGCACTGCTATTGCCACAAACCACCAATGCAATGCTTCTCGTGAAAAACATTGGGCACACACGACTTCTCACATTGGCATACTTTGCACCCTCAAATAAAATAGATTCAGTAATTTAACCTATTTTAGTCTGATGGCCATTAGCAAGCATGGAAACAGCAAAATGTCATAGGTGCTGCCACTACAGACGGAAGCAGCACTATTTGCCAAAATCATGGCATTGGGATTTGTGATTAAGTGATTTTAATGCGTAGACTATCCTTTTTAACTCTCTGAGTGCCAGAGTTGTGACTAACACATTGCAAAACAATATGTGGGGCACACATCTGGCACTGAAAGGGTTAAAGACAAAGACAGTAAAGGAATAGAAAAATGCTTTGTATAAGATCCTGAAGATTTGATTTGTAATTTCAGTCTGACGTACTCCTTAATAATATAACATTTTACTAAGCATGGCCAGGGTTACTGTCCTGTCCCTCTGGTAGATTATTTTCAATCACTGTGTTGAGTATATTCTGATTTGGGGGGGATTAGTATGTGTCAGCTGGAGATCAAGGCTAGTTTCGCCATACTTGTCCGTTAAATTGTCACTCATTTGCATCCAACTTGAAAATGTAAACTAACCAAGGCCCAATAAATGCTGGTAGGCCCAGCATACTATCTAATAATTCCTGTCTTGAGTAGCGAATTTTGGGGAAACTTCTCAGCAATATGGCTGTTATTCGGCATATGCTACAGTTTAACCTATATTAATCGAAGGTGGACTTGGGAACCTTGCTAACTTAGATGGAAATGAAATAAGCCTTTATAGCTAAAACTAGCTCACTGGAGGTAAAAAACAAATTCAAATAAAGTTTTCCTCCACTTTGTTCTGGAGGGTCTAATCACAGGACTGGGAGTTACTGGAATTGTGGGATAAAACTATGTCAGCATATTAGTGATAACCCAGGAAGGAACCAAAACTACATCTCTCGCACACTCATCGCGAGCGAGAAAAGCAGTGGCAATGGTCACAGGGTTGGGGAGAAGCACAGTCAGCCTTTTTGCTGCTCTGTGGTTTAAAATGACCTATGCTACTAAATTAATATGTCCTCTATCCTCCAGCTCAGAGCGATGTTATGTCAGGACTCCCGCAGTAGGGATGCTTTGCAGGTCGTGTGACTGATTACTCATTCAACAAAAACTATTCTCAAACTGCAGATCACACAATATTCATATTATAAGTAACAGTGTACACAGGCTGCATCTCTTCTCGTGTCTATAGAGAATAAATCGCTGTGAAAGCCATGTTATTATTCTAACATACTATAGCCAAGGACATGTGTGTACTGTTCCTCCAGTTATTTATCTTTGGAATATTGCTGAAAAATAAATTTCACTGGAAACTGACAAGAGAAGTGCAAATTCCAAGCTTAAAAAAAAAGTTCTTAAAAGCAGCTATTTTTTTAAACTCTACAATTTTGTCTTAAAGGAACACTCAGAGTACAATGAGCACCACAGTGTGCTGTGGTGGTTATGGTACCTAGAGTTCCTTTTTAAAATATTCCCCTCCTACTCTCTCGGCTTAGATCTGGCAGAGACTCTCTGGATGGCCTGAGAGTTTTAATAGAGGTAAACAACAGTTAAGAAGTCAAACCGTACTTAAATAGTGTGCTGTAGTAGTTATGGTGCTTTAAAACTTGCAGTTCCTTGGTCAGTACTTTGTAATTGCCAGTTTAGTGAATTACCCTGATATATAACTGGTCAGGATGAAAGGAGGAGTGGTAGGGTCATGCTTGGGGTGTGTTGTCACAGATTACATGGATACCTGGGTTTCACACTGCCCAGCAAGGTGACCAAACAGGACAATGCCTTAATACTGCCTAAAGAAGCCGTGTGTTTGTGTTCTTCACTTTAAAGGACCACTATAGTGCCAGGAAAACATACTTGTGCCCCCACCCTCAGGGTCCCCCTCCCGCTGGGCTCTGGGGAGAGGAAGGGTGTGGAGCTCTCCTCCTTCATAGCGACGTCATCGGCTGAATGCGCAGGGCGTTGGAAGAATGTTTACTGATCCACTCATACAGTGATTACTAGGGCCACTTTCCTGGTGTCCTCCAAGATAAAAATGAAATAACCGACGATGGCAACATAAACCCCACAGCTTGCTGGTTTGATATAAATCAGGGCTCTCCTCTGCGCCCAGGACCACCCCTTCTTCTACATTATCATTGTTAATTTTGTCCATCTTGGACACTGATTGTCTGACAGTGCTGGGCTAATCATGAAACTGATAATGTGGAAGTGTTACTTCTGCCATATAAATGTAACCTATATGGGGTAGTACTACAATGGGTCAGTTACGCTGCTTCAGTTACCCTCTGTTATCCCCCATGGATATGACGTACAGCACAGCAACAAAAAACACAAACTGGTTTCAATTGCTGACCTGGAAACTCTTTACAGTTTGGGTATTTAGACACTTTGAATTCCTGACAATTCTTACTAAGGTGAATAAACCTATCAATGCTATTCAGATTCCTGCAGTACTGTCATAAATGCAATAACAAAGAGCTCAGACACGTTTTAACTAATTAACATTTAAAACACATACACATGCAAATTGTCAGTGTTCAACCCTCAAGGTATTACTGACTGGTGATGGTGCGTGGTGAATACTATATATATGGAGGGGGAATGATCAGAACCCAAAGGATTAGAGTATCTTATTTTCACAAACTTATGGTACCCACTGGATACTTAGCAAGCATACCATGTCCCTATTTATGACGGACTCTCCCCCATTTGTCCCTCTATTCTATTCTAATGGTCCTGTTTTTTAGGAGCTCCATATTGCTGGTGTGTCTGAGTGTATAACAGAGCTCCACAACAATAATACTCCCAGTAATGTGTCTGAGTGTATAACAGAGCTCCACAGCAATAATACTCCCAGTAATGTGTCTGAGTGTATAACAGAGCTCCACAGCAATAATACTCCCAGTAATGTGTCTGAGTGTATAACAGAGCTCCACAGCAATAATACTCCCAGTAATGTGTCTGAGTGTATAACAGAGCTCCACAGCAATAATACTCCCAGTAATGTGTCTGAGTGTATAACAGAGCTACACAGTAATAATACTCCCAGTAATGTGTCTGAGTGTATAACAGAGCGCCACAGCAATAATACTCCCAGTAATGTGTCTGAGTGTATAACAGAGCTCCACAGCAATAATACTCCCAGTAATGTGTCTGAGTGTATAACAGAGCTCTACAGCAATAATACTCCCAGTAATGTGTCTGAGTGTATAACAGAGCTCCACAGCAATAATACTCCCAGTAATGTGTCTGAGTGTATAACAGAGCTCCACAGCAATAATACTCCCAGTAATGTGTCTGAGTGTATAACAGAGCTCCACAGCAATAATACTCCCAGTAATGTGTCTGAGTGTATAACAGAGCTCCACAGCAATAATACTCCCAGTAATGTGTCTGAATCTATAACAGAGCTCCACAGCAATAATACTCCCAGTAATGTGTCTGAGTGTATAACAGAGCTACACAGTAATAATACTCCCAGTAATGTGTCTGAGTGTATAACAGAGCTCCACAGCAATAATACTCCCAGTAATGTGTCTGAGTGTATAACAGAGCTCCACAGCAATAATACTCCCAGTAATGTGTCTGAGTGTATAACAGAGCTCTACAGCAATAATACTCCCAGTAATGTGTCTGAGTGTATAACGGAGCTCCACAGTAATAATACTCCCAGTAATGTGTCTGAGTGTATAACGGAGCTCTATAGCAACAATACTCCCAGTAATGTGTCTGAGTGTATAACAGAGCTCCACAGCGATAATACTCCCAGTAATGTGTCTGAGTGTATAACAGAGCTCCACAGCAATAATACTCCCAGTAATGTGTCTGAGTGTATAACAGAGCTCCACAGCAATAATACTCCCAGTAATGTGTCTGAGTGTATAACAGAGTTCCACAGCAATAATACTCCCAGTAATGTGTCTGAGTGTATAACAGAGCTCCACAGTAATAATACTCCCAGTAATGTGTCTTGAGTGTATAACAGAGCTCCACAGCAATAATACTCCCAGTAATGTGTCTGAGTGTATAACAGAGCTCCACAGCAATAATACTCCCAGTAATGTGTCTGAGTGTATAACAGAACTCCACAGCAATAATGCTCCCAGTAATGTGTCTGAGTGTATAACAGAACTCCACAGCAATAATGCTCCCAGTAATGTGTCTGAGTGTATAACAGAGCTCCACAGCAATAATGCTCCCAGTAATGTGTCCGAGTGTATAACAGAGCTCCACAGCAATAATACTCCCAGTAATGTGTCCGAGTGTATAACAGAGCCCCACAGCAATAATACTCCCAGTAATGTGTCCGAGTGTATAACAGAGCCCCACAGCAATAATACTCCCAGTAATGTGTCTGAGTGCATAACAGAGCCCCACAGCAATAATACTCCCAGTAATGTGTCTGAGTGCATAACAGAGCTCCACAGCAATAATACTCCCAGTAATGTGTCTGAGTGCATAACAGAGCTCCACAGCAATAATACTCCCAGTAATGTGTCTGAGTGTATAACAGAGCTCCACAGCAATAATACTCCCAGTAATGTGTCTGAGTGTATAACAGAACTCCACAGCAATAATACTCCCAGTAATGTGTCTGTATAACAGAGCTCCACAGCAATAATACTCCCAGTAATGTGTCTGAGTGTATAACAGAGCTCCACAGCAATAATACTCCCAGTAATGTGTCTGAGTGTATAACAGAGCTACACAGCAATAATACTCCCAGTAATGTGTCTGAGTGTATAACAGAGCTCCAAAGCAATAATACTCCCAGTAATGTGTCTGAGTGTATAACAGAGCTCCACAGTAATAATACTCCCAGTAATGTGTCTGAGTGTATAACAGAGCTCCACAGCAATAATACTCCCAGTAATGTGTCTGAGTGTATAACAGAGCTCCACAGCAATAATACTCCCAGTAATGTGTCTGAGTGTATAACAGAGCTCCACAGCAATAATACTCCCAGTAATGTGTCTGAGTGTATAACAGAGCTCCACAGCAATAATACCCCAGTAATGTGTCTGAGTGTATAACAGAGCTCCACAGCAATAATACTCCCAGTAATGCGTCTGAGTGTATAACAGAGCTCCACAGCAATAATACTCCCAGTAATGCGTCTGAGTGTATAACAGAGCTCCACAGCAATAATACTCCCAGTAATGTGTCTGAGTGTATAACAGAGCTCCACAGCAATAATACTCCCAGTAATGTGTCTGAGTGTATAACAGAGCTCCACAGCAATAATACTCCCAGTAATGTGTCTGAGTGTATAACAGAGCTCCACAGCAATAATACTCCCAGCAATGTGTCTAGATATAACAGAGCTCACAGCAATAATACTCCCAGTAATGTGTCTGAGTGTATAACAGAGCTCCACAGCAATAATACTCCCAGTAATGTGTCTGAGTGTATAAGAGAGCTCCACAGCAATAATACTCCCAGTAATGTGTCTGAGTGTATAACAGAGCTCCACAGCAATAATACTCCCAGTAATGTGTCTGAGTGTATAACAGAGCTCCACAGTAATAATACTCCCAGTAATTTGTCTGAGTGTATAATGGAGCTCCACAACAATAATAATCCCAGTAATGTGTCTGAGTGTATAACAGAGCTCCACAACAATCATACTCCCAGTAATGTGTCTGAGGGTAATACAGAGCTCCACAGCAATAATACTCCCAGTAATGTGTCTGAGTGTATAACATAGCTCCACAACAATAATACTCCCAGTAATGTGTCTGAGTGTATAACATAGCTCCACAGTAATAATACTCCCAGTAATTTGTCTGAGTGTATAATGGAGCTCCACGGCAATAATACTCCCAGTAATGTGTCTGAGTGTATAACAGAGCCCCACAGCAATAATACTCCCAGTAATGTGTCTGAGTGTATAACAGAGCTCCACAGCAATAATACTCCCAGTAATGTGTCTGAGTGTATAACAGAGCTCCACAGTCAATAATACTCCCAGTAATGTGTCTGAGTGTATAACAGAGCTCCACAGTAATAATACTCCCAGTAATGTGTCTGAGTGTATAACAGAGCTCCACAGCAATAATACTCCCAGTAATGTGTCTGAGTGTATAACAGAGCTCACAGCAATAATACTCCCAGTAATGTGTCTGAGTGTATAACAGAGCTCCACAGCAATAATACTCCCAGTAATGTGTCTGAGTGTATAATAGAGCTCCACAGCAATAATACTCCCAGTAATGTGTCTGAGCGTATAACAGAGCTCCACAGCAATAATACTCCCAGTAATGTGTCTGAGTGTATAACAGAGCTCCACAGCAATAATACTCCCAGTAATGTGTCTGAGTGTATAACAGAGCTCCACAGCAATAATACTCCCAGTAATGTGTCTGAGTGTATAACAGAGCTCCACAGCAATAATACTCCCAGCAATGTGTCTAATTGTATAACAGAGCTTCACAGCAATAATACTCCCAGTAATGTGTCTGAGTGTATAACAGAGCTCCACAACAATAATAATCCCAGTAATGTGTCTGAGTGTATAACAGAGCTCCACAACAATCATACTCCCAGTAATGTGTCTGAGTGTATAACAGAGCTCCACAGCAATAATACTCCCAGTAATGTGTGAGTGTATAACAGAGCTCCACAGTAATAATACTCCCAGTAATGTGTCTGAGTGTATAGCAGCCACAGCAATAATACTCCCAGTAATGTGTCTGAGTGTATAGCAGCCACAGCAATAATATTCCCAGTAATGTGTCTGAGTGTATAAGAGAGCTCCACAGCAATAATACTCCCAGTAATGTGTCTGAGTGTATAACAGAGCTCCACAGCAATAATACTCCCAGTAATGTGTGAGTGTATAACAGAGCTCCACAGTAATAATACTCCCAGTAATGTGTCTGAGTGTATAACAGAGCTCCACAGTAATAATACTCCCAGTAATGTGTCTGAGTGTGTAACAGAGCTCCACAGTAATAATACTCCCAGTAATGTGTCTGTGTGTATAACAGAGCCCCACAGCAATAATAATCCCAGTAATGTGTCTTTAAACGACAATAAATGTGTTTAGAAATCAGTCTGTGTAAATAAGATACGTTGTTCTTCTTCTAAATTACATTTTCTTTACATATATTGCTATTAATATGTTACCTATAATTTCTCAGGACAGCCCTGCCCCTGGCCACATCCCTAAAATGAAAGTCCATTTGAAATGTTGGGAGGTATGAGAAGTGAGCAGCATAACAGCTAATGTGACTGCTTTATTTAAGTCCATAAAATACTTGCTGTTTGCCTTAATGGGAAGAAGAGTATTCAAACTATATTATTGTAATTTTTCTTTGTCTTGTTTTTAAATAACACGGGGCTTTATAAAATTAACAGTAAATCATCTGTTTATACATAGTTTAGCACTTAATAGAATGTTCTCTAATGTAAAATCATGTCTGAGACTGGTGCACACAGTAATATGGGCAATTTAAAGCGTATTTCTTGTAACTGGTAGCTTTATTCATACAAAAATATGAGAAACACTGTGTGAGAAATTGGAGTCTTGCATGGCGCAAGCCCACCCTGCATGCATAAAAGTACTTGTACTGGCAAGGGGAAGCTATGTGTATTTCTGTTTGGAGAAAGTACTCTGTGTTTTTGTTTTGTACTGAAGTTATAAAAAACCAACAAACAGAAAGGAGATGGGGGAACCTCCTTACACCATATCCTAGGCAAGGAGCATCATTTATAGTCCTTGTGGTGTCTGTCTCTTCTCCTGTCAAAACATTTGCAGAACTTCCTTGTGTGAGTTTCCACCAGTCTAAACAGGCTGTGGCATTTTTTATTTAACATTGAAAATAGACTTCTCTTTTGTCCAAATCATCTATGTTTTTAAAAGTATGTGGAGGTATTTTGTGGGTTTTTAGGAAATCATTGTTTAACATTTTAGAAGCCAAGTGCTGTTTTTTCCTTTGTTATATTTTATATAGTGTAGGTTTGGCAGGGAGGTATGTGGTAAGACCTGGCAATGTACTTTTGTGGTATGTTTGGCATAGTAGTATGTAGGAAACCTGCAGTTTTCATATTTGGTTTACAGGGTTTTCAAAGTTTCCACTAGCCATTGGCAAGTGAAAATTAATTCCTGGTGCTATGGCCACTCCAAGCTTGTAGTGGCAAATAAGACGATTTAGCAGTGTGTGTATATATATACATAGTGTGTGTTTGGTTGTTTATGTGCAATAGGAGCAATCATAGTGCACATATGAGTTTGGCAGATTGGTACTTTCTTATATGTCGGGTTTTTTTGTGAGCACAAAGTCTGTTATGTGACTTGTGAGTCCTGTTATTAGTACATTCTGCCAGACAACCACCTGGCCCATGCTTAGTGACTTCCATGATTAACTTGGGCTAACTAGGTAAGTGGACAATGCCAGAACTTTAGACTAGGGGAGCATAGCCTTCATGACTTATGGAAATAATACCTCCAGAGGTGTTCCATGTAAATATGTAAATAAAGCAGTTTTTCTCACCAGATATGCAGGACTCCCCACTAAAGCTCCTATGGCCCCAGCAATGGCTCCAGCTGCTATATTTCCACCTGGTTTCTGTGTCAGTCCTATGTCTTCAGCATGCGAGTACAGGTAAAAGCGTACTCCGTTCATTAGTCCCTGATAAAGCAGCCCAGCAGTTAGTCCTTTCTGCAGTCCACGTAGTCCATCTGCTTGCCCTACAGCCACCATGGCTTGCAAGACTCCTCTGTAATGGCGTGTGTAAGACCCCCGGGACCTGAGCTCTCCTTGCAACTGAAGCCGCGTCTTCACCACCTCCAAAGGGTTAGTAAATACACAAGCCATACAGCATGCCGATGCACCAAGCACAAAATCCACCGGTGGAGAGATGTACATGGCTGGGTGAGTTGTTGGAGTGGTCATACTTAGTCTTTAAATAAATAAATTAATTCCCAAGGAAAAAAGTAAAATGTTTTGATATTTTAAAAACACATCCTAATAGTGTATTGTGTTGCGCACAGAGTTCCAATCTGTGCGTTATTACCAGAAGCGTGAATTTGAAGAGTAATTAGAAAGTCCCCGGTGATGGAGCCAATGGCCCTGGCACAGTCCCAAGCCCGATGCCCAGATAGTGCTTATAGGTGGCCGTCAGATATGCTGTATCTCAAGTTAAGGATAATCTTGGCTCAGGTAAGTTGCTAGGGACCAGAGATAAACTTTGTATCCAGTGTGAACCAGTCTGCGGATGGCTGTGTGTGACTCTTTCTGTAGCTTAGCCAGTCACACAGCTTCTCTCTCACTGTCTCCACTCTGTGTGACTGCCGTGTATTCCAAACTGGTATCATTAGCAATCCTGTGTCAGCCATGCACTGCCTCTGTGAACACACATCCTCTCCCTCTTTCCACTGGGCTTTAAAACCAAACCTCCCCTTACTCTCCCCTAACCAATCTCTGCCCTGATAGAAGCTCACACCTCCAGCCTGGGCCTGGCCTGCTTCCTCAGATCTAGGGTAGAGGTCACTTTGCATTGCCTTAGGCCAAAGGAAACTGCTTCTTCTTACATTGTCTTTAGCACCTTGCCAGATTAGAATGCAAGCTCCTGGGGAAATAAATCATCTTTTGTGTGCCTGTAAAGTGAATATTTACATAGAGATGCAGCCTTTGTTCATGCCTTATTTAGAAATTGTTCACTGTAGTGAGGAGCATTGCATTTCATTATGTTTACAAATAAAGACTGTTTTAAAAAAAACCTATTAATTAGCATAGTTAATGTACAGGAAAGTCTTAGAATTCCAATGATTTACATAATAATCAGCTTTTATGTAGCTATAAAAAGTCCATGTTTAAAACCAGCAAACATGGTATCATTGTTATAATTCGCAATACTGAAAAAATGATTTCTGTTCCTACATGTAATTAACAGATGTGCAGACTAACAGATCATATTAGTATCTAGTAATCACATTTAAACAAGGCCATCGTATACAAGACTAACTTCTCACTCTGCATGCTACGGCAGAAAGGCAGCTGGAGATTAGAGAGGTCAATACGTGGCTGAAGTCTTGGTGCAGGAAAGAGGGTTTGGGGTTTTTAGAGCACTGGGCCGACTTTGCGCTTGGGTACAACCTGTATAGTCGTGATGGATTGCACCTAAACGGAAGAGGGTCTGCTGTGCTGGGGGATAGGATGGCTAGAAGGTTGGAGGAGATTTTAAACTAGTAGTAGGGGGGAGGGTCAAAGCAATCTAGAAAATGGAGATAGGATAGAAAGGAGATGGGCTTTAGCTCAGAACAAAGAGGGTGGAGATGGGGGGAGGGGAAAGCTCAGAACAGAGGAGGTATGTAATATTGATAATTCACAAAAAGTACAAATGACTCATGATAATATTAAATGTATGCTTACTAATGCAAGGAGCCTATATAACAAAATGGGGGAACTAGAGGCAATAGCATACACTAAACAATATGATATAATAGGCATAACAGAAACATGGTGGGATGAGACACATGACTGGGCAGTTAACTTAAATGGGTACACATTATTTAGGAAGGATAGGAAAAACAAGAAGGGTGGTGGGGTATGTTTGTATGTCAACCATGAGTTAAAGTCAAATCTTAGACATGTGGAGTGTGACGAGGAAAATGTGGAAGCTTTATGGGTAGATATCTGCTTGGGGCAAACGGAGGGACATCAATTATTGGTTGGGATATGTTATAAACCACCTAATGTAAATATTAATGAGGAAAAACAGCTGTTAGAGCAAATTGGGAAAGCTGCAAATCGAGGTAACACGTTAATTATTGGAGATTTTATTACCCGGATATAAATTGGGATAGAGTGACTAGTACTTCAGCAAGGGGAATCAGATTTTTGAATGTTAAATGACACCTTTATGTCACAACTGGTACAACCACCAACTAGAAAGGATGCTTGTCTGGATCTCGTCATAACAAACAATGTTGATTTTTTGACCAACATTCAAGTAGGGGAGCATTTGGGAAATAGTGATCACAATATGGTAAATTTTTACATAAACTCAAAAAAGCAAAAGCACGTGGGGTATACTAAAACATATAATTTTTAAAAAGCCAATTTCAATAAGATTAGGGCAGCTCTACAACATATCGACTGGCATAAACTCCTTAGTGATAAAAATACTGAGGAAAAATGGAAACTATTCAAAAAATATTAGAAAGGTGCATTTCTCAGGGTAATAAATATAAAAGAAACAAATTAAAACCAATGTGGCTTAGTAGGGAGGCAAAACAAGAGATTAAAAAAAGGAAAAGGGCATTTAAATCGGACAAATCAGAGGCATCCTATACAAGATATAAGGAAGCCAATAACGCTTGCAAAAAGGCAATTAAAGTGGCTAAACTATGAAAAATTGATAGACAAAGAATGCAAAACTAACCCCCAAATTTTTTTCAAGTACATCAATTCTAAAAAATCAAAACATTCAAGTGTAGGTACACTGGAAACAGAGATAGGTCTGTTAACTAATGAAGACCCGGAAAAGGCAGACATTTTAAGTAACTATTTTTCTTCAGTATATTACATAGTTACATAGGTGAAAAGAGACTTGCGTTCATCAAGTTCAGCTTTCCTCACATATGTTTTTTTGCTGTTGATCCAAAAGAAGGCAAAAATTTATTAATGAGGATCCTATGGCAAGATATATGCAAATGATTGCTGCAAAAAACTTGCAGATAACTTGTGATTGGATGACTCGAGACAAGGTGCTACAGCAGTTAAAAAAATTAATGTAAATAAAGCTCCAGGGCCTGACGATATTCACCCACAAGTACTTAAGGAACTAAGTGGGGAAATAAGTGAACCTCTGTATTTAATTCTTCAAGATTCTTTTGTTTCAGGTATTGTATCAGAGGATTGGAGGAAGGCAGATGTCGTTCCTATATTTAAAAAGTGTTCAAAATCCTTGCCTGGAAATGAGCTTAACTTCTGTGACTGGGGAAATATTTGAAGGGCTATTAAGGGATAATATTCAGGCATTCATTGGGAAGAACTTTGTTATTAGCAATAATCAGCATGGGTTTATGTCAAACTAACCTAATTGCAAAAAGAGAAGAAAGAGAGACAAATACTGCGTTTTTATTTTTAACCTTTTGGCTACAAAAAAAACGGCATATCAGGGGGCAGTTTAACATCTTAAGTTCCGCCCCTTGGAAGATACGATTAATTCCTGTGACTGTCAATTACATACACCGCGCCCACTACAATGGAGCTTTCAGTGATTGGCTGCTTGACGGCATGGTAGGGCGGGTCCACTGACTACCGCCCACCGGAACGGATCGTTTTATCTCCTGGCTGTAAGCAACCCACACACACGCACAACTGACGTACTGTGAGTTGATTGGCCGCATGATGTCCCGAGGGGCGCGGCCTTATGCTATTTAAACACACGCTGACTCTGTGTTTTGCTCTTGAAAAATGAGCAACAAAGCGCCGAAACGCGTTGAGCTGTGTCATGCCGCTCTTTAGCTGTCTTTTAGTTTAATAGCGATTCTAATGGAGCTTTACTGAGCATTTACAAGTTATATACTTTTTGTAATTCACCCCAATTTTATCTTGGGGATTTACTCTTTATCCTTTATGGGTTCATCCAGCACGGGGGTTTTACTCGCTCTCTGCACTCAACAGCTGATTAGATAACCGCATTGATAATATACTGCTCTGTTATAGTCAGACCTGGGGCACAGTACCAAGTGTCTAATTGGGATTGTTTCCCAGATACTTTGAGACTGTTTTGTCTTGTTACCTGTGAGCGTTTGGTTTGGTCCTTTTACAATCTTTATACTGTTCTGGTCTTATCGGGATTACCAATACATGCCTGTTTAATTATATATGGCTTCCTATTTATATAGCTCTGTCAGTAATTTTTGCTTGGTAAATCTGTCTTTTGCCTCTCTATCTAGCAGTATCAATACCTCTCACTAGCCGGCCAGCAGTGTTTCAGCTGACAGACTCCTACTTTATAGCACAGTTCAAAGTGTCACAATTGGTAAATGGGAAGGTTTCCCTTCACAGACACTCTGTTAGATTCCAGTGCTATTGTTGTATTTTCATTTAGACTCTGTTAGTCTCACTGCTAACGCAGACTGTGCTTTTATGAGCCTATACCTTTGATTGAACACTCATGCTAGCTGACAGCTTTTTAGTCCATAATGCATAACAAAGTGCTCACCTGGGGGAACTGTATTGTTGTCCTGTTTCTCGGTTAGTGTGTCACTTTATTTTTGTAAAGCGAGTTATTAACCCCACTGTGCCATAACTGCACCAACTACATACTATGAACCATATATGATGCACCTCTATTTGGGAACAAGACATATATCTATGTGTCAAGGTATTGCCCCTATAGGTGCACACTGATCTATACTGGTAGTATCTACCTTCCTACTAGTCCTTTATTGGATCATTGCTAGTAAACTCCATTAGATCCCCCTTTTTAACCACGAATACACTTTGCACGATTTTTTCTTCACCTTTTCAATTTATTTTAATGTTGTATGACGTAATAAAGGTTAAGTCCACTTGATTTTTTTCTTAGTTATCTGCCCAATTTTTGAGCTGTATATTGTATTTGGGTAAGACCTGCGTCTGTGCGGTGGTTTTGGGCACCAAGAGTAAGTCTGGGGTCTTCTTCCATATCGCACAGCAATGCAGTATTTGTCTCTCTTTCTTCTCTTTTTGAACTACATATGGGGTTATGCCCCTTACTTACCCATATAGTCCACCCCTTGACTACTGGGCCAACATTTGATTGACCCTTTAGTTTTTTTCTTTCTTGTTCCTAACCTAATTGCATTCTACGAAGAAGTAAGTAGAAGTATAGATCAGGGTGTTGTGGTGGATGTGATCTACTTGGATTTTGCCAAGGCATTTGATACAGTTCCTCACAATAGGTTAGTCTTCAAACTAAAAGAAATTGGTCTAGATGAATATTCTTGTTCTTGGGTAGAACATTGGCTTAAGGATAGAGTACAACGAGTTGTCATTAATGGTACATTTTCAGGCTGGACAAAAGTGGTAAGTGGTGTCCCTCAGGGTTCTGTTTTGGGACTGCTTCTATTTAACATATTTATAAATTATCTTGAAATAGGCATTGCAAGCCATGTATCAGTGTTTGACACAAAACTCTGTAAAGTAATAAAATGTTAGCAGGCTATTGCTTTGCTTCAGGGAGATTTGGATAAATTGGGGGACTGGGCACTAAAATGACAGATGAAATTTAACGTAGAGAAATGCAAAGTTATGCACTTTAAGGTCAAGAATGTACAAGCAACTTATACCCTAAATGGTAGTGAATTAGGCATAACCACACATGAGAAGGATTTGGGAATTGTTATAGACAACAAATTAGGCAGCAATATGTCAATC